CTCACACTTGGGACTCACTTCTCCAGAGACCACAGCGAGGCGAGGGGCATGGTTAGTCTGACGGATCCGCATCTGGTAACAGCAGCTGATAAGAGACAGGTCACACCATCATGGGTCACCTCTCACAAAGTGTTCCGCCAAAAACACGTGGTAGTGAAGCAGAACTAGCATCTTTACCTTATTAAAAGAACCTTCGTAACCTTATATAAACTATTGAAATCACAGGTAGACCACAGCTCGCATGACCACATTAACTCGGTATTTAGATGTAGTTATTAGTCTTCCCCCATAATGAAGTATAACCACTTTAATGGAATTTGAACTCATTTTGGCAGCGACAGAGCCTGAGAGAAATTCATGGAAAAATAACAGAGCGCTGCAGTGTTGTGCCTTAATTTCCATGGAGATTCCAAAACTTCCTGCCTACAGCGCTCCGGGAATGTGCCCCCACCTCATATTTCCTGCTTTTTATTCCCAAATCAGGGCAATGTTCTGAGAATTTTAAATTAAGGAAAGAAGCTTCCAACTGGAACTCTTCCTCAGGGCAGATAAAGGACTGTTTCTACTGAAAGTAATAATAAAAATAACAAATAAAAGAAAAATGTACTTTATTATTGACATAAAGTCAACCAGATATAAGATTAAGAGATCTTTTATTTGTCCCACAGTGGGGAAATTACAATGTTGCACCACAAGCTACAAGGTCCAGAAGAGGAGCACACAACACAAGATGAGTGACTGGCCTCCTGCTGGAACTCTGAGGAGCACAGGGACTGGCCTCCTGCTGGGACTCTGAGGAGCACAGGGACAGGCCTCCTGCTGGTACTCTGAGGAGCACAGGGACAGGCCTCCTGCTGGGACTCTGAGGAGCACAGGGACTGGCCTCCTGCTGGTGCCCAGGGCCAGGACTAAAAATTGGGAGGCAGCATTTCAGATTTATGCAGCTAAAATCTGGAACAGTCTTCCTGCAAATGTTAGACAGGCTTCTACTCAGAAAATGTTAAAACCCAGGCTAAAATACTTCTGTTAAACAGTGTTCATCAGGTGACAGCCACAGAGGAGGTCCTCTCTGCACAGATGCATGAGGCCACATGAATGTTCCTGTGTCCCTCAACATTGGGCACAGGGGCCTCAAACAGACACAAACAAACAGACCTGATAAAGGTGAAGCTCTGGATTGGACCTGAAGTCCTGAAGTCCTGATCCCTTGAAGTCCTGAAGTCCTGATCTCCCCGACCTGTTTACTCTGTGCTGTTTCTCTGTTGGATTTCTTCAGCGTCTACCTTAATGTTATGCTATAATATGTTACAATATATCGTATTCAATTCTTTTGAGTCCATCTTCTCGGGATCAGTGTAAATCCCAGACCATTGGAGTAAAAATGTTGGAGTAATCACATCAAAACAATAATAAAGCAATATACAGAGAATTAGAAGACTCTAAACAGAGGAATTGGTCAGAAAGAACATTCACCGATGTCCACTGGATAAAATGTATAAACATGCAGAGCATCCCCTTAAACTCTGTTTGAGGGCTTGACGTTCATGTTGATAAAAGTGAATGGGCAAACATCAGAGGAATGGCATCTGCAGAGAGCGACTCCAACCTCCACCCAGCTCTGTGAAACAAAACACAGGAGGAACTTGATTCGACACAGTTTTGTCTTAACATCCACCAGATTTATAGCGCAGTAAAAAGTCCATACATGTCAGATTCTTCTCCATGTTGTTGAAACACGAAGCACTGCAGAAGTCTCACGAGGCCCGAGGTGAAAGCAGCGCCAGCCACAGACCTGCTGCATTATTCTTATTGCTGCATGCTATTCGTTAATCCCCCGAGATAACATGGGCACTCAAAAAATGTGCCTTGAATACTTGACCTGCTTGGAACCTGACCCTTGAGAAAACCAGTTGCTATACCTGCATCTATAAGCACTGGTGAGGCCGAATACCAGACATCTCTCAAATAACTCCATTGTTTTTATGTCTGTGGGAAACCTATAGCCTTTGTGTGTGTTGGACCTAACTTTAAGATTTCATAATTATTCTGATTTTAGTCCCAGTTTAAAGAGTACACTGTAAAAAATGATACAACATCTGGTAATAAATGCTTGAATTTAGTTGTTTTTTTTTTTTATCTTAATTTGAATAGATTCTGACTCTTAAAACAAGATTTGCCAATGGGACAAAGCCATGGGACTCTGTCTCGCACCGCGACCCCTTACATTCACCAGTGTGAAAGCAATAGGTCCTCATGCCAGTTCAGGTCCCAGGCCTAATAACCAGATGCAAAATATGGGCTAAAACAAGCTTATGGTTGGTGTAAAAGTAAAAACCAAAATGAGTTCCTTACAACGTCTACTTTGCAATTTATTTTTTTTCACATCCAGGAAAAGTTTATTTTATGAGTAAAAAGGAGCAAATGTTATCATTTTTTTCCCAAATTTGACAAAGTCAAAATTTCCTGCTCCGCTGCTTTCTCACCATTTAACCGATCAACATTCTGCTGCTAACTTCTGACGCTACATGTTTTTAGATGATGTGGAACAATCTTGTGACAAATCTGTGAAACGACCGAGGCGAAGTTGATGCTCATACAATATCTACCTTTGTCTCACTCTCTAGGGGGCGCTAATGCTGTAATTTAATATTCTTCACATCCAGGTGATGTAGACCCAGGGGTTGAACCACCGAATTTTGTGAAAATTGCCCAAATTTTTTTTCCAATTGAAATAAAATCCAGTTGTTTTTTTTAAACATCCTGAAATGTAATTTATGATTTACTGTTAGTTGTTTAGTCTTGTTGTTGACATATTTTTTCTTTGTTGTTGTCTTGTATTTATTGTTTTCTTTATTCCATGTTCAAATACTTTCATTCATTCATTCATTTACTAATTCACGCAAGATTTAAAATGCAAGTCTAAAACATGTTCAGAGCTAAAGAGATTGAACAGGAGCAGGGAAATTTTCGAATGATTTGAGTATTTAACCAGTAGAATTGGACCTACGCCCATGCGCTGTGTTTGATGTTGTGCGTCAGAAAGCGGACACACAAAGGATACATGATGTTTAGAAGCCAACACAAACTCAATCAAAACATCACTTTACTTCTTCTTCAAAATACATTATTGCTACCTGAGAACTTTCATATTTCTGCTGTTACCGTGACTTGTTGGATGTGTAATCGCAGTGAAGGGGTATTTGTTTTTCAGTGAAGACCCTGAAAAACACTGCATACATTATCCCGAGATCTTCAAGTATCTATTTCCTCAAAACTGTGGGTGAAACCGTTTATCAAACAGAGCAGAGCTGCAGGTAAAGTGAAACATGACAGAGAAGCAAAACTATGGCCCTCTGGCTGAATCCTGGAGCACGCAGTTGTTTGGGAAGAGTCTGACATTCTGCCAAACGCAAACGATACTGACGGAGAATTTCCCCTTTTTTCTGTGGCCAAACGGTTCCTTTAGGGCATCTCCAGGAGTCATCAGAGAGAGGGGAGTCAGATAAAGTACCTGGCATTACTAAAACGGCAATAACTATTTTGTATGAAAATGAATAAAAAGTACTCTACATATACACTACAAACAAAGATTTTCAGATTCAGATTCATTTATTTGCAATTTGCTGTAAAACCCCAGTCCCCAGTCCCCAGTGTGCACAAGGTTAAAAGTACATAAATAAATAAAACGGTTTAAAGTTCAGAAATAAAACTGTCATGGTGTGGACTTTTTTTAAATGTATCTGGTTTTATTCTGATATATTTTTGTTGTCTGTCTGTCTAGTTGATTGTTTGCCCCTCCCTGATGTGCTACACCTGTGTCTACCTGTGTGTATTTAGACCCTGTGCTCATGGCCTCTTGTTGTCGGTCCATTGTTGTTTTCCCCATGTCTGGCTCACGTTTTCAGTTTTTACTTTTTGTGGTATTTATCAAATTATATTATTTTTGCAAATCTGCTTTTGGGTCCTTCCTTGTTTATCCGTGAAAAAAACAAAACAGTAAACAATTGACACGAATCGTTCGTCTAAAACAGTTTCAATACAAAGGCCAGATCGAACCACTTTTGTGTGGCAGATCCAATATTTTGTGTTTTACTTATAAAATATCTATTCAACTTAAGCCTCCAAGTTTTTGCCCACGAGCAGTTTGATCCAACCCAGAGCAGCTGGATCTATTTCTGTTTTTCTCATGGTACGATGGTAAAATGATGATTATTTATGATCTAGATATGACAAATCTAGTCTAGAACCAGAGTTTGTTGCTGGTTCAGTATCGGTTTGACAAAGGGCAAAGGGCGGCACGGTGGCACAGTGGTTAGTTCTTGTACCTCACAGCAAGAAGGTCCTTGGTTCAATTCCGCCCCCGGACCTTTCTGTGTGGGGTTTTGCATCCTCTCCCTGTTTACGTTGGTTTCCTCTGGGTGCTCCGGTTTCCAATAGGTACAATAGATCTGGCATGCGTCTTCTATATGACGACTCCACTCTCTTCTCTGTGTCGAGTGAGAAACAAATGCCCACAACAATTGTAAAGCGCTTTGTGACTCTGCGCTGTATAAGTAAAGATTACTTATTCACTTACTTACTTGTGGACCTGTTCCCATCCACAGACGATTGGTCTTCACCTATAGTTAAGATAATTGAGACTAGGTTTGCAACTTCCTTTAGTTTGCACCTTCTACAGATGCACTCCACCTGCTGGGTTTAGCTCTACTAACTGTAGGTACTAACTCTGTGTATGTATGACAATCTATTTTTCTATCTGCTGGATTAAGGGGAAGAAAATGGATGGATGGATGGATGTTGTTATAAGGGTTCACAGTTTCAAGTTCCTTGGAACCCACATATCTGAGGACTTGTCCTGGACCATCAACACCTCCAGCCTCGTCAAGAAGGCCCACCAGCGCCTTTTCTTCTTGAGAACTCACAAGAAGAATTACATGTCCCCGTCCGTAATGCTGCATTTCTATCGCTCTGCCATAGAAAGCATTTTAACAAACTGCATTATGGCCTGGTGGCGCAGCGGGAATCTCTACAGCGGGTGGTACAGACAGCCCAGCGCATCATTGGGGCTCCACTCTCTGCCCTCGAGAACATCCAGAGCCAGCGCACTCTGCGGCGGGCTCGTAAGATTGTGAAGGACTCCTCTCACCCTGCACACAGACTCTTTAGCCTTCTGCCCTCTGGCCGCTGCTACAGTCTCCGGGCCAGGACCAGTAGGCTAAGAGACAGTTTTTATCACAGAGCAGTCACACTCCTGAACACTCAACCAATTAAAGCCCACTAAATGCACTTTAATGTAATGTAATATAATTCATGCTTAAAGCAATAGTAGCTTGTACAGTCTCTCATGTATGCAAATATATTTATCTGTGTTGTAAATATTTCCTATACTTGCGCTATTGCACTACTGGTTAGACGCTAAACTGCATTTCGTTGCATTGTTCTGAATTTGTAATGACAATAAAGTTGAATCTAATCTAATCTAATCTAATCTAACAAACAGGTAGAGCCAAGAACGGCGAAATTTCCGGACAACCCACAGGAGGGACTCCTTCTGCTCTATGATTGAACAATTTGCTTGAAAATCATTAAAATAAATATTGTTTACATAATTTCCATTGCATTTTGATTTCCATTGATACATTGAGAAATATATCAACTTTAAACTTTTGCTCAGATAATATATGGTTTGGTGTGTCATCTAAAAATAGATTATTGCAAACTGCCTCTTTTAACTTTTGACATATTTTTTTCTGTTTTAGTCACAAGTGAAGCAGAGGCAGTTTATACATTTGTTTTATCAAAACAGGTCTGTGCGTGTAGGATTTTCTATGCTAAAAGTGGTGGTGCAATGCCCAGTTATCCACCTGAATAACAACAGACCCAATGGAAAACACAAAATGAAGTTGATTTGATTTATATCTATCAGAAACTCTCATACACTACATACTGGAGAAATTGGCTTGGTAATATAACTGAGTAAATATTTACAAACGTGTGTTGAAATGTGTCTATTTGAGTCTTCCATTTGTTTGAACCCAATTTTTTATGCTCTGTCAAAGTGTGGGGGAAACCGCAAGTGAATGAATGAGTCAATGTGATCATAAAAAACCTTGTAGACAACCAGCTAAACCAAGATACTAAACATTTGAGTCAGTAGCAAAACCTCAAAACCAGGTGTGAAATTACCTGCTCCACTGCAAAAAGAGATGAGAAAACTGCCTTAAAACCAGATTTGCCAATGGGACAAGCAAAATTATCTTGTTTTGAAAAGATACAAGAAATGTCTCAGTTGGAATGAGAACTTAAGCAACAGTTTTTGAAATAAAACTAAATGGCTTTGTCCCATTGGCAAATCTTGTTTTAAGACAGTCAGAATGCACTCAAAGTAAGATTAAAAAACAGCAATTATTTCCTCATTTTTAATATTTTTTGCAGTGTCTGTATGTCTCTGGTACATGAGGAGTTATCAAAAAATACAAAAGAGACAAGTGCTATGTATGTGTGAGTGTTTTTACCATTGTTGAACCTTTCCTTTAGTTTGATCACTTGGTTTTCACGAGTCAAAACACTATTATTTTAACTAGACCGCAATAATATCCAAAGAATGATTGCTGCAGGGGTTCACCGGTTCCCAGGACATACCAACATGTGAGTCAGCGCTACGGGGGGATTTATAGGGCTGTGTCAAAGCTTGTATATATTTGATTCACCAATGTAACAGGTTATGAAACATTATACTAATGTAGGCATTATATTAAACATGGTGGAAGAATGAGAACCGAATAGGCTAAAGTCAACCTAATTTGGTCGAATATATTTGAAGTGACACAGGAAAATATGGTGGGTTTTAAAGCTGGAGTTTTTACCTAACTTTACAACCATGCACAAAGAATGTATTTTGTAACTAGTTCCTATCTCTCTCAACTGTCTGGTTATATCCCTAGTTCTCACATGGATGTATGTTTGGCTTCAGTCACTTTTAGATCCGTGAAATTTTGACCAGCCCTCACTCAATTCTTAGTTTGTAAACGATAAAATATGTCTAGAATGTGGTCCATTTCGGCCACAAAAACAAGACAAGACTCAAAAAATGTACTCTTGAAGCCATAAAAAAAGTTAAATGATGTGTTTGAAATGGTTCTAGGCCAGGGTTTTCCAACTGGGGTTCATATTTCCAAAGATTAGTGTACAAACGTTGTATCAATTTATTTTATCTCTTGGTTTTATTGGATGGGACAGTGTGTATTAATGAACAGCTGAAAATACACCAGATTATAGCTATTTCCATCTGTAGTCCCACAGTCACACTCACACACTCATTCAACCCCTCATTTTTACACACACTCCATACAGGTATTCAGTGTTCTATAACTAAAAACATTTGCAAAGTAATCTCATCCAAACTGTTGACAGGTCATGAGGACTTCTAATTGATTTATCTTACAAACTTAATGAATATGGAAAAAAAATGCTGTTCAGTTAGAAACACATCGAAACATGTCAGGTAGGTGTATCACAACAATGGACAACCAGCCTCCCAAATTCCAAAGATTGGGAGAACCTGCTTGAATGTGGTCTATGCAATGCTGCCCTCTAGTGGCGCAATCATTACATTACAACTTGTCACAAATGTGGTCCTGTTTTTGTCAATCATGAACAACATCTCTCCATTTCTGGATGATTTAACTTTCGCCAATTCTGACTCAGCCTAGAATGTGTATATTGATTGAAGACAATACAAGACGTCGGCGTAGATGAATGAAAACTAAAAGCGGAATAATCGTGTACAGTTAACGACGGCATGCTAGCTAGACCCGGCTGGTACAAAAGAAGCCCTTTGATAGCAACGAATTTGCACTTGGACAATAACTCCCAATAAGCAAAGTCCCAGATGATTGATCACACTACAAAATGCAGCCTTGTTTTGGATTGAGAACTATTTTTGTCAATGGTGAGTGGTGTGGTGCAGAAGTCGAAGTAGCGCCAGTGCCTTTACTTACAATACGCGCTTCTGATTGGTCCATTTTAATAGCATAGTGTGGCATTTTCCCCATTGACAGTTTTTCCCCATACACCTTACATACCTTTCCCAAATGTTCTCGTTTTGACCAAATTAACTTCTCCTGAATCTATTATTAATCATAAATCGTTTAAAGGCCAACGTTGAAACAACAAACTGTAAAACAAATAAAGTTTTCAAGCATCACCGACAACGCTAACCGGTTTGGTGTTGAGTTTTGTGTTGGGAAAATAATGGTCTTCTATGATTGGACTATCACAAAGTGGGCGGTGTTGATGTCTCCAAGCGTTCTTCCGGCTTAGAAAAAAAGAAAAGACGGATGGAAAATCTGTAATCTTCAAAACAAATATTGGGTTCGAATTTCTCTATACGGTAATAACGATGCACACACACATTTGAAGAGCACATGCAAAGTTAGCGGAGATTTGCATGGTTAAACTGTGGAATAGGGTAAGATTGGCGGCTTTAGTGTTAGCAGTTAGCATAAAGGTCGCTAAAGCTAACTCACAATGTAGCTATTTATGTTATACTATTATTTCCCAGTTTGGGTAAATCGTTCGAATACACCTTTAACATCGCGTGTGTGTATCGTACTACAGTTCACGGAAATGATTCGTTCTGCCGCTGTTTAAACAGAGACTGATAGATACCTACTAGTACTACTGATCGTTTTTTGTGGCTAATTTGAGTTGTTAAAGTGCATAAGTCTACTCAAATCATCTCTGTTTTTGTTATTTGTTGTTCTGTTGTTTGCTCTAACGCTTAATGGGGAGTTAAAAGCGATGTGTACTTTGCGCGTCAATGCAACATTAACATTCCCCCATAGATCCGCGTGTAGAACTGTTTTTACGCTCGCGGATACGGTGTTTTAACCATTCCACGTATGTGCGAACAATCCTCTGAATATGCGGTTTGTTACGTTTTTAGATTTGGTTTGTTTGAAATGAGCTCCCAACAATTTCCACGTCACGGGTTGCCTGTGTCCACGGGAGGAGTGCCGCAGATAACCACTACTGGGAACCTCGTATCTGTCACTCAGGCGTCCAATACAGCAGGTGAAATGTCATTCACTCAAAAACATGCATTGTGGTTAAGTGCAGACTAAAACTTGTGGCATGAAATGATTTTGTACATTTTTAGCTGGTTCAGATGGAGACAGTAACCGGGATGCAGACCATGCTCCACAGGATTACCCGCCAGCTCCAGGTCCAATTCCCTTCAGAGATGATAAACAGGAAACAATGGTGGTCAGACCTTACCCTCAGGTTCAAGCGCTTGGTCCACCTCAGACAGTGTCCATTCAGCCTGGGACCCCTGTGACTGTTCCCGCCTCCACGGTTCATCTCCCACAGGCCCAGTCTACAGTGCTCACTGAGGGACAAATGAAGGTAAAGTGTACCCACATCTATTGCACAAGACTTTTTTTATTCAATCAAGGGAAAAACATATACATTTGTTTTAAATGTTTATAGTTGAATTGTTATAAATGATAAAAGATTGAATGACACATGTGTGAAATCTCTTTTTAAGGCTGTTTTGAAGTCTCCAATGCCAAGTCGACTGATTGCTCCAGCTCCAGTTGTCAATCAGGCCCACATCCCCAAAGTTCCAGGCCACATCACAGTAACTATAGAGAGCAGCATCGCTCCAACGCCATCCATTCCAGTAGCAACAATTAGTGGTCAACAAGTGAGTGCTCACTGCCCAAAACATTACATACTGTACAAATATGCAGATAAATATCTTAATCTGTGTGTAATTCTTTCAGGGTAATTTGCATCACTTGATGCCCGCTAATATTCAAATTATTAGAGGCAGTGCACCTGCACTGCAGATAGGAGCTCCTCCTGTCCCACCCCAAACCTTCACATCTCATTTACCTCGAGGTATTGTTCTGTCAATGGAGTTATTATTTATATTAGAGCCGTATACTTCAAACATGTCCTCTGACCCATAGGAGCTGCTGCTGCAGCCGTTATGTCCAGCTCTAAAACTGTCCTGCGACCAGCAACAGGAGCGAGTGTAGGCCCAGGCCCACCCACTGTACAGCATATTATTCACCAATCCATTCAAGTAAAACATATATTTATAAGTATAATAAATATTGGCGTTCATTCATGTGTAAAACCACAGAGTAATGCATAATTTGTCTGTGCTTAGTCCCGTCCTGCAGTGACCACTTCTACTCCTGTGATCCCGACCGTTGTGGCGAGTCGCACTCAGTCTCCTGTCATCAGTTCAGCTGTTAGCCATTCTACAGATATAGTCCATGGGTACAAAACTCTAAGATCTGTTTCTATTCATTGTTTCATTTGTTGGATACATTTCTGAACCAAATGATTTTATTCCAGACGGCCTGGGATGACCATTCACCCCCCTCCAGCCGCAGTCAGTATTCAGAGACCTCCAACATCTCGAGACATAGCGACTCGAATCACACTGCCCTCTCACCCTGCAATAGGAGGTCAGAAAGCTCAGCCTCCAAACACCATGACGCAGGTGATGCACAACATCCAACTGTTAAACATGCGTATCATACTTTGCTTAAGATGGCTAACTCTCTAGACTTTGCATTCACAGAAATCAATATTCAGCACCGTGACACCAGTGGCTGCGGCCACAGTGGCTCCAATCGTGGCAACTAACAGTGTGCCTTCAACTACAGCTATAGGTTTGTTGATATTAGTACATTATTAACCTTATGATTAGGGCAAAATTGTATATTTGCTTTGTTCTTTGTAGTTGAACTTGTCAACAATATAATGGTATTGTTTTGTGACAGCATAACTTTTTAGCCTCCTTCTATTTCCCCCATTTATAGGCTCTGTCCCACACTCTCAAATGACTAGTAACACATTGGTGACCATGACTGTGGCCTCTCACTCCTCTCATGCTACTGCAGTGACAACCTCCACCATTCCTGTCGGTATGTGTCTTTCAATTTCGCTTTTCAGTCTCCCACACAATCCCAGGTCCTGAAGAATTCTCTGTGGTTTGTTATTTGCAGCTAAAGTGGTTCCTCAGCCTATTGCCCATTCAACGTCTCGCGTGCAGCCGGATTACCCAGGCGAACGGGCGAACCTCATCCCCATCTCTGGACACCGGGCGTCTCCCAACCCTGTCACAATGGAACCCAGGAGCGACCGGTAATGAGCTTCCTGCAGTTAGCATATAACCAAACTGAGAAATACCTTTTATGATAATTGGGCATACAGTATACAGTAGTTTTGATACCACAGTCCTTGTTTGAAACTTCATTACTAATTTGAATTTGTCCTTGTTTTTTTTTTTTGAAGGCCTACTGTTCCTGTCCAGTTCCAGTATTTCCTTCCAGCATACTCGTCCTCCTATCCTCTGACACACACCTATACCCCCATTAGCAGCTCTGTGTCCACTATTCGGCAATATCCAGGTAAGCTCTACAACAAAACCGATCTATTCATACATCTGCCATAGTTTTAGGGCTAGATATCTCAGGTGGCCATGTAATCTCAGTTTGAAAATTAGAATTGGTGTTGCAAACTAAAAAACAAACAATTGGCTCAAATCACTGTTTTCATATACTTCCCTGATAAAGCTGGAGTACCTAACTTTACTTTTCAATAAACGGTACATCTTTTCCCAACAGAGTCTTGTAAAAGTAAAATATGTGTATACTGTAAGGGTAGTAGGCAACGTAACAATGTACAAAATTATCTTCATAAACTAAGGAATGTACCGGCAAATATTATTAATACTCATGAATGTATCATTTCTGCTCAAATGACTGAATCTATAAGCAATGTACAAGAGTTTGTTTAGTTGCCTCTGCTTTTGTGTGCGTTCCCCTGTGCGTATATACTACTTTTATTTCAACCAGTCACTCCTCAAGCCCCCAGTTCTGCGCTGCCCACTCAGCCGGGAGTGGGAGTGGCCACGACGGTGCACCTGAACCACATGCAGCTGATGGCAGTGGACCGCATCGGCTTGCCCTCGCCCCAGATCAGCACCCAGGGGATCCAGCAGGCCCCCATCACGGCTCAGGGCATCCAGCCTTCACATATAGGAGTCCAGGGTCTGCACGGCTCCGCCCCCATCACCACGCAAGGACTACAGCAGGCCACCGGTGTGACCCAGCAACCACAGCAGCAACCGCAACAAGGCCAGGGTGATGCTAAACCAGGTAAGCAAACCAGAAAGATTATCTGCCTGTTTATATCATCATATGTCAGTTAATTCCTCTACCATAATATAATAAATGGAGAATGAGGCAATAGTTGTTTTGGAGATATTCAACATTTTTATATTGATTTAAAATGAAGAGATCCTTTATTCGTCCTGCAGTGGGGAGATTTCAGCCCATCACAAGTTACAGAACAGTAGGAATGAGGAACACCAAACACTTTAGTGAATATTAAGTTTAGAACACCGAAATTGTTTTACTTTTGAGACCAGTACCAAAAAAAAATGATTTTCAGTTATTTATTTTTGCCAATATTGCCCTCCATTCTGTATTCAATCCATCTTCAGTACCCCCCCTACTAGCATTAGAAGCTTTAGACAGTTTTGCATATAGATAGACAACACAGATAAACTGCATTTAATTGTATTGTTTTTACTTTGTAATTGCAAAGTTTTATCTAATCTAGCACATTACAGTATTACAGCCGTTTCCCATAAAGCTTCACATGCACAACTATATAAACTATTTAAAAACTGTCTCGTGTAGTCAGTTTATATCATGTCCCATCCTTAATGTTAATAATTTTTCAGTTGTCTTGGCCGACGGGTTCGTAGCCAGCCCCATCAGCACCACGTTTGGGGGGACCCAGCCTGTAGCCACCATGGTCCAAGCCCACCCCCAGGGAGCCTCTGTGGGGGGAGGTCCCACTTTAGTGTCCTCCCCGCGGCCCAGCATCCTCCGGAAGAAGCCTGCCGCCGAAACGTGAGCCACTAACTGCTATTGTTATGTATTCAACCAGCGCAATGCATGAAATGAAAGTGATTTGTGTTATTTCAATAGATATATATATTGAATGTTACCCATGTTTTGCTTCAGGTGTGTGCGCAAAAACTTGATTCCGGCTCAGCCCAGTGACCAGGGTGGGGCTAGGATGGAGACCGCAGTGAGAGCAGCCGGATCCCCCAGACCTGCAGGGTAATGGCTCGTACACACCACAAGCATAGCGAGTGATCACCGGGCAGAGAGAGTAGAGACGTGGCTGCTGGTGGTCTCCCTGTGTAGTCTCTGGAGAAGTGTAGAGGACAAACGATGTCCAGAATCACTGTCAAACCTGCCTGTCCTCCTCTTAATGTTAAATACAAGTGCTATATGTGTGTGGAGCTGATCTAGTGCCAAGGACAGCTAGCAAAAATATGTTTCCCAACTATTTTGACTGTGAGCCACATCACTGCACGAGTAAAAATAACAGATCAGCAGAGAATCAAGCGGTTTGACACAGGAAATGCAATAATAACATAGAAGCCTTTCGTCCATAGTGGGCGGGCGACCGAAGTCCATAAATCTTTATAAAAGAATAAGATAAAGGTTGAAGATTTATATAGGGTTTGGCATCGTCATTAACTGATTGATAAGATTCTGTTCAATCTTCTATAGCCCCCTGTTAACTCACTCCTCTCCTCTCACGTTCTGGATCATCACTGACCTTAGAGCCTCCTGCAACAGGAATGATGCAGGAGAGTCATGGATTTCCCATAGAAATCCTTGTAATTTAGAGAAGACAGTTGACTGATTCAATTTTTGGTTCAATTCTTGGTTCAGTAACTGGTCAGTTTTCTTCCTGGTCGAAAGAAGATAGCCCTAAAAAGAACCCCTTGTATAACCCCTTGCTGAAAATGAGACTAGCTTCTTCTCTGACACTGTTCAAATCCAGGTGAAAAACTGTTTTTTTATAGCTGAGCATGGAACTGAGGGATTTTATCTTCACTCCTTTTTAGTGTACTGTGATTATTTATAATTGTAATGCCTTGTGTGACCGTCTCTTTCTTGTTTTGTTCAGAACTTTGGGTTGCCTTGTGTATGATTTGTGCTATACAAATAAACTGGCCTTGCTTTATATCTGATGTGTGTTTTTTGTGGTTTCTGTTTCAGTCTGAAGCCTAAAACAGAGGTGCACATTGCCGTGGCTCCTCCCGTCATGGCGGCGGTGGAGGCATTACCCTCTCAGCCTCTGGAGCAGCACATCGTCTCCACGGCCCCGCAGCACATGGCCCAGGCCCTGCCCACCATGCTTTCTGCCCCAGGACCCGTGCCTCTCTCCCAGCCCTCCACGGTGCTCTCGGCTCTGCCCGCAGCCATGGCCGTCACTCCCCCCGTGGCCGCGTCCATGGCCAACGCCGTGGCTTCACCCACTCAACCCGCAGCGAGCAGCACCGTGTCCTGTGTCCCCAGCTCCACCGAGATCAAGATCAAACAAGAGGCGGAGCCAATGGACACCAGCTCCCAGCAGCAAGGTGAAGAGAGGCTTTGTTTTTACCCTGATTGAAAAAGTACTGAGCCAAAACTAACGTGTTCACTTTCATACATCTTCCATCCATTATAATCCTCTTAGTCAATTTCTGGGTTAGGACGGTGACAATCAGAGCTGCCACAAAAGTCACATAGCACTACCCAAGTCATAAATCTTAATAATGCTATTCTTGATTATAAAAACATGAACAATATTCACAATTTTTCAAGCTGAATGAGTCTCTTATTTGCCAGTTTGTGAGAGCTAATATGTTTTGTTATAAATCTTGGTGTGTTTCAGTGTTTGACCTCTAAAAACTCTATATTGTTGTTTCAGTGTTGTGGACATTTATTTTCTCTAAATACTTCTTAAATATCCCATAACATAGTCTGTATGTGCCAAAGTATGAGGATGCTACATGAGATGAGGCTTAGTTCTTATGTTTTAATGCTTCTCGTTATGAGCCTTAACATAAAGAAGACATAATTCACTTTTTTTCATTTGGATATGAAGGCATGCATTAAATCCTTATAAAATTCAAATATAATACTAAATTATGGAGGGTGGCACAGTGGCTGAGTGGATAGCACTCACCTCATCAAGAAGGTCCTAGGTTTGAATCCTGGTCAGAATGGAGTCTTTCTGATTGCACTTTGCATGTTCTCCTCGTGCTTGCGTAGGTTTATTATGCGGATTTATTGTTATAATAATCAAATACTGTACATATGTGCACTATGTCATCATTTATCTTTCCATTCAAACAACCATTTACAGAAAAATACGGCATCATTTTGCCGATAGTTCGAAATGCGATTAATATATTTTTAACCTGTAATTAACTTGATTAAAAATTGTAACCGTTTGACAGCCCTAATTGTAACTATTACCATTAATGAGATGGACAGCATTTTCATGAAAAGAAAAAATAAATACAAAACTAATTGTACAGATATGTGTCTACTGAATAAACTGACCCATGTATCCTCTGTGTTCAGATTCCAATGCTAGCTTGTCGTTGGCTCCCACACTCGGCTCTCAGGCCGCTTCTATGGCCACGTCTGCCCCAGGAGAGCTTATTCCAGGGGCCTCACCGCGAAAGAAGCCCCGCAAACAGCAGCACGTGATCTCCACCGAGGAGAGCGAGATGATGGAGACCAACAGCACGGACGAGGAGAAGGCCACAGGACGACCCATCACAGGGAGAGCGGAGAGGAGAGAGTCCCCGCCCAGAGAATATGTCGGTATGTGTCAGGCATGCTGGGCTAAAGAATGGGGAATCTGTTCATAGTCATTAAGATGAAGAGAATTTCAGTGTTGCATCACAAGTTATAGAACAGTAGGAATGAGGAGCAAAAAGCACAAGATACATGAACAATAACTCTATACTATAATGACATAAAATCTCTAGTTATAGCATAATGGATTGATAAATACATTCACAAACAAAACACTGTAATTTCATTCTGTGGGACAAATAAAGGATCTCTTAATCTTAAAAACGTCATTCCACACATTTGTGTAATTGAAGCAGGTGCAAATATGATAATAATGTATGTACTACTAATAAGTACACACTAATAATAATAATCAATGACTCTTCTGGCCCCTGGAAAAGCCATGTTCCAGCTTCTTCCTTCTGGCAGAAGATATTGTTTGCTGAGATAACCTCAAAGCACTTTAATGATCTTGTATTGAGGCTGTTTTTGTTGATTTGGTTTCACAGTGACAAATGTTTCTTGTACTGTGTAGCCTGTTTTATTTATCTGGTGCACACTGGAGACTTTTGCACATGTATTCCAAGTAATCCAGTAATCATTGTTTAGAAGCTACATATTACATACGGCATTTTTTTAATAACTTTCTCTGAGTCAAATCATTGGTAAAATACAATGCAGTTTCTTTTACAAACTCCCCACCTGGAGAACTTCTGAAATGCCTTCTTCTTAAATGCAGACGTTTCATTGGTCTACACATCTCTCTGTGTGTGTTTCAGATGAGGAAGGCGTGCGGTACGTGCAGGTCCGCCCCCGACCTCCCGTCACCCTCCTCAGACATTACAGAAACCCCTGGAAGGCCGCGTACCACCACTTCCAGCGCTACAGCGACATCCGCGTCAAAGGTCAGTGCTCTCCTCAGCCTCACGCTCCTGTGGAAAGATTCAAGCACAAAACACACCTGTTGATCTTTAGTGTAGGTGGTGATGCAGTGCTTATATGTGGGTTAAGTGACGGTTATAAAACTACACTTAGGGACAATACTTTGCATAATGACAGAGTAACAAGGCGTAGAATCAGAGTGAAGCTATTGGCACATGCCAGTCTTTCCTTCAATTCAATTTTATTATCAAGTTGTCAATTCAACTAAAGCAAATAAAGCAACATTTCTTGAAATAAGACTAAATGGCTTTGTCCCATTGGTAAATCTAGTTGTCAGAAGGTACTAAAATTTAAATTAAATACAAAGATTCAATCAATTATCACATCTCATTATCTATCATTTTTTGCAGTGTATCTCCTGTACTATAGTTTTTGTTAGCTTTCCTATCCTAATTCTTCAATAAATGTAATTCATACTATGGTAGACTTTAGATATTACCCTGGTCCCAATCATGGAACCACGTTTGGCATTTTAAACAAATATTGTCTTTCTCCCTGTTGCCTTGGTTACTAAAAGCGTATAAAAAGACAACATTGTTTCTTTGAAAGTCGGCGCTATTAAATATTTAAATAGGCGAATATGTAATTTTTAAATTTTAATTACATTGAAATTTCTACACTGAAAAGCAATGCTTTTTCATGGTTAAAACTTCAAATGGAGAAATTCCAGCTAATTTAAAATTCCAAATCTGAAGACACAAAAAATGTCCACACACGCCCTCTGCACTTTTGTAGTCATTCAAAATCTTTTTTATATTTTCAATTTTTTTTTACTGACTGCATGCAGCCCTGTGTGAATATCAAATTATTGTGATCTCTGAAAACCTTCTCATAACTAACACTTTTTATATGTATGTATTAATATAGAGGACAAAAAGGGGAGTCTACAAGAAATGGCCAATCAGAAAGGAGTGGCTTGCAGAGCTCAAGGCTGGAAGATCCACTTGTGCGCCGCGCAGCTAAGACAACTGGTAACGACTACACGCTTGAACCACCGTCTGATTTTGTCGCTTTGTTTCTTTATTTTTTTTAATGGCTTAAACGACTTCACTTTCAGACAAATTTGGAGCATGATGTGTACAGCCGTCTGTCCACTCTCCAAGAAGGACTGATCCCAAAGAAGAGAGCGGGAGGCGACGACGACCTGCATAGAATCAATGAGCTCATACAGGTACATGCACATCTGTCGTATTAATCTATTCAAGTAAAAACCTACAAAACAGTGTCACGTTCAAGCAGAAAAGGGCAAATAAGACAAAGCCAAAGCTGTTCATATGAGCATCCCAAAGTAGAGAGAGTTTGAGTCAGATACTGCTACAAACATCTTTCTTTTTTCCACCAATATCACATTATTTTGTAAGTGATGGTACAAATAATGTATTGAAATATCACATTATTTTGATAACGGGTGGGAACCTCAGGGTACGATACGATACAAAGCTCACGATATAACGATGCAGCGATTATCAATATATTGGTCAAAAATATACCTACAATAATATTTTTATAAGTGAAAAAATACACTTTATTTCAAGATAAATTGATAAAGTGTCATGTGTAGTGTCAGGAATGAACCAGACAGAGACTGATCGTGGTGCGCCAAACTCTGGAAGTTTATTTAAGTTTTTCTCATGTTCCAGTGGTTTCAATTGTTTCTTTCTCTCAGACAGAACAAAGGCAGTACACAGTTTATATAGACATTGTCACGTCACACATTGAAAGACATACGTGTCACACAGAGACAGTCACATCATAGTCAAATCATGGATGCACAATCAGAAGAGTCCTTGTATAGTCTTGCAGTCGTCCTCCGTAGGTCAAATCGCTATCTAATCCTAACAGTAACATTAAAATGCCTTTTAACCTGCACATTTTAGTAAAAATCTTACTTAATCTGTCTTACATCCAATAAAATCAATATGAACATTCTACAGAAATTATAGAATGCGTAATGTAGCCATATATTAAGTATCAATACTTTTTATTTTTTTTAAATAAATTGATCCTTTGAAAAAGCATATCGATAATCGATTGCGTGAGAAAGTATCACGATACATGACCATATCGATATATTGTCACACTCCTAATTTTGTTAGTGATGGTACAAATAATGTATTGAAATGAAATGTAAAAAAGAACAGTTGTGTTGAAAGTTTCATCTTCACACATCTGAGACTTCTGTACTTTTGATTCCACAACCTTTTGAGTTGCTAGAAATGGATCCTAACATCACTGTGGGGAAAACTTGTTGCTGAAATAGGAAATCTCTATTTTAGGCTTAATATCTCTTTAGTATTTAGTGTAATATATCTTTATCATTTATCAGATTTATGGTGGTGCGGTGCAGCGAGAAGGTTCAGAAGGAAAAATTTAAAAATTTGACTACTTTTAGCACCTAAAGGGCATGTTACCCAGCTTCAATTGTTTTTATATAATATGTATTCTGTATGTTTATCTATATATAATTTTTTTGAGTTGAAATATGCAAATGTATTACTTTATTACTAATGTTAGTCATTTAAAATGATTTATTTATGTTTGTATGAATGGATGTGTTTCTGCTGCTGGACACCTGCATTTCTCCCACAGGAATCAATAAAGTAACTTATCTTTTTAAAGAAAAAAAAACAATTGCTGTTAGAAGGAAAACAGATTAGATTTAATTTCCGGTTTCTTTCTCGTGCTCTTCCTCTGCTCTAAACGTCCGCTCTCTCTTCAGGGCAACATGCAGCGGTGTAAACTGGTGATGGACCAGGTCACAGAAGCCCGTGACACAATGATGAAAGTGCTGGATCACAAGGACAAAGTGCTAAAGCTGCTCAATAAAAACGGCGCAGTGAAGAAGTCCTCCAAATTAAAGAGGAAAGAGCGAGCGTGAGGCCGCACTTGCCATTGCCACCACTACCACCACCGCCCTCTGGTGGCGAGGAGGAGGAGCGGCTCACTGTCTGGTGCTACGATTTTGCTGAATACAATCACATGCACCCTGCCGGAACAGAAACTCAGAGACAAAAAGATTGAACGCAAAAACAGGAGGAACAAGTTCTCAGTTACACGTGACGCGTGGAGCCTTTCGATTTGTCATGTCCGATTTTTTTTATTTTTTTTTTATTTTTTTTATGTTTGGACCGGCCCAGTTTTATGTACAAACACATTTGGTTCAATGTGAAAATACAGGCACATACAAAATTATACAAGTGAATTTGAATGTTGAGGAAAGTGGAATTGTTTCAGTCCAAATTAAAATGTGAATGTTTTGCAGATTTTAGGCGCAGAATCATTTAAAAGACGTACAATTTTTTTTCTCTCAGACCCGACCACAGAGAAGAGAAGAACCATTGTTATTGCTGTCCGAGAGAAATAAAAACAATAAAACTTTGTTAAGCTCAGGTGGTGTGAAACCGGTCCTCAAAGTACTGGTGGGGCTACAGGTTGAGACTTGAGGAAATGGGTGGAGCCTGGTGTGCTCCTGCTTGGTTGGAATGAAAACCTGCAGCCACACTGGCCCTTTCTGGAACCAGTTCGACACAGCTGACTACAACCGCTAACGGGGATAAAAACAAGAAAATGACGTTGGTAAGTTAAAAGACTAGGATCCAGCACCATCTCCACATTACTGCTGTGATGGACCATAGAGAAGAACCCTTGTTATTGTCCTATAGAAAAGAATACAAGAATTTGACTTTCACTTCTCCGCCCAATATTTAAAAACTACGACGTTGTGTCGTCATTTACTACTGTTGTGTCGTCATTTACTACTGTTGGAGGATGTTTTTAAGTTTTCAATGCAAGATCCAAAAGGGACACAATGGTTTTGTTTAGACAATTATAAACCCATGTTTTGAAATGTGCTCTTCTCATAAACTGTGCCTTCATTTTGTCAATGTACATATAGAAAAATCACCTTGAAAAATACATTTCGGAAGCCTCCCATTTTTTTTATTTTTTATACATGACGCCTGAAATGTCTTGAGTTATGATGGAAGGTGATGGAGGAATCATTTGTGCATCAACGACTGTATTCAAGATCAAAACGGCGACGTTCGGACACGGTCTGTGTGGTTGTTGAATTGTAAATCAATGTACATGTGTTTTTTTTCATCACTTTCTTTTCCAGTTTTGTACTCTGAATATTTGTGTGACTGGCTTCATTTTGCAGTGTACTTCACTCAAATGAGGGGATCCTTAGAGACATCCAGCTGTTGTACATGTTTCTGTCTGTGTAATTATAGTAAAGATACTTAAACCAATACTGAAGTCTTTGTCTTCTGTTCTAAATGAACTCTTAAAGCAGGGGACTTTTCATAAACAATACGTGTTTATTCTAAAGGAGTGAAATGTTGTGAACAAACCAGATCTCAAAGGGCTGTCTTGTTGAATTAAAATAACGTTGGATCTTTTGCATTGCCCCGGGGAGACACTGTTTGATGCTTTGGGCTGTATGAATGTGGTTCACTTTTGTGTTTGAAAAAGCTAATTTACAGTTGTGACGGAGGCCAACAACAAATTTTATTACATAGTTAGATGTTTTGTGGGTTTGGAAGTTAGGTACCCCAGATTTAATCGGATAGAAATTGTCAAGGAGTAGGTATCTGGAAAAATTAATTTAGCGTATTTTTGTATAGCCCTAAATCGCAACAGTCTCTGAGGACTTTATACATTTGTTGTTGTGGTCTATATTTATAAATATGTATATTATATATATATTATATATATTATATATATATGTATATGTATATTATATATATTATATGTATATATAGTGTGTATATATATATATATATATGTATATATATAGTGTATATATATATATATATGTATATATATATATATATAGTGTATATATATATATATGTATATATATATATATATAGTGTATATATATATATATGTATATAATTCTAAAAGGACCCTAAAACTCTAACCTCTTTTTACCAAGTCAATTTGCCAACAACAGATTGGAAAATCATTCAGTTCGAACACAAGAAATGCAATAATAACAAACACACATGAGCCCAAAAGTCGTGGGTTCTAATCCACTACGAGACTGATATTGGAATGTAACTTAAGTTATCATTTTGGTAAATCATATGTGGCTATGTGCTGAATGCTCTGTATTGTAATTCACTTTAGCTCCAGCAAGACACCGGGAGGTCTGGGGAGCTCATATGCTAAGTGTCTTTTGTTGTGTTGGTTTCTTCCTTTCCCATCTGCATACGAAGGTGTGTCTTGTTCTACCAAAAGGGGCTTGCAGACTGTGAATCTTCAGACTTGTCCTGAGAGAGGCTAGGGTCTTTGCCTTGCCTCTGTCAAGACATTCTCCTTGTACAATGTGACAAGTAAAAGATTAACTTTGTCTCTTTGTTGTGTGAGATTTCATCAGGTTCAACTGTGGTTGAAACAGCTTTATCAGAGACCCTCCACCGTCTCTCACTAATGTGAAAGACTAAGGCTATACTGATAGAAATGGACAAGAGGGGAAGAATTTGGATGGATGGACATCGGCGCCATTGGTCCATAGGGAGCAGGAGGACTATAGAATCTGACCTACACATGTTGTACTTTATTACTGCTAAATATTTTTATCTGAACTTATTTGTTCTGATCCAATTTGCTAGCCAATCTATATCATGCATTGTTAATATCTCAAATGAATACGTCTCTGTTCGCAACCACATTGATACAATTTAGTTCTATCTGGAGGGACTTATAAATAGACCGGGTTACAGATGCGATTGCTGCTGCTGGCCTTTGTTTCTCGACATGACCACTGTTGATACATGTTAATAAATGTTCTGGATCATCACTGTCCTAAGACCCTCCTACACCGACAAAGAACACCTCAAAAACCCACTGGCAAAAAAGTGAGAAACCTCAGGAAGGCTCATATTGAAAGATGGATCCACTCTCACAGATGGACAGGCTGTAGATCCAAGACTTTGAAAACAGAATAAATATTCTCTTGTTTTCTCCATCCATCCATCCATCCATTTTCTTCCCCTTAATCCATTTCTGGGTCGGGGGGTGGCAGTCAGAGCTGCACCCAGTACACATAGCACCAGCCCCTCACTGATCCTCCTGCAGGAGGTGAGACCACAGGAGCGAGGTGGTGAGTCTTGTTCTCATTAGCTGTAATGTAAACAAGAGAGCAGTTAGTTCCCCGGTGTTGTAAGAATGTTTCAGGAATGTACGTCTCATAAAACTCACTAAAGTTGTGTCATAACTGGGAAAACAGTTTCTATTAATTTTACTGTTAAACTTTACGGCATAATTGCTGGCCGGGCTTGGTGACCTCCAATGCACCCATATGTTATGATCAAGGAAGTACTTTACATGTATGATATATATTTGTGTAATCTGTTATCTGATACTATGGTGTTTTTTAAAATGTTTTAATTCTTCCTTATATGGCGGATGTACATTGAGACTATACAGCAAGTTTATATACAATTCAAATACATATAGGAATGACTTACTCTTTCACTTTGTACATAAAGGAAAGGTACAGGCAGGAATATAGCCACACCTATGAATGTATTTAGATTATAATCTTGGATCTAAGTGTTGAGTGTCTTTGGGAGGCTTCTCTTTTGCAGGATCAAAGTCAAAGTGCCATAAAGTGCAGGTACTTCCCGCTTCCTGCTTCTCATTCAGCAAGACACACGCCACAAAGGAACAAGACGCAAAGGAAAGTAAGTCAAATCTATTGCTTTTATGAAGTGTATAAGCTGTCTAATTGAAAGCTAAAAGATATATATGTTTTGAAAAGATAAATGTTGTGTTCAAACTGCAAAACAAGATGAAAAATAAGTCAAAAATTGCTCAAATTTTGCAAAATGCATCTTAATTTTGCCTGCCTCAAAACAAGATTTGCCAATGGGACAAGCAAAATTGTCTTGTTTTAAAAAGATACAATAAATGTCTTCCTTTTAATGAGAAAATAAAGCAACAGTTCTCAAATAGGACTAAATTACTTTGTGCCGTTGTAAAACCACCAGTAATATGTTAGTTGTGGTAAAAATGACTAAAGCAAATTAACCAAAAATATTCCAAAATGTACACTCAAAGATACTCATTGTTTACCCATGTAGAAATAAATGTTATGTATGTTGTGTACTTGTGTGATAAAGAAGGGCAACCTAAATTTCAAACCTCAAAATATTTACTATGCAATAAAATCCATCTAAAATGTCCTCTCTCCCAGCTTCAAATACCTGATTGATCAAAATGAATAGATAATAACCTTATGTCTTTTTGCAGTGTCCAGCATGATGCATCTGAGTAAGGTAAGAAGTGCAACCCACCATCACAAAAACCTGGTGGAGCTTCTGATTTGTGATTTTAATGGTTTTGTCATTAGGGGGATTTCGTGTGGGTGGACACAGGAAGTGGGATTCCCATCGGCGCCGAGGTCAAAGTCACAGACACTGGACAACTGCAGCTGATCGACGATGAGGGAAAGGTAAAGCAGCAAAATATGAAAAGAAAACAAGCGATATCATCTTTTTATATATCCATCTATCTATCTATCCATCTATCTCATTGTGTAAAGTTGCTGAATATTAGCATATCTGAAACATCCAGCGCAAGCTGGGAACTGGGATGTTCTCAGCAAGGAGTAAGCGGTCACTGAAACAGACTTAGACAGATTTGTGAACAATGTCAGACAGAGATGAGTCTATTGATCTTAGATACAGTTTTATTTGTCTTTTTTTATTGAACTCATGAATAACTGCATTTATATTTTGTTATGTTACGTATACGTTGAAATATTCACTAAATGTAGTGAGGACAGAGCACAGAGTCAGGTTCGAGAGGGAGGTGTGTGGTCAGAGAGTGTTTCGGCCTGTGTCTAGTCATGTGTTGTGCTTGTGTCAAGTGTGTGTGTTGTGTTGCGAGGGGGGTTGGAGCCAAAATAACTGTCTGCTTCGTCCAGCCTCTTTTTCAAACGGTTTATTTCTGTTTCTTGTTTATGGTCTATATTGTTTTCTTTTGCATAACGTTTGAAGTAAATGTTTACTATACGATACTACACTTTAACATATACACAAACAGTCCACTTTGTCATGTGTTCTATTCTGTAGTCTAACCTGCTGTTGTCTTTGCTCAGGTGCACAAGATCGACAAGAAGAAGGAGGTTTCCATCAGACCCATGCACCCAACCGCCGTGAAAGGAGTGGACGACATGATCCGACTGGGAGACCTGAACGAGGCGGGGCTGCTCCGAAACCTGCTTGTGCGTCACAAAGAGGGCATCATCTATGTGAGTGTACTCTGATGAAGACGGACCATCCATCCATCCATCCATCCATCCATCCATCCATTCATCCATTCATCCATTCATCCATTCATCCATCCATCCATCCATCCATATTCTTCTCATTTCTGGGTCGATGGTAATCAGAGCTGCACCCAATTCACAGAGCACCAGCCCCAGATGGACCATTTAAGATGGGACTTCTACGTAGATAGTTAGACAGACAGACAGACAGACAGACAGAGAGACAGACAGACAGACACTTTATTCAATCAATCAATCAACTTTATTTGTATGGCGCCTTTCCAACACAAGGCCACTCAAAGCGCCTCACAACCCACATAATATCAGACAAATCAGAAACATAAAAATCTACATATACAAACAATAAATAAATTAAAAACAGAATAAAATCACAAGTAATGAAGAAACTTTAAAACATTAAAAGCACACACAGGATTAAAATAATAAATAACCACAGTGCATTTATTGATCCACTATACATAGTTCCCACAGACCAATGAATGTCACATGACCTCCTCGGAGACGCCATCTTTGATGGCACGCTGCTGTGTTTGTGCATTCCATTAAACAGAAGAATGAGAATAAATGTAGACATTCAAACGCAAATTGGAAAAAAAGGGCAACTTTTGAGCAAATAATTGTATATTAATACAATGGCACCACAGTTTAACGTGCTACGGACATGTTTTACATATTTGATCAAATTATGCAGCAAAAATTAACAAGCAATGCAAACATTTCTCAAAAACTTTAGATTTAATACCAGTTGGAGCTCCATTTAATTATTTTAATTATATTAACAATTAATTTAATTAATGCTAATGCCACACGGACACTCTGGATTGCTGTTATTGTTTATTTCCGCGTTTTTGACCGTATGTTTTGGTGAATGGTGGGCAACTGATTTTTCCAGGCGTAAAGAGCAGTTTATTTTATGACACAGATCTTTTTACAGAAGCAATGCTGTTTGTGAACATTGTTTTAGCCCACCATAGAACTATTATCTATTTAATACATTTACGTTGCCCTCGAGAGCCTCGGACGCGACACCGATCCTCCTCATAATAAAGTAATCTAAATAATGAAACTCTCAAGTTACCAGCTATCAGCATACACAAGTTAGTACTGAGTAAATTACGTCTGTCAACACATTATGAGATACGATACGCACCTGACACAAAGTGCTCCGAGCATATTCTTGCGTGTTTTGAGGGAGTTTCTTGCCTGTTTATCTTCGCAAGCCATAACCTCCGTGGTTGTTCTGACAAAAGCTTAGTCTTCTCACATTCATGAAGTCTAATGATGGGTATACTGTAAAATCCAAGTTTAACGGAACCTCCGGCACGATTTGAACATCCATTGACCCAGCAGGAGATGACCATTTTCAACTTTATCACGACATTAACACGTTTCAGCTTCTTTTTCTATTGTTTTGCCCACAGAATGCCAAGACAAATGGCGCCGGGTCGGCAAATCCCCGTATGTAGTGACGTCATGTGGGAACTATGTATAGGAGACATTCAGGTGTCAAGCAGCAGAAACACATCCATACAAACACAAGTGCATTCATTATAAAAGTTTGTCACTGACTAACTAACGAACAATAGTGCACATGTTCAACACAGACAGACATACAGACAGTATTCTCTGCTAAAGATAGAATTTCTAGACTACCCTAGTTTTTTGCTCAACAGCTTATACAGCGATGCTAACAGTTTATGAACTTATTATTTTGATTCTTTCAGTAGCTATAGGTTTAATGTCAAAATAACGGTTAAACTGTTAAACACCTCGTCATTAAATCATGTTGTGTCGTCTCTCTGCTACATTAAAACATGAAAACCTGAGGCTTATATCCAAGTGCAGCCTATATGTGGAGCATTGATTTTCTTATCATAGTAACATAACAAACACATAGGAGCCATTGGACCATAGGAAACAGGATGACCACCGTCCATAAATGTCAATATATGTCCATAAAATAATAAAATCTTAATCCTCGTTTATGATATCATTAAAACAGTACACAAATCAGGAACCAGTAACAAATGTATTGCAAAGTTTAATTCAGACATTAAAAGTTTAAATTTGACGTTTAGCACTGTATACACTGTGCCCATGCTAACAATAAGACAAAAAAATGGCCTTGGATTGAAAAAATATGTGGAAGAAAGAGAGTAATGCCTGAGCACAGAGCAAGTAGTGGAAGAGAGGTGTAGGGTCGGAGAGTGTTTGGGCCTGTGTATTGTCAGAGAGTGTGTGTGTGTGTGTGTGTGTTTTGCGTTGTCTGTCTTTTACCATCAGCGGTGGTAGCGGTGTTACTGTTTGTACTGTTGTATTTTTGAGAATTCTACTACATGATATTGTTAAAATAGCGTGATGAGGGTTGGAATAAAACAGTGGAATCAACTCAAATATGAAATAAAAAGTTCTGCAAACATCCACATGTTTAATAATGAAATCAAAGCAAAAACAGTGAAATAGTGCGAAATAAATTATTAGAAAAATTAACAAATTACTATAAAATAAATGAATGAATGAAATGAATGACAACAAATAAATAAAATAAAATAAAAACAGTTTGAAGTTGGATTGCTGAATGTAATTGTAATATATGATGTATTGTCCTGTCCACAGTTGGAATTAATAATGAAAGAAATCAAGAAAGAAAGACAGAACATTTTAAAATAAAAATGAAAAAAAATAATGAAATAATGATAAAAAAAATACATAAAAAAATAAGAAAATACATAAATTAAATAAATGAAACATAAAAATACGTATATTTCAGAAAGTAAGTAATCTTTACCAGTATTTATACAGCACCTTTCACAGGCCAGAGTCACAAAGCACTTAACAATTGTTGTGGGTTTGTCTCTCGCTAAACACAGAGATAAGCAGCAGGATAAATAAACAAAATGAATAAAATAAAGTGCAGAAATAAAATGGGCGTGAGAAAGTCCGGCTTTGGTCTCGTCGACGTAAAACTGAATCTAAACTGCAGCTTTATGACGTCTATAATAAAACTGTGGAAACACACGGTCAGCCTCTGTGGCCTGGACTCTGGACTCTTTATTGCTGGGCTGTTTGCCTCCATAGAGATATAAACCTGGGTCTGTTTACAGGAGAGCTTCATGCCCCTCTTTAAATCCCTCCAGCGTCTCGCCAATTATAAATCCTGCCATTTTTGTGGAGGAAAAACTGATGCTTGGAGCGAAATTATCTAGGACAACCTCCCCTTTGAATGTCAAGATTGTTCAGTTCAGAAGTGGGTTGAGGCTTGTACTGTATTTGAAAAGACTGAATGATTTAGATCTGTCGGGTGTAGTTTAATATCCATTAGTTTTATGTCTTCATCTGGAGTGTTGTACCGTGCTATCGCTTTGGCCGGCGGCTCGCAAAGATTGGAGGATTGTGACCCCAATTTGAATCAGAATCAGATTTCTTTTTATTGCTATTGTAAGTAACAGGAAATCACAAACTAGGAATTTGCCTTCATGGGAATATGATGCAAACAAGTTAAGAATATAAAATAGATAGATAGAAGTATAGAAAGAAAAAAGATAGATCCAAATGTGATGCATAAAAACTTTAAAACAATTCCATCATATAAATACACAAAACATCTATCCATTTTCTTCCGCTTCATCCATTACCGGGTCGTGGGGGTGGCAGTCGATGCAAAGATGCCTCCAGTGTGTCCTGGGTCTTCCCCTGGTCTCCTCCGGGTGGAACATGTTCGGAAAACCTCCCCAGGGAGCCGCCTCAACTGGTTCCTCTCGACGTGGAGAAGCAGCAGCTCTACTCCAAGTTCCTGCCGTCTTACTGAGCTCCTCATCCGATCTCTGACGGAGCACCCAGCCACTCTGCGGAGGAAGCTCATTTCGACCGCTTGTATCCGCGATCTCGTCTTTTCGGTCATTACCATAAGTACCATAAGTGAGGGAGGGAACAAAGATTGACCGTTAAATCAAGAGTTTTCCCTTTTGGCTCCCTCTTCAGCCGCATCACTGCTCAGCTGCATAATTCGTTTCAATTTATTCTTGTAAATAAATACAATATAAAATAGAATTTGCCAACACAGATCAGAGAATCAAACCGTTCAAACACAAGAAATGCAACAATAAAAACACATTGAGCCCTTGTCCATAAGAAGCTGATGCCCAATGTCCACAAATTTTATCAAAAGAAAAATGATTATTGTGTCATCCAGGATGTGCATATGTAGTTTGTTTTGTGTGCTTTTGTATTCCTTGTTCTTCACTATTTTTATTGTGAAATGAAAAGTCTGATTGTATTGAGTTTGGGGGGTGCGGGGTTGCTTTATTTTCTCATTCCAAGGGAGACATTTCTTGTATCTTTTTGAAACAAGATCATTTTGCTTTCTCCCATTGGCAAAATATGTGTTAAGGCAGTCAACATGTGCTTTAATTGAGATACATTTTGCAAAATTAGAACAATGTCTTACTCCCTCCTGTGGTGTGTACCTTGCAGACGTACACCGGCTCCATCCTGGTGGCCGTGAACCCATACCAGCTGCTGCCGCTCTACACCACAGAGCACGTGCACATGTACACGGACCGGCGGCTGGGAGAACTGCCCCCACACGTCTTCGCCATCGCAGACAGCTGCTTCTTCAACATGAGGAGGAACCAGAGGAACCAGTGCTGCGTCATCAGGTGAGCCCAGGAGCAGGTTTTCACTCAGAGGATTCAGATTAGATTAGATAAGATAAGATAAATTTGTATAAACCTTTATATTCGGCCCTCAGAATTATGTCCTGTACAGAAAGGCGCTTTTAAATATAATGTATTTTTATTATTATTATTATTACAACATGTAGGGAAATTACTAGTAACCAATACATCTGTCTTTAGTTTGATCTAAGTCAAAGGAAGTACATAACAACAACAACTAGTTCTAAAGTGTTCACGAGGCGAATGGCTGGGGGGGAGAAGCTTCTTTTTAGTCTCTCAGTTCTTGTCCTAATAGTGCAGCCTCCTTTCAGAGAGGAGCCACTGGAGCAGCTGATGATGCATTTTTTTCCTATTTTAAATGATAATATCTTGTGCCCTTTCATCCTGCACAGAAATCAAAACTGATACTTCAGAGTGGTTTTCCCCAAGAGAGAAAATAGATTTCCCCTCTGTGGGACGAATAATGGTTGTCTTATTTAATCTAATAATTTCTCCTTTTTTTGCCGTCAGCGGTGAATCTGGAGCGGGGAAAACAGAGAGCACCAAACTCATACTGCAGTTCCTGGCGGCGGTCAGCGGACAACACTCATGGATCGAGCAGCAGATTCTGGAGGCCAACCCCATCCTGGAGGGTAAGCCCCAAAACTACACTGCATCTATAAATCTGTTTGAACAACACAAAAACTTAAGTTTTCACTACACTAATTACAATCATTTCAAAAGTCGAGTTGTTTCTTGACTAGTTTTCACATTTAGTTTTTTGTTTACATTTTAGTTCAGCCATCACTAATTAACAGCTAATTAGTGTATTATTGATGGTTAATAAGTTCTTAATTTGTATTTAAAGTAGTCATTAGTCCATATTCTACATGGCCTTATTCAACATCTATCTAACTACTAACTTTTACATTTTTCCTACACATTTACAATATATTAGTAACACAAACAAACTATTTTTACGTAATTTATTCAAAAATAATTTCTTTCAATCTTTTTCTTACAATTTATAGACAAATATACAAATAACATGTCTGTATCCGTCACAATTTTTTGATCAGTTTCTTCAGACAGAAAAGTGATAAAGTGGTCGGCCAATCAGCTCTCAGCCCAAAGAGATTCATGTATATTTGAATATATATTTATGAAGTTAGTGTCACTTTGTTTCAGCTTTTGGAAACGCCAAAACTGTTCGAAATGACAACTCCAGCCGCTTCGGGAAGTACATCGACATAAACTTCACGGAGGGAGGAGCCATTGAAGGAGCTCGCATCGAACAATATCTGCTGGAGAAGTCCAGAGTCTGTCATCAGGTGAAGACACTTACTGTACATACAGTAGCACTCAGACATACTTTATATAAGTCACAATATTCACCCTCTCTGTCCATTTACAGTCAGGGATGTTTAAGATTAAGATGTTTGCTTTACCTTTGTGCTGTAGGCGTGTTCCATTGCTTTACCTGTTTAAGCTGTTTTTGCCTCAATAATGTTTTATTTAATTGCTTGGAGTGGTGGAGTGGTGTATAAGATTTGATAAGGGAATCTTTATTTGTCCCACTGTGGGGAAATGTCAATGTTGCAGCGCACACATACATGTAATAAGAGCACACAAGGAGCCCACAAAATATACAATATAAGTAGCTGTAAAAATAAATATATCTATAGTCATATATGTATAAGTGACATTATATAAGTGACATTCAGTGGACAGTCTGAACTTACAGTGTTGCACATGATTGCAGTATTTACTTGACATTATTATTATCATACTGTTACACAAATTACATCTGGTTTGTTGCTAAGAATTAAAACACATGGGAATACAGAAATTCTTAATGTGAGCAACTACACCACTACAAAAGCACAGACCTCTGTTTAGAGACACACTTCCATTCCTTAAAAAAAAAATCCTGCCTCAAGGCAATGATTTGGATCACCTCTAAAATGGAAATGTTTTTGACTGGGCCATTGCGCACAGTTCCAGAAATGTGTCCAAATTTAGACAAACAAAGTCCCTTCTGGGCAGAGGCAATAAGATACAATACAAAATAGAACATCATTCTCAAATCTAATCTAATATCAATGTTTGTAATAAAAACACAATTACATATTCTGTTTGAACGCGTAGGCACCGGAGGAGAGGAACTACCACATCTTCTACTACATGTTGATGGGAATGTCGGCCGAGCAGAAGAAAACTCTGTCACTAGGGACCACTGCAGAATACAACTACCTCACCATGGTACATACATCTGTCTCATAGTCCAGACCCGTGTTTTTCAACCAGTGTGCCTTGAGACGTTGGTTGGGGTGTCTTTGGAAATGCACATATCATTTTATGTTACGGGAACAGGAGGAACCCAAGAGCACAACCAGACACAGTTATAGATTTTAATTCAGGAGGTTGGCTGAGTGGGTCCAGGGGCGCAGAGGCTGGATCCAGAGGTGCAGGTAGGTATCGGGTGTGGAGGGGGTCCAGAGGTCCAATTTAGGTGTTGGAGCAGGTGGTCCAGACTAGTACAACAAAGTCACAAAAACAAGCGCCAAGAGATGTGTTTCCACGATTGGTGAACTGACGAATTTACTGTGAGACTGTGACTGTGTGTGTGTGTGTTTGTGTGTATGCATGTGACTGTGTGTGCATGTTTTACTTTAAAATCTGTGGTTAAGCGCTTTCTGTGATCCTGGAGTTTCTTATTTATATAAAAAAAAAGGAAGCATAAGGAAAGATGTATTTTGTACGGTTTGGGATGCATCCCTGAGAGTTGATGTAACACTGCACATGTCTCTACAGTATATAGACTGTTAGTGTTGTTGTTCCAGGGAAAGTGCACAAGTTGCGAGGGCCGAGACGACATAAAGGAGTTCGCACACTTCCGCTCTGCCCTGAAGATCCTCATGTTCACAGAGAGCGACTCCTGGGAAATCTACAAACTCCTGGCTGCGATCCTTCACCTCGGGAATGTCCGCTTTGAAGGTAAAGATGAGAAACCAGAACAATGTCTCTCTCTGGTCTCTCTCTCTCGGTTCCTTCTCTCTTGTCTCTCTCTCTGGTCTCTCTCTCTCGGTTCCTTCTCTCTTGTCTCTCTCTCTGGTCTCTCTCTCTCGGTTCCTTCTCTCTTGTCTCTCTCTCTGGTCTCTCTCTCTCGGTTCCTTCTCTCTTGTCTCTCTCTCTGGTCTCTCTTTCTCGGGTTCTTCTCTCTTGTCTCTCTCGGATCTCTCTCTAGTCTCTTTCTGGTCTCTCTGATTCTGATTGGTGTGTAGCATTCATGTGATGCAGTGATTTCTTTCTTCTTTAAGGCACTATTGTGAACAACATGGAGAGCTGCGACATTAAGAAATCTTCCCATTTTAACATGACTGGAAAACTGTTAGAGGTATTATAGTCCAATTATTTTCACCGCAATTCAATTATATTTATTTATTTATTTGAGCAACATACAATATATGTATGGCCCCTAAATCACAACAAGATTTATCTTGGAGGAGTTCACAAAGTTGTTGATTCTCCAAGACAGATCAAAGAAAAGAAAACAGTTACAAACACAAATTGTAATTGTTGCTTCAGGTGGAGCCCAAGTCTCTGGGGAAAGGTCTGACGGAGCGTTCGCTTATGACCAACAGAGAATGTGTGACGAGATCTCTGACATCTGCACAAGCGGTGGACGGCAGGGACGCATTTGTCAAAGTAAAATGTTATATTCGACATTGTGTGTACGTGCATTGTATGTGCATGTGACTGTGTGTTTGTATGTGAGACTGTGACTGAGTGTGCGACTGTGTGTGCACGTATTTGTGTGCGTGTGACTGTGTGTGTGTGTGTGCTCTCACCACCACCCCCCCTCCCAATTTTGTTCTAATGCCACACTACTTTTTGTTTTTCCATCCTCATCATGTGGTTCTTTTCAGGCCATCTATGGGAGATTGTTCATTTGGATTGTGGACAAAATCAATGAAGTTATTTATAAACCAGAAACTGAGGATTCGAACAGAGCTCCAAACTCCATCGGCCTCCTCGACATCTTTGGATTTGAAAACTTTAAAAACAACAGGTGAAATGACAGTCAATCAAACCAAATCTGGGGTCACATACAGTGGTCTCAGGTTTTAGCACGGTTTACCTTTCTCTGGTCTCGCTCTTTCTACTCTCTTTATCTGGTCTCTCAGGTCTCTGGTCTCTCGTTGGTCTCTTTCTGGTCTCTCTCTCTCTGGTCTACCTCTGGTCTCGCTTTGTTCTCTGGACTCTTGCTGGTCTTTCTCTGGACTCTCTCTGTTCTCTCTCTGGTCTCTCTCTGGTCTTTCTCTGGTCTTTCTCTGGACTCTCTCTGTTCTCTCTCTGGTCTTTCTCTGGACTCTCTCTGGTCTCTCTCTGGTCTTTCTAAGGACTTCCCGTATTCCTCAGTCGTGCTCCTGCCCCTCAGTGAAGCTGCATTTTACAGTGTAGGCACGGCTTTTGACAGCTGCAGCAGCACCCAGACCTACAACCAACAGGTTTGACAAACAAAGTGTGTGAGAGGGGTTTGACAGCCTTAAACCACACAGTCACAGTTATTATATCACAACCTGGCAATAAACAAGGGACCACTGTACAAATGTTTTTTTTTGTTTAGACTTATCAGTACATTTAAAATTGCAGTTTCGAGCAGCTCTGCATAAACTACGCCAACGAGCAGCTACAACAGTTCTTTGTGCGGCACGTTTTCAAACTGGAGCAAGAGGAATACGCACGAGAAAGCATCGTCTGGGAACGCGTCGACTACAAAGACAACCAGCACACCCTGGACGTTCTGGCCAGCAAGCCCCTCAACATGCTTTCTCTGATCGACGAGGAGAGCAGCTTCCCCAAGGTCTGTCTTTACTACAACAAACATTCAACAACATTTATGGACATTTATCATCTGCCTCTTATGGACCAATAACTCTGTGTTTTTATCATTCCATGTATTGTGTTTGAACTGTTTTGATTCTCTGATCTCTGTTGGAAAATTCAACGTTTTTCCTCTGAGATAACTACTGTTGTGATTAAGGGCTAGACAAGAATGCAATACAATATAATACAATCTATTCTTGTATAGCCCTAAATATCAACAGAAGTCATCTCAGAGGACTTAACAGATCCATTGAAATCACCAACACAGATCAGAGAATCAATAGTTAAAACACATAAAGAATATAGAACACATACATACATGTTGTAGAATGTTAAAGTGTCCTGGATCATCACCACATCCTTTTTGTTGGACACTAACTGCCCAACAGACCTTCTTGCCTCGGCAAGGAAAAACTCACAAAAAACCCAGTGGGAAAAACCTGAGAAATCTCCCACATATTGGGAAAGGGATCCACTCCACACAGGCTAATGATCCAGGACCTACAAGAATACGGGCAAGAATACACTGAAATTGAATTGAGATCAGAAACAGTAATTACTTTGATTCAAGTCAGACCAATCTCTCTTTATAACCCTTGTGCTTTTCCTCAGGACAAAATCAACCCACCACAGTGATTAAAACACACCCTAATAAAAAATAATAATAAGTGAGCTGAATTTTGATGATTTTTGTTGATGATGACCCGCCCTGGCTCATTCAGACCGTTTTAAACCCTAATTTAGCTTAATATCTTCTACTGTTAATCACTTGGCGAAGAAGATGTATGCAAAACCAATTTTCAATCAAATAATCATTCATTCATTTTCAAGCCCTTTATTGTCCATTTCTGGGTCAGGGGGGTGGCAATGAGAGCTGCCACCCAATGCTCATAGCACCAGTCCCTCGCTGATCTTCTGCAGGGGGTGAGTCTACAGGAAGATGGCTGCTCCATCAGCGGTGAAACAGCCTTGGTCTTTCAGCGGGGGCTTCAGGCAACGTGGGGTTAAGTGTCTTGCCCAAGGACACAACGACAGTAGGCATCAGTGGGAGCAGTTGGAGTAGGTCCCATGGTGGGAATCGAACTCACGACCTCCAGGCTCAAAGGCCACTGCTCTACCAACTGAGCTACTGTCGCCCCAAATAATCAACATTTATAATATAACTATATACGCACCTCCCTCTGGTGGTAGCATAGGACACATGAAATGACAAAGAAAATAGTCTCAATTTTTAGTCTCAAGAAAGAAATTCATTTAGAGATAAAATTATGTCTGATTCATTCAATACTGAAAGCAATGAAAGAAAATAACCATTTATATCTGTTTGTTGTTTTTTTCCTCAGGGGACAGATACGACTATGCTGCAAAAGATAAATCAAGTCCACGGTAAAGGAGGGGTCTATGTTCCCCCAAAGAACGACTACGAGACACAGTTTGGAGTCCGCCATTTTGCCGGGGAGGTCTACTATGATTCCAAAGGTACAACTGCTCAGGCTTTACCAGATCACATGACTACATTTACTATACATCTTTTTTCTATTCTGTGCAGGTTTTCTGGAGAAGAACCGTGACGCCCTGAGCTCCGATCTGATCCAGGTGGTGGAGACGTCAGACAATAAACTTCTAAAGCAGATCTTTCACAATGAAGTGTCCACAAACAGCGGAATCAAGTCCAGCGCCAACCCCAGGATGATCATCAACGCCAGCAAGAGCAGCCTCCGGGTCAGTTCAGTTCACACGTAACTAGGCGTAATGAAAATATACCACACAGTACTTAATGTCACTGGAATACCAACATTTTCACCATACAACACACCATTTCTTGCATAGAAGTGATGTCGTCTCAATTGAAACAAGTTGATCGCTGTTCCTTCCCCTCTGAGCACACCTCCCCCCACCCGCATGGTGACGAAGCCTCAAGCTGACTTGGAAGTAAACAAGTCAGAGTGGGACACCTAGGTACAAAGCCCTATGTCCTTGATCCAGAATAGGACCTTAATTATTTAGTAAACAATAGTATACAGCGGGTTATTAGCACTGCACTTACAGATCTAGGCTAAGATCTCCTGCTAGCTAGAGCCATGCAAACATGAACAAAGAACAACAACAACAAAACAAAACAACAGGCCTCCTGCTGGGACTCTGAGGAGCACAGGGACTGGCCTTCTGCTGGTGCCTACAGTCAGGACTAAACATGGGAAGGCAGCATTTCCGATTTGTGAAGAAAAAATCTGGAACAGTCTCTCTGAAAATGTTCAAATCCAGGTTGAAACAGTTGTGTTCAGCTTTGCATACAACTGAGGCATTGCATCTTCACTCTTTTTAATGTACTGTGATTATTTAGGATTCTAAGAGAGTTTCTTTTATCGTTTTGTTAAGCACAGTGAGTTGCCTGGTGTCTGAACTGTGCTTTACAAACTTGCCTATATTCTTGTTCAGCAAATGAACGACGGGAAGAAGCGCGTGCCGACTCTGACGTACCAGTTCCGTCAGTCGCTGGAGTCTCTGATGAAGACGCTGACCGTGTGCCAGCCGTACTTCATCCGCTGCGTCAAACCCAACGACTTCAAGAAACCCATGGTACAGAAAACACATGGCCTGACTTTCATACACACGCTTTAATGCTGGGGTACCTGACTTTCAAACCACAAACCATCAAATCCATCTACTTCCTGGTTCTCAAAACAGTTTGCTTCTAATCTATCACTAGTTTTCCCATGCATGTTTTTTTGGCCTCGGTCACGTCAGATTTTTTCAGACAGAAAATTGAGAAAGGGAGAACCACCCACACTCAGTTTGTGGCTGCAAAATATAACATTTTTATAGTGTAAATGTGTACATGTATACAGTGCCTTGCGAAAGTATTCGGCCCCCTAGAACCTTTCAACATTTGGCCACATTTCAGGCTTCAAACATAAAGATATAAAAAAAATATTTTTTTGTCATGAATCAACAACAAGTGGGACACAATCGTGAAGTGGAACAAAATGTATTGGATAATTTTAACTTTTTTAACAAATAAAAAACTGAAAAGTGGGACGTGCAATATTATTTGGCCCCTTTACTTTCAGTGCAGCAAACTCAGTCCAGAAGTTCAGTGAGGATCTTTGAATGATCCAATGTTGTCCTAAATGACTGATGATGATAAATAGAATGCACGTGTGTAATCAAGTCTCCGTATAAATGCACCTGCTCTTTGATAGTCTCAGGGTTCTGTTTAAAGCGCAGAGAGAACCATGAAGACAAAGGAACACACCAGCCAGGTCCGAGATACTGTTGTGGAGAAGTTTAAAGCCGGATTTGGATACAAAAAGATTTCCCAAGCTCTAAACATCTCAATAGCAAGACCATTCTTTAGTAGAGAATAATAATAATAATAATAAATCTTTATTTATAAAGCACTTTTCAAAAACAATGTTTACAAAGTGCTGCACAGCATAATAAACAATACATCAGTCATAATACAAAGTTAAAACAATAAGAATGAATGCAAGAAGACAAGACAAACAGAGGAAACACAAGACCACAAAACAGACAGGACAGACAGTAAAATACAACATTATAAGTTTAAAGCTGACAATTAAAAGCTGTTTTATAAAAGTGGGTTTTAAGAAGAGATTTAAAAGAGGATACTGATGGTGCTAGCCTTATCTCCTCGGGCAGGTCGTTCCAAAGCCGAGGAGCCCAGACAGAAAAGGCTCGATCACCTTTCGTCCGGAGCCTCGACCTTGGAATGGTCAGCAAGGACCTGCCCGAGGATCTAAGGCAGCGGGGGGGCTCGTAGGGGGTTAAAAGTTCATAAATATAGCTTGGTGCCAGACCTAAACGAGCTTTAAAAGTAATCAGTAAAATCTTAAAATCAATTCTAAATCGCACAGGGAGCCAGTGGAGGGACGCTAAAACAGGGGTGATGTGCTCCCTTCTGTTAAAACCAGTGAGAAGTCTGGCTGCTGCGTTCTGAACCAGTTGGAGGCGGGAGAGGGATTTAGCATCAAGACCGGAGAGGAGGGAGTTACAGTAATCGAGGCGGGAGAAGATGAGGGCGTTGACGACTTTATCGAGATCGGGAGGAGTGAGAATGTTTTTAATCTTAGAGATGGTGCGGAGGTGATAGAAGCAGGTTTGGGTGGTTTTATTGATGTGGGAGCGGAAGGTGAGGTGAGAATCAAAAATGACACCGAGGTTACGGGCGGAGGGAGTGATGTTTGAGGACAGGGGGCCGAGGTGAGTTTGGATGTGGGATATGGATGGAGGCGGGTTGATGAGGAGGACTTCTGATTTGGAGGTGTTGAGTTGAAGGAAGTTATGGGCCATCCAACGGTTCACATCATTAAAACAGTCGACCACAGCAGCCAGACTTCCAGGGTCGTTTTGGTCTCAGCGGGAGGTAGATCTGTGTGTCGTCCGCATAGCAGTGGAAGGACACGTTATGACGGGCCATAACGTGTCCTAGGGGGAGCATATAAATAGAGAATAAAATGGGGCCTAAAATAGAACCTTGCGGCACACCACAGGTGATGGGGGCTGTTGAGGAGGTAAAATCACCCATGGTGACCGCAAAGGTTCTTTCTAAAAGATAAGAATGAAACCAACCAAGTGCAGTATCTCTGATGCCAACCCACGTTTTGAGGCGATCCAATAAAATATCGTGGTCTATAGTGTCGAAGGCAGAGGTTAAATCTAAAAGAATTAAAATAGAGCACTCTCCGCTGTCCGTGGTTAAAAGAAGGTCATTTAAAACTCTAAGGAGAGCTGTCTCAGTACTGTGTTGTGCTTTAAAACCGGATTGGAATTTCTCAAAGATGTGGTTATTGTTAATAAAATCTAAAATCTGAATAGAAACAATTTTCTCTAAAACCTTAGATAAAAACGGGAGTTTAGAAATGGGTCTAAAATTGTTAAAATCTGTAGTGCTTAAATTAGGCTTCTTTAAAAGTGGTTGGACCACAGCATGTTTAAAACTGGATGGGACAAGACCTTGATCCAGGGACTGATTAAGGATTGATAAAATGGAGGGTCCAACCACATTAAAAACATCTTTGAGAAATTTGGTGGGGATGACATCGAGGCTGCACGTGTCATCCCCACCAAATGGACATGCAATCAAATTAAACTAAACTAGTGGATACAAATAGTGGTAGGTTCTGTATCCATCCTTTGGCCCGGATTATTTGCCTTCTGTCTACATTAAGTCCCAGTCCTGAAAGCGCATGATGTATTGTACCACTATGACATCACACTAACAGCATTATCTGCCCATAAATTCAATGTCTCCCTCTGGTGGAAGCAAAGGGAGTTACAGGCAGAAAGCAAATTTACCCTTCATACAATTTAATTCAATACAGTTTATTTATTTTTGTATTGCCCTAAATCACAACAGTTGTTACAAATCTGTTGATTCGCCAACACAGATCGCAGTTCACACATAAGAAATAAAAAACATGTGATGAATAAATAAATGTGATTAATGTCATTGAGTGTTGAGTGTCCCAGTGGCAGTTCCACCATATATTTTCAACTTTCGAAAACATGAAATGCATTAAACAGTCTCATTCCCCCTCTTCAAGGCCAACATTGATCTATGTTTTTGATTCTTTGAGAGAATTACAGTTTTTTTCCTTCATGCTGGAAGCTTGATGTTACTTTATGTCAGTTGTTCGACAGAGACCTGTGCATGCGGCAGCTGCGTTATTCCGGAATGATGGAGACAATTCGCATCCGGAAAGCTGGGTACCCCGTCCGCTACACTTTCAGCGAGTTCCTGGACCGCTACAGGGTCCTCCTCAAATCTTCTGTCTGTGATCCCAAAAAGGTGAGGTATATTTACAGGCATAATCATGTAACACCAGGGGGTCCTTAACTCAATTTGTCTGGGGACGGCAGGAGGGCGAGTCTGGGTGCACTGCAAAAAGTGATGAAACATTTGTCAGAAATTGCTCACATTTGTGCATCTTGATTTGAGTACATTTTGATTGCCTTAAAACAAGATTTGCCAATGGGACAAAGCAAAATGATCTTGTTTTACAAAGATACAACAAAAGTCAGCCTTGGAATGAGAAAAGAAAGCAAAGGATGTTGAAATAGTTCTTTTAAATTTTTATACAATATATCCATTGAGATGTCTTCAATTTTAGTTACACACTTGGTTTGCATACTGAACAACTAATCTATTGGTCCATTTGATAATTGTATGAATTAATTGTAGGTAGCACTAGCACTAAGTTCACTAATAATAAACTACTACTGCTACTACTAATACAAACAGAGTCATATGAGAATCCTGAAAGACTCAGGACAGATCCAGGACTTGATTTAATGTATTGATAAGATCACCTTTAAAATGATGTATAACATGCCATATTTGCATGCTCAATGGGGGCCGCACTGGTGTTAAAGTTTCTACTAGGGGGCCACACAAATACCTTTTCACATATATTTGTCTTTTCTTGTTTTACTCACTCTTTGTTTGGATACAGGAGAGTAAGCAGAAGTGCTGTGAGAGCATTTGTCACACTGTGCTGACGGGAGAAGGAGACTGGAAAACCGGCAAGACCAAGATTTTCCTCAAAGTAAAGCATTTCAAAACCAAACATGGTCTATTCGCAGTGGTATAACGCAGCATGTTGACGTTTGTTTGTGACGTAGGACTTCCATGACACGATGCTGGAGCTGGAGCGGATGAACTCTCTGCACACAAAGGCTCTCTTGATCCAAAAGGTTCTGCGAGGATTCAAATACCGGTGAGAGATTGTTCTAATGCCGTTACTGTAAACTAGGGTGGTTCAAACATATCGGAACGCAGATAGCAACAATGACTTAAGTCATCTATTTTAAATGAGATAATCTATATGTTTTATCTGTTTTATTTATTTTATTGTTTTTAGGTTTATTTCATTATTGTTTTCATTGAATTTTAACGGTTTTTATTTTGTACACATTGTTTTAATTATTCTTTTATTTTTTTTATTTTTTACATCAATTTAAATGTGTTACTTTTATCTCTGTGCAGAATTTTGGAAACTTGTTTTTTAAAATGTGCTATGTAAATAAAGTGGATTGTATTAGCATTGAGACTAGATACCAAATCAATTGATGCCATTGGGAAAAAAAGAAAGACATTTTGATATTTATTGAGCATAAATAAACAAAAAAATAAATGTCGTCTTAATGTTTCATGCTTACAATATTTGTAAATATTAAATGGATTTGGAAAATGCAAAAATAGAAGGGAAAGAAAAACACAAATAAAGAAAATGGATAGGAGAGGTGATTGAAATCCATCAACAGAGACGATTTGATAAATAAGGAGAACTAGCTTTTCTGTGCTTTTCTCAGCCATATCGTGAGCATATACTGTTTGAACCAACAGCCACATCAAAAAACAGTTATTTATTCTGAATATGTGTTATTATTATTTTAGTTTTTTGGTTTATGACCACTGTAGATTAGCTCACATACCAGTAGCAACCTGTCTCAACAGTTAACTTAAAAAAAAGTATTAATATCACAGTATGAAATTAGGTATCGAGTTCCGAGTCTATTCTTTGCTCATGACTACACTACTGTACAGTATACTGCTGCATTAAACTCATTCTGTATTGTGGGTACTGTACTTATACGCTTTTCAATTTTAGGAAAGAGTTTTTGAGGAAAAGGTCTGCAGCCCTCGTCATACAGAAACACTGGAGAGGACACAAGGGGAGAAAGCTGTATCGCACCGTGAGTCAAACCATTACATTATGAGATAAAACACACAGATAATCTTTATGTTTTGAGAGTATGTTATTAGTTCTGTCCTTGAACCTAAACCACTTTGTAGATAAAACTCACATTTTGCATACAAAACTGTTCAAAAAAGTATAAATGCAGTTTTCTTCAACTATAAATATCATCTACTTTATGAGTTCTGGTAGATTTTTGAACAAAGAAAAAAAAAAATTCGTTCTGCTTCATATACTTAATAATATAATATACTTTATACTTAAGTGATTATTTTGTTATGTTATTTTATTATGTTGATAGTCTCACACTGACACAGACATAACACCCACCTAAAGAACACAAACACACACACACATAAACACACACACACACCTCAATGTTCCCTTTTGTGTTTTTTCGAATGTCCGGCCTTTCGTTGTTGCTTATTGTATTTGATTTTGCTGTCATAATTGTCTCGCTTTTTTTGCATTGTGGAATTAATAAAAATGATTTTAAAAATACACATAAATAATAAATAAACATAATTACAAATATGCAAAAGTAAATAATTAATAATAATTTGTAATAGCCAAAGATATTGTGTGATATTTCTACTTTAATGCACGTGTTGCTCTTTCCTGAATCTCATCCTCACCATCGCTGTCTCAGGTCAAACTGGGCTTCGGGAGGCTCCAGGCGAAGGTGCGATCTCGGCAGCTGCAGTTCCAATACAAGAGGAAACGAGAGGCGGCCGTTTTGCTCCAGACTCAGATCAGAGGATTTTTGGCCCGAAAGGAGTGGAGACGGAAGCAGAGCGCCGTCCTCCTCCTCCAGGCCAGACTCCGGAGAGCTCTGCGCAGGAAGGCAGAGAGGAAGAAGTTCACAGATGTAAGTTCAACCATCAAGACTTTCTGGTATTTTCCTTTATAAGAGAAAATGGGAATAAACTGGACCTTTTCAATATTGAAAGTTGGTTCTTCATGGGGAACTTTAAAATAGTTGAGGAAAGTATATTTTAGCATAATATTAAATAAAATAAACAGTTGCCATTCAAATGTACTACTACTGAGACCACGCCCCCACTTCATGAAAAAAGTGACTGTTCAATAAAATAATTAAATCTACTAACTAAATTATGCAACTTACGTAACTTAATTCTATGTCAAATTAATCTGTTGAAAATTGTCGGGCTCTGATACGATGCAATTTAATTACATTATAATTAATCCCCAGTTTCTAATCTGGTATAATCCCAAAATTTCAAAATTTAACTTCCCATGGAAATTTACCAGAAACTTTCCCGAAATGTGTTGGGAAATGTTCTTCTGTGCAACTCTGATGACAACATCCTTTCCATCTTGCCCCCATGCTAGTTTTCGTCATTGAGTCAATCTACAGTACAAAAAATCCAAGGCGATAACTCAGTATGGACTCTCTCTCCCGTTATTCAAATCTGGACTCAAACTTTACTTTTATACAGTTTGTTATTGTTTTTCTGGTTCAATTCAATTTGTTTTTGTATAGCCCCTAGAGCACAACAGCAGTCGCCTCGAAGGACTTTACAAAGTTGTCAATTCACCAACAACAGATAAGAGAATCAAACACAGGAAATGCAATAATAACAAACACATAGGAGTCGTTGGTCCATAGAGGGCGGGCTGACCACTGTCCGTAAATGTTAATAAATGTCCAAAAATGTCCTGGATTGGTGTCTTTTAAATAAAACAAATATCAAAATTCCAATATTTTCCATGTTTCCTGTCTTTAACATGTTGTAATATGTTGTTGGAACTGGATTTGTAGAGCAGTATTTTAATCCCAATCTCTGTTATGGTTCCTTGGTTATGGATGGTTTTGTTTTGATGAAAATAAAAACATCCATTGAACATCTTTGCAAAACAAAGATAAGATGAGATAAAACTTTATTGATCTCACAATGGATAAAATTGCAAATAAATTGACTAAGTATTTGTTTTTTCAGATGAAGAAGTCTGCTGCAGAGAAGGCGGCCGAGCAGCAAGAGATCCTCCGGAAGCAGAAGTATTTGAACGAGGTTTTGGAGAAGAAGCGTGAGGAGAAAGATCAGACCCCCAAACTCACGGATCAGGAGATCGACTCCATCTTTGATGTTATTCCTGAGTTCAACAAGGGATTCGAGGTTTGTCTTTCCTCTGTCACTGAAGCTAAAGCCACACACTTATATTTATATCATTTAGTGTTTTTATTTTATTCATTTATTGTATTCATTTTATTGTATTTATTTTATTTATATTATCTATTTTTTATTTATTTTATTTTATTCTATTTGAATTAATTTTATTTCAAGCTTACAAGCAGGAATTACTTATGGACTTTTCAGCAATTATTTATTATTATACATGATATGATATGTCATGATATTATACATGACATAAAGTACATACATGTAAAACACACATTCATACATACATTATTTACTTTTTTCACTCTTCAAAAATTAGTGGGAAGAGATCCAACTTATAAGCTTGCACCCCCTGTTCATAAATTCACCTTATACGGTTGCACATATACTTCCACACACACACACACACACACACACACACACACGCGCATTTATTCTTGTATAGCCATAAATCACCGTTCAAACAATAATATAAAACAATAATAAAAAAGAAAGCCCATAAAGAGCCATTGGTGCATATGGGGCAGATGACCAATGTCCATAAATATTTTTCAATGTTTAGTGTCCTGGATCATCACCGCTTGTTGTATCATGATTGTACTTTGCAGAAGTACGACCGTTCCAGGATGATTTCTGAGGAAATCGATATCGACGAAGAGCTGATGTTGAAGTACGATGACCAGGACGACTTCGACGACCTGGACGAATATTCCTTCTCCAAATTCGCGTCCGTCTTCTTCCAGGGAGCGGCCACATACACACACATCAGGCAGAGGCTGCGAGAGCCGCTGCTGCACCACGAGGACGAGGGGGACGTGATGGTATACTGCAAACAAGTAACAACACACCAGGAAGAGGGAAATGTGTAGCTAAGATGTGTGTTTTGTGTTTCAGGCCGCGCTGACTGTGTGGTGGATCATTCTCCGGTTCATGGGGGATTTGCCTGAACCTAAGAATCCAGTCCAAGTGAATCAAGTGAGCAGAACACTATCACATACTATCATTTTCTAGTATTTAGGGTAAGTAAGTAAGTATCCCACCAGACTCCCAATTATATCTGCTGTTGTTGTGTCCTTGAGCACTTAACCCCACTTTGCCTGAAGCCCCTGCTGAAAAACCATCACTTTGAATCTTGCACTTGTATTTAAACCATTTTTGTTGATTGGCTTCACAGTGATGATTGTTTCTTGTACTTTTTAGCTTGTTTTATGCATGTACTTGTCTGGTGCACACTGGGGGGACTTTTGCACATGTATTCCAATATGGTTCTTCATTCATTCATCCATTCATTTTCAAGCCCTTTATTGTCCATTTCTGGGTCAGGGGTGTGGCAATGAGAGCTGCCACCCAATGCTCATAGCACCAGTCCCTCGCTGATCCTCTGCAGGGGGTGAGTCCACAGGAAGATGGCTGCTCTGTCAGTGGTGAAACAGCCTTGGTCTTTCAGCGGGGGCTTCAGGCAACGTGGGGTTAAGTGTCTTGCCCAAGGACACAACGACAGTAGACATCAGTGGGAGCAGATGGAGTAGGTCCCATGGTGGGAATTGAACTCACGACCTCCAGGCTCAAAGGCCACTGCTCTACCAACTGAGCTACTGTCGCCCCTTTCTTCACTGATTCTGATTCTAAATTGTTGCTTTCCTTCAGAGAGGTCAAAGGAACGATGTCAGGAGTCAGACTGGTGTTGACGTTTTGATCGGAGAAGGACCCACACTCGATCGTCCTCTGACTACTCTAGAGAAACTGCACATCATTGTGAGATACGCGATACTCAGAAGTGACCTGAGGTTGGCTCCAGTCGCACACATCTTCATAATGATCTGCTATTAAAAAAAAATCTAAATTGTGTGTTTGTTGTTGAAGGGATGAGATATACTGTCAGATCTGCAAACAGGTCCAGGAGAACAACAACAGGAACAGTTATTTCCGTGGGTGGATTCTGCTCTCTTTGTGTCTGGGTATTTTTCCTCCCAGTGAGAAATTCGCCAAAGTAAGTTTTAGCTACAAACACTTGGGATGGGTTATGTATTTGTATCAATATCAGCATCGGTCCATCCATAAACTATACCAATTTAATCAGTTCTTATAAAATGTTGGTGTCAAAAGTTGATTCTATGTCAAACCACCACAGTCAAGCAGTATTTGTGGCCCCCTAGTGGACAAAAAGCGTTAAAGCTAATTTCATCAACAAAACAACCACACCATTGATACAGTATCACCATAAACATTGAACCCTGTAATAAGTAGTTTATAAATGTATACATAAATGTTACAAAGCAATCAGATTTATGAACTGTTGAAATCCTCTTTTGCAGTATCTTCAAAGCTTCATCCGGTTTGCCCCTAGTGGTTACTCATCGTACTGCGCTGAGAGACTGAGGCGCACAGTGCAGAACGGAGTTCGCTCAGAGCCTCCTAGTTGGCTGGAACTACAGGTATGAGAATCATTTGTACACACTTTGCCTTTGTGAGTTTATGTATTGATTTAATATTTGTATTGTAGGCGACCAAGACCAAAAAGCCCATAGTGGTGACCCTGAGGTTGCTGGACGGTCGCTCCATGACCCTGGCGGTGGACTCGGCCTCCACTTCCAAAGAGATCTGTCAAATGCTTGCAAACAAAATCAAACTCAGGGATACGTTTGGATTTTCTCTCTATGTGTCGCTGTTTGAAAAGGTGGGACTATGGTATTTGGAGTCATTTTCTGATTCAGATCTTTTTTAATCCAATCAATAAAAAGTCAAGTCATGTCCATTTTACATTCTATAAATAACTATTAGATGAGAGTCTGAATCTTTCTACACTGACTAGAATCAACTATGTTTACAAAGCATAAGAATATAGAGTACTCAAAGCTACTTCCAAACCGGTCATAGCAAAACAATGAAACGTTAGGGACTTCATGTGTAATCGCAGTGCTCTTAAATGTATCTACTGGCCTTGTCTCAGTAGGATCTAGTTTATGTAGTTGCATGCCAGCTTGACCACAGTTGAAATTATTTAATCCAGTTACAGCAAATGGACTCGATTTAAACTGAATGAGTGTGTTTGTTCACTTTGGGAAATTTAATGCCCAAAGTAATCCAAATGTCGTGTGATTGCATTTGCCCAAAGTGCGTTCATAATGTATGTATGCTAGCAATGGTATTTACAAATACACTTACAAAGTTTCAGTCGTAAGGAAAAGTTACACGACGCCTCACAAAATCCCCTGCACGTAATCTCGTAATAGACTTGTCGGACTGGTTTGAAAATATCAACAAATAGTGTGCGTTTTTAGCATACTTTGAAATTCTTATACTTTGTAAACATACTCAGTGCAACTTTTATTGGATGTGATAACCCTCTGTTGATGGATAGATGTAGATGTTTTAATTATAGTGTCTTGGGTACCAGGATGCCTAGCCCACATCATCTCACATCCTCTCACTGACATCCTTTGAAAGCACAAACCTAATCTCTGTAAATGCCGTTACCTCACGTACCCATCTGCTGCAGGTGTGGGCTCTGGGCAGCGGGCGGGAGCACCTGATGGACGCTGTCTCTCAGTGCGAGCAGGAGGTGAAGCGCAGGGGCGGGCAGGAGCAGCATGCCCCCTGGAGGCTGTTCTTCAGAAAGGAGGTCTTCGCTCCGTGGCACGACTGCAGCCAGGACGACGTCAGCACGCAACTCATCTACAAACAGATCATCCAAGGACTCAAGTCTGGAGAGTACCAGACGCCCAAGGTACCCCAGCTGTCCTCAAGTCTAATCTAGAGCTTTCTAAGACTTCATTACTCTGATTGAAACAAAGCATTTTATCTATAAAATTATAGAAGGAGTAATTTAATGCCACTATCTCCCATTTGTGTGTTTTTTCTTTTTTTTTATTGGCCTCAATACGGATTTAATAATAACACAGAAATGTTTAAACATTTTTGACGCCTTTCTAGGAACTCAGGACGCCTTACAAAGGTAAAAAGTAACCCTTTGGTCTCGTAATTAGCCTATTCAAATAATATTAATAATTTATTAATGATTTCAAATAATGAGCAGTTTTACATCACATAGAAGTCCCACATCTGACCACTAGTGGCGCCCTGCATTTTTTTGAATGAGCTTTATGGATCACAATATTTGTCCAATAAGGCTTGAAATTAATTCACAAATACAGGATATGACCCTGAACATGTCAATATGCAAAACTCAACTGTGAGCTCAACAGCACCACCTACAGGCACTTCAATCTAGTCCTAATCTTTCCTTTTTCTTACAGCAAGACGACCTCGTTGACCTGACGACTAAACACCTTTACATCCAGCACGGTGCGACCTGCGGTCCAAACGACGTGAAGGCGGCGGTTCAAGACTGCATCAGCAACACTCTGCTGGAGGCCAAGTCCGAGGCCAAGTGGACACAGATGGTCAGCACGGAACACTCCCAGGTCTGTGATGTCACACACAGAGATACGTGTTTTAACACCAGGGCTCCTATTATTCTGAAACTACTAGAACTCCCAGAGCAGTCATGTTGACGGCTTCCAATCAAATCAATAAAATTATGAAAACATTGTTTTTCCACCTATTTTATTATTGTATTTGATATATACATTTACATATATATATATATAATTTTTTTTTTTTTTTACTAACGCTTGGTGAAAAGCTACCAACTGCTAACCACTGCAAATAAACAGCACTTGCTTTGTTCTGGTTAAAAAACAAGTGAACCAGAGCCAGTCCAGGTGAAAAGGGGCTTTAATTGCCACAGAATGTTGGTTGCTAAGCAACCAAAAAAGTACATTCAAATGAATTACAGGTAGAATCTATGTGCAAAAGTCTAGAGTTGATTCTATCTATCTCTCTTTTATCACGCTTAAAACGAAAGCCCTCTAGTGTTCAGAGATCTATCACCGATGTAATATTGTGGTCCTCCTCAGAATCCATTTGTGAGTCAGAGGAAGAACCCTGAAGAGGTGAAAGCGGAGCTGGTGGACTACGCCAGAGACAAGTGGCCGATGCTTTTCTCCAGGTTCTATGAGATGGTGAAGACCTCAGGTGGGTCCAACACTGTTATGACACCCAAATGTTATAGAAGAAATAGTATGCATTATTTCTGGCCATTACAAATTATAATGATACTATTTACGTTGTCAATTCATGTTTTAGAATGTGAAATAAAAACAAGTATGAAGGGTAATCTTTTTTAACATATGGAGTTCCACCTGTAAATCTCAACGCTACCACCAGAGTGAAAATACTAGGTTCAAACACAACCGCGTGATTATAATGAATATGAGGAATTGAGAAATCGTCAGAACGTATTCAAGGACACTACTTAAAAGGCAAAAAACGGCTCTTTGTGTGATGTCATAGTGGTACGATGAAAAAATACTCTTGGAGGACTGAGACAAGAGCTTTGAGGCAGAAGGGTATGCACACATTCAGCATCACACATTAGAATGAAGCACACAACACATTTGTACTTCACCTGTATTTTAACTTTTAAATGTACTTTCTACTTGATGTGTAAGGCAACCTTGAGTGTCTAGAAAGGCGCCTGAGAAATGTATTATTATTATTTATATTAAATGTATATCATCACACATCCTCTCATTCGCATCATAAGATAGGTTTAGGTCAAGGAACAATTAATGTGATATGTTTAAAAGCTTTTTAAAACGTTTGTGTTAGATATCTCCTTTTTAGACCAAAAACTTTATAGATCATGCAGAATGTCAAAAGAAGAAAATACTGTTATCATTTACAGTACTAACATTTACCAAATAAAGTAGCCATGATTGACTCTTAAAAACTGTTATTTCTGTATCTACTGAAGACCAGGAGGATTGCACTAAAGTTTTTTTCCAATATTTAGGTCCTGCTTTGCCCAAGAGTAAGTTCATTGTGGCAGTGAACTGTATGGGAATCACGTTTCTGGATGAGAGAGAGAGAAAACTGCTCAACCTCAGCTACCCAGAAGTCACTGGAGTCAACATCAGCAAGTAAGAACTCTTCGTCCTGTGCTGGCAAAAAAACAGAGCAAAACATAACTGAAAATAGGGAAATATAAATCTATTCATATAATGATAACTTAGGTAATAATTAGACTGGCCTAAAACAAGACATAGTTGAGGATTGATCTGGGCTCTACTCTACAGGTAATGCATCAAAAGGAGAAACTTCTGAAATATTTTACCTCGGGGTTTTTACAGATGGTGAAGCAGTTATCAATACTGTAACAAATAAATACGTCATCTCACTTTGCTTGTAATGGGTCCATATCACAAGTTTCACATTGTCAGTTGAATTAGAGAAGTAAATTTACTTTTGAATGATATTGTAATTTTAGTTTGAGTTTCATCAGTATAATACTAAACTGCTGTACTTTCTGGACTATGAGGCGCACCTGTATATAAGTAGCACCACCTAGATTTGAAAAGAAAATCAATGTTGTCCATATATAGGCCGCACTTGAATATAAGCCGCAGGTTTTCATGTTGTAACGTAGCAGAGAGGCAACTGTTTTACCTGAACACAACATGAATGAAGAGTTTGACCGTTAGCTTCCATGACTCAGATGACGTTGACAATAAAAACCTGTTCTATAGCTACAAAAACTTGATGGAGTTAAAGTAATATGTCAATAAACTTTGCAAAATAAAAATACATATATTAGCCACATCGCTATATAAGCCGCAGGGATCAAACGACTAGAAAAAAGTAGCGGCTCAGTCTGTAAATTACACTATCACTAGAACATGCATCCATAAACATTCACACATAAATTACTGGAGCTAAAGCTAAAGGTGCACTGTAGGGCACTTCATAGAGATAGATTTAAAATGAATGCATTTTTTTGTTTTCCCCACAGGGAGGGGAAAGGCTCTGGTCAGAGAGTGAGTTTGGTGACCCTGAAAGGAGACTTCACGTTGAGTGGCACTCGAGCAGACGACATGGCGGAGCTGGTCACCATGTTCCTGAGTGGACTGACAGAGCGCTCTCAGTACGCCCTGGCTCTGAAGGACGGGGAGAGCACAGGTCGGTGGGAATATTGTCAAGTGGTGAAAACAAAGGACTCAAAATGCAGGAATGTAAAAGGACTTGCAATATAGAAAGTCCAAGGGGAACAACATTTGAGAACTGGTGCAAAAACACAGAGACGAAGACAAAGACGATAGACCAGCAGCAAATAGGGAAGTGCACAGAGAGAGAGAGAGACACAGGTGAAATGGGGCAGACCCCGATCTCTTGGCCCTCATTCATGAAAGTTGCGCAGAAAACGTATATATTTCTGGTGTAGAATCCATTTACGCCAGACTGAACTAGGGATTTATGAACGTGTGAGATACGCACAGATCTGAGCGTATGCCTCCAATCCGGTTGAGGCATTTACATGTAGCTTCACCACATCAGATGAGACCTCAATTAGCGTGCACATGTGTCTTTATCAATCACATTAAATTGGAGATTAAGGTGGAGAATTTGGTTTTCACACGTGCTTTGTAAACATACGCACTCTGTTTAAAGCTCTGAATTAAAACGTTTTTAGGTAAGACCAAAGTATCATTCTGAAGAAGACAATCTACTTCACAGTAATTGGTTACAAAGAAGTCTCACTCTCACCATTTTTCCTTTTTGAACTTGGAGTAGTAGTTTTTATGCTTTTTTTTTAACAGATGACCCCACATTCCTTCGCTTCAAAAAAGGAGATCTCATTATCCTTGTTAAGGACAATGAGTTTGCCCAGCAGCGGGGTTGGATCAAGGGGCAGAGTGCGGGCTCAGGGAAGACCGGAGCAGTGCCCTTAGAAGCGATTCTGATTTTACCCACGCTCGCCAAACCAAGCAATGAAGTGATGGTAAGAAATAAGCAACGAGAGATCTCACATTTACAGGTTTGAGCACAGTCGGGACATTTACTGTGTGTCTTTTAGAGCCTCCTGAATCTGCCTCCGAACCAAAGAAAGAACATTCCCATTGAGACCGGGACCGTGGAGAGAGTGGCTCCGGCGACTCTCAGGGAATACTCACTGCAGAATTTTAGGTTTGTACAATATTGGGAACGTTCTACTAAATTCTTTATTCACTTGATGGTTTTTACTTGAGCGGTATGTGTGCATGAATCACAATCAGGAAGTAAAAATATAAATCTAAACATCTGGTTCAACAGGGATCTTGTTTGAATAATTTGTTAATTAATTTGTTAGATATTAATATGATCCTCTTAAGTATTTTTTGAAAAGTCAAGTTTTTCCTTTAATACACACTTTAAATTTTAAAAAAAACAATAAAAACCTCTTTCTGGTGGTAGCATAGGGAGTTACAAGTGGATTTTGTTTTTCCTTTTACCCGACACTATCTTCCCCTTGTGTTAAGAAGATAATTATATACAGATATATCATCAAATCATAGATAATAATACTAATAAAGTAAAAAACAATAGTAACAACAGAACAAAATACACACAAAAAACCATTAAAGAAAGACAAGAAAAGATTTTTAAGGACCAAAAACAATGCATAGAATTTATAACATGGTCTAACCCAGGAATTATCAATCAATCAAAATCTCTTTATTTACAAAACATTTATAGAAGTCCATAAACTTTAATATTTTCTATGATTTATAAAAAGCCACTCCTCGCATACGGCATGAGGGGACTCATAACAGTACATGTATTATAAAAAAGTAAAATATAAAAATAAGTAATATGTAAAATAATAAAGTAAAGTAAGTAAAAATTACACATACATCAATCTTGAACATTCCAGGACACTAATAGCACAATGGATTTTGAAAGGAGGAGATACTGCAGTTTTATCCACATCTACTTACTACTACTACATAATGCCCTGGTGTCCCCTCTCTCACAGGCAGCCGACTAAAGACGTGAACAAGCAGGTTATGTCCAGAAATGCTGCTCCCGAGCGTCTGTGGGTGAACTCCAGAGAACCCATCCGACAACCGCTGCTCATGAAGCTCATCGGAAACTCAGAACTCAGCCACAAAGCCTGCCTCGCCTTCACCGATATCCTTTGTTCAATTCAATTTATTTGTGTATAGCCGTAAATCACAGCAGTAGTTTTCCCAGAGGACTTTACAAAGTTTTGCCCACACCGATCAGAGAATCAAACCGTTTAAACACACATAATGCAATGGTAAAAAAAACACGTAGAGCCATTGGTCCATAAGGGGCAGATGACCACTGTCCATAAATGTGTACATACAAGTATATAATTATTGCCCTAGAATCTACAGTACTGTCTTCTTTATTATGCTAAAGATGGAGAATGTATACTTGCTTATTTAGTATCCTAAAGTTTGAGATTCTATTTTATTTTAGTGTAGAGTTATTGCTCACTTATCTTGTGTTGTGTGATCCTTATTCCTACTGTTCTGTAACTGGTGATGCAACACTGACATTTCCCCACTGTGGGACGATTTAAGTATCTCTCAATCTTAATCCTAAATTTAGTTGATGTCCTTAGACCAGGGGTGTCCAAACCTTTTTTGTTATAGGGCCACTTCAGTTTACCAGACTTGTGGGGCCGACAACCTGAATGGAAAAACTGTTTTGAACTTAAAATCAGCTTTAATAAGATTGACGTTGGCTACATTAGCAACTCAATTTTGTGCCACAATCAAAAAACAAGCCTTACAACAAGAGATAACATATATTGGTAGAGCTGAAGTTGGCTGTATGACACTGTGAACTGGTGTCTTTGAAATCATGTGTTAGCGAGGCAGAGGGCCAGATAACATGATGCAAAGGGCCGCATTTGGCCCGCAGGCCTGAATTGGGACATGCCTGCCTTAGACCTTGCAGCAGCAAGGAAAAAACCTTTAAAACCCAGTGGGAGAAAAGTGACAAACATCAGACTGACACTTTCTTCAAATCCATGAAATGTTTTTTTTTTCCTTCATTTCTGTGCACCTATCTTGAAGTACATGGGAGACTATCCGACCAAACAGACCCAGAGTCCCCTGGATCTCACGGACCAGATCTTTGGACCGGCCACTCAGTATGAGCCTCTCCGGGACGAGATCTACTGCCAGATCATGAAGCAGATGACCAACAACAACAACCGGTTTGTCCTCGACCTTAATCTAACCTTAAATGCGTGCTTTCAATGTGGTTTTTCAAATTTTGTGTGTGGTGTGAATTATTTGCCAATCATATACAGAGAAAAGTGCAATAATACAACTCTATCCTTCTACCTTAGGCTTCTATTCCTAAAACATCACCTGACAGACCTCATTATGAGAATTGAAACTCATGTGTCTATAAATGCAGGCCTCACATTCATTTCAAAGTCGGTTTATATCCATTTTCTCTTTGTTTTGGGAGGGAACAGGCCACAGCAGAGCCTTCAAAATGCTTCAAAATGCACATGTGTGTTTTTGTCTTTCGCAGTATTCGGTGTTGTCAAAAAGATTTGACTGACGTGTTCAGAATTTGGTACAGAAATAAGGCCAAGATTTGCAAGAGTTAAAATAGAACATTTATTTCTCTTTACAATTAAATGTTGATACAGAACTCTCGGAGCTATTAATTCCCTAAATATCCCTGTGCTCAGACTGCTCACAAAGTTGTCCTCCCAACACTTTTATCAGAATCTCCGATGACGTCATATGGTCTGAGGCTGGAGGCGTGGGTCTGGACTGGCCTAGTCCAGTTTTGTGTCTCAGGCGTTGTCTCGATAAGAAGAGACACGCTGTTCCTGAAAATGATACTTTTATCACAGAAGCCTTGTCCTTTGTGCTTCTCTGAATTCCACTAAATCCAGGCTTAAATATTGCACAAAGACATGTTATACAAACACCTACTGAAAATCATTAGTATACAACATTTTAATTCTACAACATCGGTTATATCTACTTTTACTCAGAAAAGCAGAACGGCTGTTTTTTGACTGTGTTGTGCCTTTGACTAGAACTCACCTGACAGACCTCATTATGAGAATTGAAACTCATGTGTCTATAAATATAGGCCTCACATTCATTTCAAAGTCGGTTTATATCCATTTCCTCTTTGTTTTGCACAGGTTCAGTCTGGACCAGGGCTGGCAGCTGCTGTGGCTCTGCTGTGGCCTGTTCCCTCCCAGCCAGTCCCTCCGCAGACACGCGCAAAAGTTCTTGGAGACGAGGCCGAGAGAGACGCTGGCCTCAGACTGTCTGCAGCGCATGCAAAACTCACTCAGGTCAGAAGTAGGAGATACATGGACAAAAACTCATGGTCCTGAGTTTACCCAAAATGGTCATAAGTGGTCGGCCTGTAAGATGTAAGATGGACAGAGAAGCACACGCTGCAAAAAGTGATGAAAAAATAAGTCAAAATTGGCTCAAATATGGCAATTTTTGACTTAACCCTAACCCAAAATGTATCTGATTTTGAGCACATTCTGACTGCTTTAAAGGAGTAGTATGTAAAAATCTGGCCAAATGTGGAATTGCAACCTCTCCCATTCTCCTTGACTCAAGTTGCCAGATATGCAGACGAATCCAGCTGGGACCATAATATCTGAATAGTCAAGAGTTTTGATAACAACAAATCTATAACCAACACCATTTTCGCAAAGGCCCTGATGCAAATCCTCCTTTTATTCCTTGTTTTGTTATTAATGATTTGAGAATCATAACACAACCTTTTTTAGTACTGCGACCACTACTTTACCAGTGAGATTAGCTCAACGCGGTGAGTTCTGGCAACCTGGATCACAAACCTTCTGAATGGTAAAACGGTGGAGGGCGGGACATCGACGTGAAAACAATAAGAAGGTTCAGGGGCTGTAAAACTCATTTTAAAATTCAAATATCTCGGCTGAACTACTGCTATCTGTTGAAGAAGTATTCGAAACTTGCATGGTTTATGAATGGCTTTTTGATATATTAGGACCATCTTACATATTGCTACTTTAAAACAAGATTTGCCAATGACACAAAACAAAATGATTTTGTTTTAAGGCATAAATGAGGCATAAATCATCACATAAATTAAAAACATTATAATCACATCAGGGATTAAAATAATGAATAAAACCACAATGCATTAAAAAAAGTAGAGATAAAATCCTTCAATTGTATACACAGAATCGACTTCGACCTGGATTTGAACGTCAGAGTACGCAATCTAATTTATGCAAGAGGTTCTAATAATAATAATTAATAGAGAAATTTAAATCCATTCATCAATGTTTTCCGGCTTTTATTTTCTGACTTGTGAATTCAAACTAATGCAATCAAAGCCACTTTACTTGTGGAAAAAAGACAAATGTTCATTACCTGGCAGTAGATCTCTCCACAGTTATTTTGGTGCAGTCTTTAATCCAAGATATTTATGGTTTCTTTCTATAAGCCTTTATTTACATCTTTTGAATATAGTACAAAAAATTCTTCAAAAGTTGTTATTAGAAAAACCACATGTGTTTTTTGTCTTTCGCAGTGTTCGGTTATATCTACTTTTACTCAGAAAAGCAGAACGGCTGTTTTTTGACTGTGTTGTGGCTTTGACTCCAACTCGCAAGTCAGAAAAGCTCTAACAAACAAAAGCAGAAGTTTTATGGATGTAAAGTGTATTATTACAGTTTGTCTCGTGACTTTGGTGCTTTTCTCAGATAAGATTGAAAGTTCTCATATCCATTAGTTCAACCTCCACAACATTGAGTCATGTGTGACATAATCGTAGCAGTTTCTCATTTGAACAAATGTCAAATGCTTTTGGACGTGTATCAGTTACTTTCATACAATTCTCTGCTGTTTTATAACATTATCATTTACTTCTGTCCTGTCAGTCAAAATGAAACATACTTATGAAGCTGAAGAGTCATTCTCTAATATATATTTTTTCATTGCTTTAGTCCTTACATACAACATTGTTGAACTATTTCTCAAAATGTGTTGCCTTTAAGAGGGGAAACTGTGATGTAGATGAAAATATGTGACAGACAGGAAGGCGTGGCAGTCCAGGAATAATTCATATTCATCCATCCATCCACCCATTTTCTTCCCCTTAATCCATTTCTGGGTCGGGGGGGTGGCAGTCAGAGCTGCACCCAGTCACAGAGCACCAGCCCCTCACTGATCCTCCTGCAGGTGGTGAGTCCACAGGAGCTGAGATCTTTCAGTGGGGGCTTCAGGCAAAGTGGGGTTAAGTGTCTTGCCCAAGGACACAACGACAATAATTCATATTCAGTTTACAGTTATATGTACTCTTATATTGTTTATATTTGTCACAGTTCCACCAAAATGTTTCTTATGTTTGTTCGACGTAAATACTGTAAGTGACTGTATTTTTTATGGCACAATGCTGTAGAATTGCAAAGAACACATGCAGTAATAATGTGCAATACATACATACATAAACACACACACACACACACACACACACACATGCACGCACGGATGCATGCATACATACACACATACGTATGTGTCTTGTACTCAGTCACTTCACTAAATACAGTCAATACAGTTTTTTGCATTGGAAAACACAGAGAGAGTAAACAGTCACAATGAAAACATGACAAAGCCTTTTGGCTCTTGTTCATACACACTGGTGTCAGGACAGTTTCATTGACATCAATACTTGCTTTTGAGGAATCAACTTTTCATTTTGAGAAAGTGACGCACTTTTGCAGGTTTTCCTCGAGGTCTTGCAGTTTGAACTATTTATTCTGAGAAATGCACTGACTGTTGTTCAAATGTGAAGAGTGATGTGAGAAATGCACCAACACGACTGAAAAAACTGATTAAGATTTGAACTGATTTGCATAAATGAGTTTCGTTTCCACCTCTAGTCCCTGGACAATCTGGCGTCGATGTTAAAATATAGAACATTCATGGTCAGTGACATCATACTGATCATAATCAAAGCAAAAACAACTGTTGGTGACATTCCACGGATGAACGGTCACACAGGAGGCAGCAAAGTTTCCAAATTGTGTCCTGCATTTAGGGATTCGACACTCTATGCACTGCAGATCTAGTTACTTGAGAGTCATAAAAATGCGTAGCCAAGTTTACGTTGGAATATTACGTAGGTGCGACTTAAAAATCTCTTTAGAATCAAAGAGCATATAGCCACTGTACTACTACTACTACTACTACTACTACTACTGCCGTAAATCAGCCTTTCCAATGAATACAAATGAAATACTAGCTCCCATCTCGGTTCTCACTGTGCCAATGCGGGCCACTCAACACAAACAAGCCCTCGTGATGTGACGGCGAACGTAGGGCCTTTAAACAGTGGCGTTTGTGGCTGTAAATACTCTCTCACTATGTCAGAGCAGCTCGTGACCCTCGTGTTGATGTGGTAGAGGCTCGTGACTGAGGAAAGACCCTCTTTAGCCCAGAACGCCATGAGGCCCTTTGTCCCCGGGAACATAAGGGAACGCAGTCATCGAAATCACAACTGTTTTATTACTACACGAGGCTGAGGAACTGTAGGATATTTTCATGTGCCGTGGTTTATTGACAGCACATACAAATACATTATAGGCCAATCACATGAAGAACAATACTGTATTTCATGTTATATCTCAGTATGGGATCTTTAAAGAGGAGATTCTTCCTAATATAATAATATTCATGTGTCGCCCCATGTAGTTTTTATCACCCAAGGCTGTTTTTGTACAGTTTTGCTGACCTGTTTTTTGTCAATCAGTTTTCATTCAAAAATAGACCCAATCTTGTAGGTAGTTTGGCATTAATAAAAAAAAATTGATCAAGACTAAAATACATGATCTATTAATGAACGACATCAAAAATGTATGTAAGCTCTCAGTTGTACAGGGATTAGTCAAAACAAAGGAAGGTTGCGCACCCATCGTCTGTACTTCAGTTGGCAGGTTTTCCCGACGTTTCGCCCTTTTACAAATCAGAAAGTTCATATTCTGATGTGTGTTTTTGTCAGAATGGAGCCCAGGAAGCTGCCTCCTCATCAAGTGGAGGTGGAGGCCATTCAACACAACAGTCTCCAGATCCTCCACAAAGTCCAGTTCCCCAACGACACGGAAGAGGTACTCGTCAAACATACATTTGAGCATTTCTCAGTATTGTGTAAATTATTGAATAACTAAAAGTCTAAATTAGGATGTATATCTCCAATGGGGGATCTATAAATTATTATTATTTATCCATTGATCTAATTATTAATAAGTTTTGCATTATGAGATATTTGTAGATATACTTTTAAATGTATAGATATTAATATTACTAGTATGAAAAAAACATGAATAGACAGACAACATTTTGATCCTCATTGGGGAAAAACAACTGATCCAATGTCAGCAAAAGATTTTTTTGCTTCGAGAGAAAAAAAAGACTCTTGAGTATGACCATATCAAAGTGTTTGGTTTGTTATAGTGAAAACATACTTGTTGCTTAATATAAAAATCCTAAACCAAAGATTAGATGAAAATGGGTGTGTTCACCTTAAAGTGTCAATTATGGTATTTGGACTTTAAAAGGTTATAACTCAAAAACTAGAATTACTTCAAAGATTAAAAAAGAAAAGAAAAAAAAAAAACATTTCAAACACAGATATATTGAAGAGATAGTGTGGATAAAATCAAAAGAAAAGATTGACAAATACATTTTTGACGTAAAGACCAGATGAGCCTCTGATGTGAACTGTGACTGTGAACTCCCACACGATTAACATGGCTAACACAACATCAGTAAATCACTTGATTCAAAAAAGGAATCATTTAAAAAAGATAATCAATACAAATTTAAATGACCCTTAAAAAATGTGTAACGAATGTGATGATTTCCGTCAATTTTGTTCTAAATAATAAACTTTCACATTTAATTGGTTTACTATATGAAAGTAATCACTTTGTTTCTACTGTGTAAAAAAGAAAGACTCTCTTAACGGACATCTGAAAATCATAGCTGTGAGCTGTGAGCCTTTGATGAGCTCACTGCATCAAAGGCTGCAACACTGATAAACAGAGCCACTATAGAACATTTGACTAATGTATAAACAGTTATGTTCTACCAACTACTAATGCACAGAGGAGGTATTGGGATAAATGAAAAACATGGTATATCTTCTGATTATTAAAATAAAATGTTTGGCCTTCTGTCACACTTTTGTGCCCTTTAGTGTGAACAAACCCATATAGATACAGTATAAACTAAACAGAGACAACAGAAAGTAACCTATGGGTTTACTTTCAGTCTAATGACCCTAACGTAACATACAGGGAATCTAGCTATTAGTAAAACAGCCTCACTTTAAAAAATGAACTGTTCTTGGTCAGATTTTTGCAGTGAACACGACAACCAAGATCAAGGACCTGATTCAGAACATCACCAAAAAACTCAAACTGGCTTCAGCCGACGGATTCAGCCTCTTTGTCAAGACCCACGACAAGGTAAATGAGCAAGAATAATCTTCTTTGTCATCTAAAATGTCAGAATGTCTCTTGGAAATATTTAAGTGTCAATGCAATTCATTCTAAGTCAGACTGGACTTTTGCAGGTCCTGAGTTTGAATGAGACGGAGTATTTCTTCGACAGTCTCAGACAAATCACAGACTGGTCCAAAAAGTCCAAGAGGATCAAGGATGGTGATGATATACTAGGGGCATTTGGAATATCCACAAGTATTTATATCTCCCTCTATCCTATATCTAATAGATGTGTATCTGTGTGTGTGTGTGTGTGTAGCGCCTGGACCCACTACCATCTCCTATGTGGTCTTCTTCATGAGGAAGCTTTGGTTTAATGTGGTCCCAGGACGAGACCTCGAAGCAGATCTAATGTTCTATTTCCCTCAGGTCAGAAGGATTTGATCTGAATTATATTTTTACATATTCAAAGCTGAGTGACAATAAAATGGTGCTATGTAATACAATCCATCTTACTAGTTTGTCTGGTCTCTCTCTGGTCTCTCTTTCTCCGGTCTTTCTCTCTCTGGTCTCTCTCTGGTCTCTCTCTGGTCTCGCTCTCTCTGATCTCTCCCTCTCCGGTCTTTCTCTCTGATCTCTCTCTCCGGTCTCTCTCTCTGATGGTTTCTGGTCTCTCTCTCCGGTCTTTCTCTGGTTTCTATCTCTCTGGTCTCTCTCAGGTCTTTCTCTCTGGTCTATCTCTCTCTCTCTCTCTCTCTGGTCTCTCTCTCTGGTTTCTCTCTCTCTGGTTTCTCTCTCTCGGATCTCTCGCTCTGGTCTTTCTCTCGGATCTCTCTCTGGTCTCTCTCTCGCTCTCCGGTCTTTCTCTGGTTTCTCTCTCTGGTCTCTCTCTCTCTGGTTTCTCTCTCTCGGATCTCTCTCTCTGATCTCTGTCCAATATATAGGCTAGTGTATTGGTGTAAATACTCTTATAACAACCAGAAATATAAAAGAAAACTCGTTAAACTAACATGTTGTTGTTTTTTTAGGAGCTGCCAAAGTATCTGAGAGGTTATCATGTTTGCACAAAAGAGGAAATGGTTTCTATCGCAGCTCTGCTTTTCAGAATAAAAACCAACAACGATAAGACGCAGTTAGTGACACTCACCAAGTCCCTGAAGGAGTTGGTCCCGGCCGACCAACTCAAGGCCATGTCCGACAACGAGTGGAAGAAGGTCCCTTTACTGAAAATACACATATTTTTTCTATTCTTTTTCTCTCGCAATTGTGTGTGGTTATACATTATACATTATACATACAACATCATTTAACGCTAGTATCACATGACATTTACATGTATTTAGTCAGAAGACTAAAAAAATCTCTCTGATCTCTCTCTGGTCTCTCACTCTGGTCTATCTCTCTGGTCACTCTCTCTGATCTCTCTCTTGTCACTCTCTCTGGTCACTCCTTCTGGTCTCTCTCTCTCTGGTCTCTCTCTCTCTGATCTAGCTCTGGTCTGATCTCCCTCTGATCTCTCTCTCTCTCTCTGGTCCTACTTTGGCGTGAACTTTTGAACGTAACCCCAGCGATAAACAAGGGACGACTGCACACAACACATTATGAAATGGAATAACACAATAACTATCACTTTTTTACTTAGACCAGGGATGTCAAAGTCAAATACATCAGAAGCCAAAAAACTAATTTGCTACAACCTGAGAGCCGGACTGGTTCAATGTTTATTAAAACATATTACAATTATGCATATAATCTATTGACCCAAGACCTAACACAGTTTATTTAATGATTCAATGAATAATACAATATTTTTGTATGGTATGTATCATGTGAAATTTTTTTTCATCAGGCTCAAGACAAAAAAAAACTTCCTTCAAAGAGAAAACATATGTCTTGAACATTAAATGAACATTATGGCTCTATGTGAACCGTTCTAATACTAATCAAATATCATCCCAGAGGCCATGATAATTCCTTCACAGGCTGAATCTGGCTCCCGGGCCTTGACTTTGACACCCCTATGAGTTAGAACTACAGGCTAAACATAAAATATTAAATTGCATAACAAGCGAAAAAGCCAAGCCAATTATTTTATTCAGAGAGGGCTACATTTATAACTAAAGTTTAAGGTCTTTGAATTCTCTAAAGAGCTTGACCTTTCCATTGTGCGCTGTTTTGAGTTTGGCTCGAGGCAAAGAAAGGAAATCATTAACCCCTTTGAAGATGGTACGCTTATAAGCATCTATACGGCTTCTGTTTCAACCAACATTCATGTACAATAATGTCTACATAACGTGCTATAGTCGATCTGATATGATATGATTACGTTTTGAATGTTTCATATGTTGTGCTTTTTCAGACAGTTGTCGCTGCCTTCAACAGTCAAGGAAACATGACGGTGGACGAGGCCAAAGTCTCATTTCTGAAAATGGTTTACCGCTGGCCCACGTTCGGATGTGCCTTTTTTGAAGTCAAGGTAAGAAGTTTTTATGTCTGTTGTGTCTTTTGAAATCGTTTGTTTTTCCGGCATTTGTCCTAAAACACAAATTTGACTTATTTAAACCACATTTTACACAGTAATTGTGTGTATTTTATACTGTTTTCTTTTTTGCTTGTGACGCACTTTGGGACGCTGGTGTAAATGTGCTATACAGATAAAACTGACATTGACAAGAATATGTATTTCTTCTCAGCAAACGTCTGAACCCAACTTCCCTGACATCGTGCGAATAGCCATCAGTAAACAGGGTCTCACTATAATTCACCCCAAAACAAAGGTAACAGAATATTGAATATTAAACAAATGCAATCATTTCTAAAAATTTTTTTTTTTTTTTGCAGGAGGTTCTTGCCAATCATCCGTTTAACCGGATCGCTAACTGGTGCAGTGGAAGCACTTATTTCCACATGACCGTCGGAAACCTGGTCAAAGGCAGTAAATTTCTCTGTGAAACCTCATTAGTAAGTTATCCTTTGTCGTCATCAGGAGATTATGTTATTTATTTACATATTTCTGTGAGCTGAAAAAGGCATTTTCTTCATTTGCATTTCATTCATTTAAACCCTGCTACGCACAAGATTAGCACAACACATTATGAAGACACAACATGCTTCTATCTATTACTATAGACTTTTTTCAACATCAAAAACATTAGGAAAGAGCAAAGTTTGTGCTCTTCCTCAACGCTGGGGGAAGCTACTTAGTGTTTTTTCCCACAGGTAATTAGTTTTTAGAGGTCATGCCTTTATACTACACAGAAGCTGTAATGTTCCCTTTTTTGTTTTTCTGTTCATGTTTCTTTTTAATATGCAATATAATGTGTGTATTGGATATTTTCTTTTAACTTTCGACGTATTGTATTGCGTGATTAATAATAATGATTTGCTTCAGTTCAGCTCAGAACAATACATGCAGTGGGTACAATAAAAAATACATTGTTTATTAAAGTTCTATATAACGCTCAAAAGGCTCAAGGTGCAAAGGTTCAAGGTGTATTAGTACTTTCGAGAGGGACTGTTTTTTGCAGTGCATGTACACTGCAAATAAATTATAAAATATGAGGTAATAAATGCTTGAATCAAGTGTTTTTTATCCTTAGCTGAGTACATTCTGAATGTCTTAAAACAAGATTTGCCAACGGGACAAAGCCATTTAGTCTTATTTCAAGAACTATTGTTTATTTTCTCATTACAAGGGAGACATTTCTTGCATCTTTTTAAAACAAGATTATTTTGTTTTTTCCCATTGGCCAATCTTTCTTTATGACTCAAATCAAGACACATTTCGTCAAATTTGAGCTTGTTTGTCTTGTTTTTCATCACTTTTTGCAGTGTAATATTATACTTATAAGTGCCTGACTAAGTACAATCTTTGTTCTTCTTTAGGGTTACAAAATGGATGACCTCATAACGTCGTATGTGAACATGTATTTGAGAGAAAAACGAGCTCTTCAAACCACCAGGAACCCATGCTTCGACATCTGAACAGCCGTCGTCCAGAAAACTACAGTCGTTTAAATTGCCAGAACTCAGAATGACAGAGATTTATTCAACAAAGAAGAAAAGTGTGATTTTTCATGTTAACTTTAATTGAGAAACATTGACAATAAAAAATATCAGTGCCACTAATATAAACGTGTCGGTTGTCATTTCTCATACGGTGAACGGGGATCATCGTCTAGATTTCTACCTTTATTGTTTTACCTTTATTTAACCAAGAAAAATTCCATTGAGATAAAAAACGTCTTTTTCAAGGGAGTCCTGGCCAAAAGGCAGCAAAGTTACCCATAGTTACCAAGTTACCAACAGACAGATAAAACTACATTAAATAGTCAGGTACACACTGGTCTTCTATCTCTTCTAAAGATAGATTAAGCTCCAACTTTTGTTTGTTTCACAACACATTACTGAAAAACCCTTAAAACCTATAATCTTAAAGATATATGCAGTGTTTCTCCTGTGTTAGCCTGAAATACATAAAAGTACATACAATAAATGAATAGTCAGGATGGAAGCACGCTAACATATTCAACTAATGTGATTGACCTGCAACATTGATGGTAAGAGGTGCCCTGGCATGTTATACCTCATTATAAAGCTATTTTCCTCAAGAAAATTGGAACATCTGTTACTTCATTCTAAAATGTGTACCCAAAAAACAATTATAAATAGTTCAATAAAAACTAAATTGTCATTGGCAGACAGTAACTGATCTCATTTTGTTCAGAAAAATATACTAAAAACTACAAAGTCAAAATCATGTTAAATAACAATAATAATTTTACCAAAACACTTTGATGATTTATGTCTTTAAATCTTTGAAATAACCACAGAATAACCCTAACCACAAAATATGAGCTTCAAACAACATTTACACTGAGAAGGATTTTTTATTTACTTCCTGTCCCTGTGCTTTAACATACTCTGATGTGAATCAAGAATAGACTAAATCCTGTGAATTCTGTTCTGATTCTTGTTACTGTTAAAGTATTTAGAAGAATTTATGCCCTCTTTAACATGACTGAAGAGGAAGTGGCTTTAAAAGATCAGTTGTGATGAAATATATTTAAAAATCTGAACAATCTTCCTGAAAATGTGAGACAGGCCTCTTCTCTGAAAATGTTTAAATCCAGGTTAAAAACAGTTTCCTTTAGCGGTGCATACAACTGAGGGTTTATATTTTTTTTAATATACAGTGATTATTTATGATTTTATTGCTATCTTATTTTGTTCAGCACTTTGAGTTGCCTTGTACATGATTTGCGCAATACAAATAAACTTGCCTTGCCTCGTGATGTCATATGGCGATCGATAGCTTGGTGGATTTCAACAACGCTGGACAAACGTGGAAGTAAAGTGCTTTAAGTGCCGTAATGATTATATTTGAAAATAATTATATAGTTTCTCAAATTCACTGCACCGTCTCAGTCCTCGCTCTACAGCCTGAGTCCTGGATCTACACTTCTGTTGTGATTTAGGGCAAAAAGAAAAATAAATGAAATTGAAATTGAATTGAATCGGTACAAACTCTGTTACACAAATAACTACTTATTGTCTGTACTTGGTTTCATTTGTGTGTATTTCATGTGTGGTGCTAATTTTGTTACAGCTACATTTCACCTCACAAACCGGCAACACAAATGAGAGCCTCGGTCTGCTCTCTGATTGAATAATGTGCTTGAAAATCGCAAACATTTAAAGTATTATGGACCATTCAAGTCCATTGTGTTTTTGATAAATAATAACTCTCTAAACTGTCCAGAAAAGGTCAACTATTGATATATTTGTATGTTGTTTGTCTATATATAATTTGTTTGTTTTATATGGACCTTGTATGTGTCTGAATTAAAGATTGTGTGAGTGTGTGTGTGTGTAAAATAGGATGTGTTTAGTTTCGTCTTGCAACATGACACAGACAATACATCCTCTCATTCATATAAAATCACAAACCATAAAATCAATACACACATTTGACACTATGATAAAATATTCTCACACATATTTACATATAATAAGCACCTGTGATCTGGTGTAATTTAAAATGACAATATTACATACTGTCTCTTGCAACTAAAGGCTTTGTTGTCTACAGTAATAAATAAAACAGATTTTAACTTTCTCTTCCATTTTACAAACTCTGCGTGTTATTTACAACATCTCAGGCTATTTAGTGCGCTTCAAATTTATGACCGTAACTGCAGTAAACAATTTCACACTGGTGTTTTGCCTCCGGGGCTCAAAGGATCCTGAACAAAAGCGTGGGCTGATCCAATTAGCAGTTTGGCTGTATATTATGTGACCCGCCCTGTTTGGATAGAAGCCGCTCTTACACCAAGTCATTTGCATATCGATGTTATAAAGACAGAGTGTTTGATGCAGCTGCGTTTTGAAAGAAAGACGTCTGACCAACAAACGAAAGCCAGTGGGTCTTCTGCACATCTGTCCCGCGGCTATGTGACTGATTATTTTGGGCATTCCGATTCCAAGTCCCCAGGAGGCACGGATTCCGAAACAAGGGCCTCTGTCTATAGTCTGCGCTCCCCCCCTCCCTCCCCTCTCATCCTCTCTTGTTTTTCACTCTCTCCTATAGTGCATGCATGGGGCCCTCTATCTACAAAACCCATCATCTCTATAAGACCTCACTCATAAACTTGTAAATGAACGACACAGACGTCTATGTACTGGTGAAAAGAGAAGAGAAGAGATTCCAATGGAGTAATAGTGGACTACTGTGGGCACGCCATTCTTCTCACGACCGCAGAAATCTCCAAATCTGCGCTGCGCCCTGACTCGGGCTATTGTTGGGGGGGAAGACAAGTGGCTCTCAGAGGAGTAGGGGAGCGAGAATGAAGGGGTGGGATCAGAGTTCAAACCAAAACCTCACGACGGGACCCCGTAGCTGTTATCGAATTTGGTTGGGAGACAAAAAGTGCTACAGTGCAGTGTCACGGAGACAGAGGGAGAGAGAGAGAGAGCGAGAGAGAGGGAGAGAGAGGAGAGAGTTAGGGTTATAGCGTGAGTGCAGCCTCCTCTGTGTCAGCAACTCAATTGTCCCAGTCCAGCCTCAGACTCTTCAACCACGGTGAGTACTCTACTTTTCCATACAACCGCCAATAGACTTTTTCTAGACCGTCGCCGGCTTCACTTGTGGTCCCACGTTTTTTTATTGTATGATTTGATAACTCAGAAACTAGATATTTTACGGTAGATTTAAATGACTCTATTATTGTAATTAGAAGAGAATTGTTCTAAAAAATATGTACTTGCTTCTTTCTTATGCTAAAGTTAGAGATTTTATTTTATTTTGGTACAGAGTTATTATTCATTTATCTTGTGCTGTGTGCTCCTTATTGCTACTGCTCTCTAACTGGTGATGCAACACTGAAATTTCCCCAATTTGGGACAAATAAAGGATCTCTCAATCTCAAATATATATCCGTGTTATTATTTGAAAGAACAGAAGGCAGTTTTTGATCTGGTTTAAAAAGTTACTACAAGTTACAACAACTAAGACATATTTCCCAGTGTCTTATGGGAAGGAAGAGGTGATTAATCATCCATGGGTTTAGTGGAGGCTAAAAATAGTGAATTTCTCTAGAACTTGCAACCTAAATAAGAGAATCATTCTGCTTTCTGATGGAAACTCAACCTGAGATATAATCAATGTGGTCATTTTTGGCATTGTTTTTGTATTTAAGCAATAAAACATACAGTAGATATTTTGTGAATGTGATATAAATCTAACTTTGTTCTTTTGTTCTGAGTCAAATTGATCTACCACAGTGATTCAAAAATACCCTACTTTTTTTTCTGGGCTGATATTTGATGATTTTTTTCTAACATTTCAACCATTTTAGACATTAATTTGCAGTATTTTTTGTATACTCTTGACCCGAGGATAGCACAAGGGTTAAAAATATTGTAAATCTTAATTAATGGGGAAACACATACAACTTTACGCCGTCCAAGTAATAATATTGTAAGATGGGGGTATAAGCTGTACTGTGATTGGTTATTTTTGCTTGCCTTGCGTTCTGGCTAGACACTGCTCTGTTTGAACTTTGTGATGGATGTCTGCGGCTTGTCTGTGAGCAGGATTATCCCCAAGAAGGGACACGTTTTGTGGTGTTTTGTCCTCTCTCCGGGGACCACTGCCTCCGCTGTCAGACCCCTGTGCCCCTCTAAAGCCACAGCCTGAACTCTGGCTGCAAAGTACTAAGTGAAGGAAAGAAACTAACCAGATTTACTCTTAAGCAAGGACAAAAGTCAAAGTTACATTTCACTGGTTTGCACTGAACTCTGGCACCTGCTGTCTTTGATGTTTAATATGTTAATTTTTGATAATAAATACTTATACTAAAACTAGATATACTAAAAGATGATCCAGGATACTTGACATTCAACAACATGTATGAATATTTATCAAATATTATGGACATTGGTCATCTGCCCCTAATGGACCATGGCTCTATGTGTTCTTTATCATTGCATTTCTTGTATTTTACTTAAGTCTGATTCTTTGATCTGCGACTTTGCCGGTTTTGTAAAGTCCTCCGAGATAATTACTGTTGTGATTTAGGTCTATACAAGAATTAATTGAATGGAGTTTTTAATTATAGCGTTTTAACTTTACTCTAGGAAACTATGAAGACCATAAAAAAGTATAGGAAGTGTTGACCTTGGTTATTGCAGGTCGACAGCAGAACCAGTAATAAAATCCAAATTGCTGGTGTGTCCTTAGGCAAGACATACCGCCCACATCGCCAAGAATGAGTGTGGTGTGTGGGAGATTGTCAATGGTGGTTGGAGATGATAATAATAAAAATAATAATAATAATACATTACATTTCTTAGTGCTTTTCTGGACACTCATGGTCACTTCACACAACAAGTACAAAGTATGTTTAATGACAGTTAAGTTAAAAGTAGCATTACCAGAGGATGGTGCAGTGATGGGGAGTAAGTGTAAAGGGTTGTCGAAACAGATGAGTTGCCAAAGGTGCAGATAGGCAGTGTCACTTTCATCAGTCTGGCCCTGGGCATATGTGGCTACAGATATATCTTATCACCAGCATGTGTACAGTGAATGAATGACTTTGTGGCGAATGCGTCTGTAATTCTGTATCTAAAACCAGGGATGTCCAAACTTTTTCGCAAGAGGGTATCCTGGGCTGACAACATGGATTGAAAAAGACTGAGCTGAAGTTGGCTGAATGACAAATGTTTACTTTCTCACCAGCTTTATAGCGAACTATCTGAATGACGTCACTAAGACACGCCCCCGCCGCCTGTCAACTCCCGCCCACATGTTTCGGACAAACACTGCCAAAATGAATCAAATACCTCTTGTCACTTTAGACGAAAATGATAAACCAGGGGCAAAATTCCACCATCAAACCATCAGGGATCATAGTGTAGACCAATTAAAACGTTGGCTTGAATGTCGTGGTCTTCCAGTAACTGGTAGAAAGTTTGATTTGATAAAAAGGTAATGGTGAGGATTATGCTAACATTATCTAGTCATTTAAATTGCAATGTTAGCGCCTTCTTTGTTTATTTTGCTCTGATTAACTTCCATTTATCAAGTTGTTTTTTGTACTGTCCATTTCGTAATTAGTTTGATCATTTAGTTAACTACAGTCAGCCGATATTATAATAGATCCATGGGGTCACAACGGGCTACACCACTACTGTCTCTGAGAGAGAAACTATCGGAGCTAGCCACACTCAGTAAACGCAAACGACAATCAATCAACATATTTAAATGTTAATGCTAGAATATAATATTCATACAACACACGTGCACAGAGGTTTTCAGAATTATCTGTTAAGGTTTTCATGACAAAAATACTTTTTTAATGCGACTAAAGCGATCGCTTTTTTAAAGTAGGTGAACTAAAACCTTTGGGAACTATTTTCTTTGCACTCATTAAATAAACCTTTTGGCATGAATAGTGACAGAAGTTTATTTTGTGTGTTCAGTTGGTACAAAGCCGTATAATAAAGCGGACCCCAACGCGCTTTGTCTGTGCTTATTTTCCGATAGTCACGAAGTTGAAAAAATCCCTCTCATCTTTCTTCAGGTGTGAGAATTGTATACATTCTGGATTAGGACAAACAATACTAATATGGATTGATGGGGCTAACTACATTCAGAAGAGCTCAGACGGACCTGATACAGCGGTCCAGGTCCAGTCCCAGCTAAACGTAGCTAGGACTGGATCTGGATACTCCACAGTTGGTCCAGCGAAGTGTTTTGAAAAAACATGTCCTTTTTAACATTTTCATGAGAGAAATTCTGCCGACCACAAGCACCCACCTCTTGCACTTGTCCTGGTCTGGTCCTGGTCTGGTCCTGGTCTGGTTCGATGGTGTGGTTTAACGAACAGGTTGAATGTTACCGCTTTCATATAGTCCTTTTCAGAGTATCTGAAATCGCTCCCACAAGCACCATAACTGCAGTGTTTTGTTGTCACCATGATTCAATGATTTAGCCCAAATAAATACACACGCTTATGTGGAGAACACAGTAGTACTCAACGGAGTCGGACAGAGTTTGTCCGAAACATGCGCGCATGCGCAGTCATTGGAACTATTTTTAGCACATTTCGGAAACCGGACAGTGCCCTATTAGCGCCATAGATGGGATTTTCAAGAAACTCTCTGAACAATCAAAAACAAATGACACTATATACAAAAAAATTGAATCGAGAGGTTCCGAGCTTTGCAAAAGGGTACATCATGCCTATAGTGACGGAGATCAAGTTGGCTGGATGACAGTATGAACTTGTGCTAATTATCTTAAAGAATTATTAGTAAATATATAGTGCTTAGGAAGTATGTGGAGGACTGAGAACTTTGAGTGGGATAGAGGTGTGTGGTCAGAGAGGGTTTGGGCCTGTGTGTTGTGTTTGTGTGTGTGTGTGTGTCTATGCGTGTGTGTGTTGTGTGAATGAGTGAGAGGTTGGAGCCAAATAAGCGTTTGCTTCGTCCAATCTCTTTTAAAATGGTTTATTTTGTTTATAATGTGTCCTGTTTTTTTGTTTTTATGTCGTCTTTTGTTTCTTGTTTATTATTGTTTCATTTTTAATGTTTTTGAATACAATTACTTACTAACTTATAGGCCACATAGGATGACACAGAGGGCAGTAATTGGCCCTTGAGCCTGAGTTTGGATATGCCTGATATCAATTACTTTAAAAACACAGTAAGGTCTAGCGTAAGACTTTATGAAATAACAATCTCAACTTCCGCAGATGAAGTGAAGTTGTATGAAGTGTTGTGTTGTAGGAATGTTGTGAATTCTTTGTGTTATGACCCAGTGTGTGTCGATGCTTTAGCACAAATTCCTTGCAGTAAACAGAGGCTTAAGTGTAGATTTGATTACATTGAAAACATGCATTGTCCAGATTTTACACGTGTCACAAGAAGGAATATTGTGTGTGGATAATTAAATAATAACGTTTTGGGACAATGCAAAACTGGGTAGATTTTAACTATCTATTGTAATAGTAACATTTTGGGTTCTGTAGAGTGTAAACAGTTAAGATGGACCTCCTACAATTATTACCATTAATTTCATCAACAGATAAAGTTATTCGGACTGAATTGTATAGCTCTATTATTATCATTATTATTATTATTATTATTATTATTATTAAAGCTGGAATATCTAACTTTGAAATCACAATACAAACTATTAACACAAAATGTATGTTGCTAGCTTCTCACTGTCTGAAAGCTGTTTGGTTCAATTCCTAGTTTTCACGTAGATGTATAAATATCACTTTGTCTTTTCACCTCATCCTCATCTCTTTACATCAGCTTTGTCATTAAAAAATTGAGAAATAACACTGCCAACATTGCTCAGATTTGGCAAAATGTTTCATCATTTCAGCACATTTTGACTGCCTTTAAACTGCCAATGGGACAAACAAAATTATCTTGTTTAAAAAAAAAATGCTCTAGCTTTAAGAGAGGTGGCATAACTTTGTGTTGTTGTTGGTAACGAAAGAAGACGAATTTGGAACTTGCCTCTTTAATAACAGAAGACATTCATCTCTGGTTAAAATGTAGCTTGAATGAGTTAAATTCCCAGACAGAGAAGAAGGGGGCAGAGAGAAGGAAGCTGATTATACAGTCCTGTGTAGACAAGCCAAAACACCTCCTGCTATTGTTACCTGCAGACTCCACCGGGGAAACTCCCACTGATGAATAATGAATGTAAGGTTGTTGCTAATGCCACTTCAGGATAATTAGCAAAAAAATGAAAGCAGGTGACACTAATGGGTAAGTTAAAGCTGGGGTAGTTGACTTTCAAACCTAGCTTGGTTCAATCACCAGTTTCACATGAATGTATTTTTGTATCAGATTTTTCAAGACGTTAAGAAGACCACCCCCACAATAGTCACTCACAAGGCCTATAATAATAATAATAATAATAATAATAATAATAATAATATGGAAAATGGATGGATGGATGGATAATAATAAAAACATTAACATTATTTGTGTTGTTAGTGCTCCTACATTTTAGACAATCAAAAAAGAAATACAAATACATTGCTATCCTCGAGGAGTGAACATTAGAAGGTCAAAATGATTGGATTTGCTTCCTGCTTTGACATTTAAGTTTTAAGTTTAAAGATCCTTCTGAAAGCATAGAATCGAGAAATGCATTTGTAATTAGAAAAACCTAAAGATGCAGCAAATACAAACAATTGTGAAAGTATACAGACAATATCCAGCAGGGTTGTAGGAAAGGCAAAGCAATTGTTTTTGTATAGCACAGTTTATACACGCAACTTAAAAGTGCTGAACAAAAAACTTTGAAACAGTCACCAGGCATTAAAATAACAAAAAGTCACAGTGAAAAGAACTGTTTTCAACCTGGATTTGAACATTATCAGAGTTGAAGCCTGTCTCACATTTTCAGGAAGACTTCTCCAGATTGCTACAGAAATCTGCTGTCCCCCCCCTGTGTTTAGTCCTGACTCTGGGCACCAGTGCATACAGCTGCTCATGTAGACCCCATCTCATCTTTCAACAGATGAGAAAAATATTGTGTTATAGTAATCCAAAAGTGAAATGTCACAATATTATCTACATTGAGACGATAAATCCTGGAGTCTGCAGTAGTCAATATTGTCCGCTTCATAAAGACTCTGTGTTCACAAAGCCCTCTGGCGTTTCTCAAGAGGCCAAGGGTCAACGGTTCACCCGCGGGGAGAGCTCCATAAAAGGACGACAAAAAATGGACCAGTGTCTGTCTCACGAACTGTCTCCCATTCAACAAATCCTACCTTCCTGAGAGCTGCCACAGATTCCAAAACTGTCTATCCCCTTACGATCAACTGCAGGAATGTTCTAGTGCAATGAACACTTAAGGAAATGAAGACAAAACCATTGAATCAAATTTATTAGACTCATTTTACTCACTTTAAAATTAAGATGTTGAGAAAAAAATCAGACTACAACATGCTGTCATCATCTTATTAGAAAACATGATCTTTTGCAGAATGTTTTTGAAACTTTGGGCTGAGAGCTGATTGGCTGAGTGAGGGTGGTCCTCTCTTTTTCACGTTTTTCTTTTGTCCGACACCACTTTTATCCCATCTGAAACTTATTGCAATCTAATGACTGCCTTTTAAAACACAACTATAGCAGAAAGTAATTCCCCACTTCTACCACTAGATGGAGGAGTTTCACAACTTAAGATCCTTTCTTAACTTCTCACACATTTACGTTTATCCCCACAAAATATAGCATATTTGTACTCTCTCCACTTGTACATCAGCCTCCTCCCCATCTACCACCACACATTAGTATAGTATTTCTCAAACCCTCTTGTAAATGGGGAGGGGAAACTTTCAGATTTATGCAGGTCAATTCTGGAGCAGTCTTCTTGAAAATGTGAGACAGGCTTCTTCTCTAACAATGTTCAAATCCAGGTTAAAAACAGTTCTGGACACACAACTGAAGCACTGTATCTTCACTTTTTAATGTACTGTGATTATTTAATGCCTTGTGTGAATGTATGATTTTTTCTGTCTTGTTTTGTTATCCACTTTAAGTTTCCTTGTGTATGAACTGTGCTATACAAATAAACTTGTGTTGGCTTGCTATGTATTTTGGTTGCACTCATTCCTTAACATCCATATCTCTTCTTTTCTCTGCAGTTGTCCAAACCATGGAGATCGCCACTGAACTCCCCACGCTTGCCTCCAACCTGTCGGAGAGCTGCCCTCCTGTGGACATGACCACTGAGAACACTGTCTTCGGCTTCTTCTACATCCTGGTCTTCTTCTTGGCTCTGAACGGAAACAGCCTGGCCTTATGGATCTTCTCTCACCAACGCGGCAGCATCTCCTCTCCAGCTAACGTCTTCTTGGTCCACCTCGCCGTCGCCGATCTCTCCTACGTGATTATCTTACCTCTGCGTGCCACCTACCACCTCACCGGCGGACACTGGCCTTTTGGGGAGGTGCCTTGCAGATTGGCAGGGTTTTTGTTCTACGTCAACATGTACGCTAGCTTGTACTTCCTCGCGTGCGTGGCTGGGGATAGGTACCTTGCCGTCGTCCATGCTGTGAGGTCTCTGAAAATCCGCCGGGCTCGCTACGCTCACATCATTAGCTTTTCGCTCTGGGCTTTAGTCACGATCTCCATGGCCCCGCTACTTATCTCGCATCAAACTGCAGAAGTAAATGGCGTGACGGTTTGTCTACAACTATACCGCGAAAAAGCATCACGCAACGCTTTGATTTCCTTAGCGGTCGCATTCATGCCACCGTTCCTAGCTACGTTATCGTGCTACCTGCTAATCATCAAGAGCTTGCACTATGGTTCGAGACTGGAACCGACCCTTAAACTCAGAGCTCTCCGCACCATTGGACTTGTGCTGATGATTTACGTTGTGTGCTTCTTGCCGTACCATGTTAGCAGAGCAACATTCATTCTGGGACACGGCCATCCCAGTGTTTCTTGTGGAGTTCGCAGAGGGCTAAGTTTGTCCAATCGGCTAACCTCTTTCCTCACCTGCTTGAATGGGGCCATGGATCCGCTGGTCTACTTGTTCGGAGCAGAGAAATTTCGCGGGACTCTGACCAGACTTCTTTGCAAAGACAAAGGTACCTCGTCTGGAGCAACGAGCGGAGAGCTGAAGGCGACACATGAAAGCTCTGTCAGCGCCAAGTCAGAGTTTTAAGACATCTGATAAAATTAAGCTTGAGTTTCGCTATACAGGGGTCCCTTGCTGTTTAGCAGATATTTTGTGTGCTTTTTTGCATACGTGCTCAACAACAGCAAAGAACCGCCAGTATAACATGACACTTACCTTTAGTTAGAATCAGAAGAAAATGTTTGTGGCTTGTGGATGTGCACCGCAAGTGATTCTTTCAGAGGACTCTCTTTCTGGTCTCCCTGGTCTGTCTCTCTGGTCTCTGATAAGTTCAGAGGACTCTCTCTACAGCTGTATTCACAGTGTATGCATGACTTTTGACAGCTGCAGCTGCGCTCAGACCAACAACCAACAGGTTTGATATCTCCGCGATCGCAGTTCATCAGTCGTTCAGGTGGTTAGAAAAGTGTATAAAGTGTGTGAGAGAGGTTTTACGGCCATAAAGTATATACTTTGTGGACTTCACAGGTTAAATTTAAAACGTAAACACCGTAATAAACGAGGGATCACTGTACAGTACATTTCATGTTGCTTTCCTCAATGGCAGCAGACCCTATTTTTCATCAACATGATACCCATGGACACTAGAGCACAAGCTTGAATGTCAAAATGTAAAAAAATAAATAAAAGTCAACAAATAGCAGGGTGAAAACACACTGGTGTCAGAAAACTGTTGATTTAGTCAGTTACCGTCAATATCTATTTACGGTAGACCCAACCCAGAACTCCACTGGCCCCATTCTCAGGCACAGTGATACAGTATCAGCCGCCTTTTTGTTCATTGGTACAACAAGAGATTAAGAGAACATAGAACTCTTGATCCAATATGGTTTGGCTTTACATAAAAAGATTTCATAGGAGTCCTGTTTGTATAGCCTGTCCCAATGGAGGTTTCTCACTTTTCACTTGGTTTTTGAGGTGTTCCTTGCCGATGCAGGAGGGATGAAGGACAGTGATGATCCGAGACATTTATTAACATAGACAGTGGTCACCCCGCTCCCTGTGGACTAATGGCTCTAATGTGTTTGTTATTATTGCATTTTCTGTGTTTGAACAGTTATTCTCTGTTCTGTTTTTGGTGAATCGACGACTTTGTAAAGTCTTCCGAGATGTGTTTTAGGGCTGAATTGAGTTTGAGTTGATTACTGTTTTTAAAGGGAAATCTAAAGCACTTAGAAAAACATTATTCCACTAATGTCACTGCGCTGTCAAATGTAATACTATTACATCAAATACTAAATGTAATAAACAAATGTGTGGTTTTTATTTGAGTATTTGAGGAAATGTAAAGTGTTCAACCTGTGACTGAAACTTTTTCACTGAATAAGCAATGTTGTTATTTGTAATATTGTAATTTTTTACTCTTATATAAAAATGTACAATGTTTTTATTTGCCATTATATTGCATTTGTCTGAAGATGTACATTTTGTGTGACTTTTTTTGTATATAATGTTGTTGCTTGACAATTATTGCCTTACAGTATCTTACTATGCAATTATTAAACCCCCAAGGATTGCACTGAGGTGTGACATAATGCTGTTTCAAAACTAAACAAAAGTGTATTGTTTTGTAATTTTGTGTTTTGTATTCACTCATCTTTGTAAAAATAAAAAATAAAAATACATAAACATGTTATAAAATAGTTTGTTCTACTTGTTTGGTCTTATTATGTGGAATCTATTGGTTTGATACAAGCATTTCTCTCTTTAAAAATATACACATTTTAATAAAGCTAAAAAAAAAAAACAATACAATAAAGCTGTAATTCAACTCACAATGTGAAACAAAAATTGTCTCACAGATTGTAAAAACCTGTCAGAAAATGTAGATATTTTTTATAAAGCTACTGTAGTATCCCCCCAAAATCACCAGAACAATAAAGGCTTGGCATATGGCATACACTTTGGCTTGTTCTCCCTGTGTCTACGTATATACAAATTAGCTAAACAAAGCTACAATCTGGTGAATTAACTGCTGCTCATTATCACTATACCTGTTCCAGCCAAATAAATACTACTGTAATAAGATCAGAGAAACCCCTATTCATCCCTCAGGGGGTAAATGTCAATGTCATTGTTGTGAACATTACAGCAGAATAAAAGGAGGAATAAGAGCACTCAGGTTGCATACATACAAACACGATCTATTATTTAACATAGAAAATAATCAAATAATGGAATAATCCATCCATCTTCTACCCTTTAATCCATTTCTGGGTCAGGGGGGTGGCAGTCAGAGATGCCACCCAAGTCTCATAGCACCAGCCCCTCACTGACCCTCTGCAGGTGGTGAGTCCACAGGAGGACGGCTGCTCTCTGAGTGTGAGCATAGCCTTGATCTTTCAGCGGGGGCTTTGGGCAAAGTGGGGTTAAGTGTCTTGCCCAAGGACACAACGACAGCAGTCATCAGTGGGAGTCGGTGGAGAAGGTGTCGAGGTGGGAATTGAACCCACAACCTTCAGGCCTGAAGGCCAATGCTCTACCAACTGAGCTACTGTCACCCCATACTGGAATAATAAGATAATAAAATAAAACTCTTTAGCTATAGTTGCACTTGGTTCAAGGAGAAGTCAGTTGTGGAGTGTACACTGTAGACAGCAGCATCAGGAGGTTTTTACGGTTATGTTGTATTGCGCTTTAGCAGCAGAGACTATGACCAGAAAAATCAACAGTAATAATAGCAGCAGGTAAAGTGACTAAAGTGAATTATCAGATGATAGGAATATGTAATAATGTAGTAATGACATGGCATTTATATCATATATTGGTTTCAGATTACAGAAATGAACAATTTTACGAGTTTCACCAGTATGTAATAATTTCAATAAATTTGTATGTGCGCCTGTCCTACACAGGATAACACAAAGCGCTTCACAGTCCAACCACATCCCACAAGGCAAAAAATCATCATATAAAACGAACACCAAAATCACCATTAAAACACAATTAAAATCATGCAGGTATTTAATATACATTAAAACATTAAAATCTCACAAGGGATTCAAATAATAGATAACAACAATGCATTAAAAATAGAGATGAAATCCTTCAGTTTTATGCACAGGCAAACAGAACCATCTTTAACCTGGATTTGAACCTTGTCAGAGATGCCTCTAATTTCCTTCCAGCCTTGATGAAAATGTTCAGCTCGTTCCTATTTAACACAGATCTTGCACATGACCAAAAGTTGTGGTTTTGAAGCTGCCTTAACTCTCCTCCTTGTGTTTCGTCAGCACTTCCTGTCCATCACTTAAACATACTGCAGCTACATTTCCTTGTTTCGTTACATTGAGGCGTTCAGTCATAAGATAATGTCAACGTATTGGCAACGTAAAAAAACACAAATATTTTACAGTGAAAAGCTAATGTTCATGCATCAAGTTGCATTATTTGCATGAGGTTACTTCCCCTTTTTATGGAAACAATTGCAATGCTGTTTATGTCATATGCACTTCTCTATATAATGTGTACTAGCATTAGTTGCAAATACGTTCAGAGGGCTGGGAGAATTATTCCTATGTTGGATTTACATATACTGTATAGGTGCACTTTCTCTATAATGTTAGACAGAAACACTAGTGTATTGCTCTGGCTCTATAAGGCCCTCCTCTCAGCTTCACAAATGAGGAAGTTGAGTTGCCGTTTCCTTTTGCCGTCTTTGTGACAGGGACCGTGCCAAACACTCAAACATATACTAATGATTCAATGATTTAGATCTTTATCCTGGTTTCGGGAGCGGATTTCAAGTTGATGGTAAAGTTAGTGCACCTGTAGCAGGCGTAAGAGGGGAGAGTATAAGGATGCCCACGTTCCAGCCTTGGTACCATGGAATGATAACGCGCTCCCGAGCTGAAGACCTGCTGTCCAAAGAGCCTCAAGATGGGAGCTTCCTTATTCGGGACAGTGAATCCATCCTGGGAGCATATGCCCTCTGTGTGCTGTGAGTATACCCTTTACCATTATGTAAAAAGACCAAATTCGTCAAAAAAACACTATTTTTTGGTAGTAGCGGCTTAACATAGCACCAATTAATGAATACAAAAATGGCATTGTGTGTGTAAAATGTAGGTTTTTCTCGTTTATCATAGCAGCGTTGCCGTAATAGTACAAGGAAATGTAACATATACCAGTAGGTTATCCGTACATGCACAAGACACAAGTTAAGTTCCCTTTTATTGAACAGTGACCCTCAACTTACTAACCCAAAACCTGGATTTTAAATTTACCCAGGGTTAGAAATGTTTTGCAATTGCCCTTTCATTTACATCCCCAGTATTTATGGACAATAGGAATTTGTAGATATTTGGTTTAGGACACAAACTAAGGCAGATTTACAATGTGGTCAAATCAAATGGCGACTTTCATTCAAACTATGTCACATGTATTACCAGTGATATTTTTACTTTTGCTTTTACAGATACCAAAACTGCGTGTACACATATAGGATCCTGCCCAATGAGGACAAAAAGCTTTCAGTGCAGGTATGACGAACTGCTGCACTACTAACCCTCTGATGTGGTTGTGGTATTTATATATTTTGACTATTTACGAATGTGAAAATATTGCAGAATACTACTAGAACAGGTGTGTCAAACTCAGGCCCAAGAGCCGAATCCGGCCCACAAGACCAATTTCAGTGGCCCCTGCAATGATTTTCAATAATCATTATTACATTGACTTGAAGCGTTGTGAGGAAATGGGCTACAATCTCATGTTAACATCAGGAAAACAACAATATAATGGAATCTATTCTAAAATGCTAAGTTAGTTATTAAAAGTACACTGTGTAGGTTTTATTCCCATCTAAGTTTGAGATCATATGTTGTAGTCCTTTGGTACAACGAGTACTGCGAAGAAACATGTGTCGTCTTTGACAGTGGTCCCCAATTCCCGGTCATTCATAATAATAATGTGTATGAAATAATATTCATACATAACTGCGGTACTCCATAATCCCCTTTTCAAACTTGCAACATGGAAGCAGCAATATTAGTGTTACCTGTGAAACGAAAACGCGATTCTGGCATCTCATGTAAATTTTAATTCAAATTAAATATTCTTAAAAAGGTCACATTTGTTTTTAGTTAACATGGTTACTCAGAGTAACTTTAAACTATCAGTTTGCTAATACATCACTTCTCAATATTTGGCCCAGTTGAGGTTGTATCCAAACCTAAAAAAAATATACAAACTAATGTCAAATAATACTTGTGGCCCCAACCAGCTTTTTAAATATGGCCCACGACCTGTACTAAAGAAAAAAGAATTCAGCTTTCACCATCTCTGATCGCTGAGATATGAAGACTATCTATAGCTGTAGCGCTGCTCGCTGATTGGCTGGTCCTTTTTAAAAGTGACCACAAAGCAGACCTCATAAGGGGAAAAAATAATACAATTGTTGCATCTTGCCTGAATTAAGATCAGTATATTAAGGGGGAAAAAAATGTTTTACAGTAGTATATGCTACGTTCCTGGTGAAGGGGCTACTTTTTGCTTGTGTCCATCTAAATGTTGTTGTTTAGCCTGAATCATAGCAGTAGTAGTAGTAGTATTTATTAAACTATAAACTTATATTGTTCATACAGCATTGTACAAGCAAATACTTATTGGGCTCCAACTCCTCTCACCCACCCACACAAACACCCACACATTCTCACACACATACAGTACAGGCACGCACATGACACACGCACACACACACACACATTTACAGACACACACATACACAGGCCCATAACACTCCGTTCACCTTCCCTTTTCTCGCTTCATACTGAGGATATTACACTCTTTCTTCCATGTATTTCTTCAGAGCTTCTTCTTTTATAGTAGTTTTGAACTGAATTATCTTTGAACATGTTTTTAAAACATCTGATAATCCTTGATAATAAAGCTTCACGCACTGAGAAACACATTGATTTGAGCATTTCTAAATGTAGGTGCTTTGGTTTTCTACTATACTACTACTAGTATACTGTACTACTGTAAAGTAAGTTCACTAGGCCTAGTTACAAGTCATATCTGTGGAGAGGAGAGCTGACCCAAGGCAAGAATTCAGATAAAGTAAAAACATGTGTAATCAAATAATATACGAGTTTCATACCATATATCCCCAGTAAAATATGTTATCTTCTAACTATGGGCGAGTTAGAAGATTCCAGATTCACAAAGGCAAAAGCACAGATCAGCCAAAAGCACTAGACCACATCATTCTCATTTCCCTCCATTGCATGTCGTTGTTTAGTTTGTAAGTAAAAGGAGGGTTTTAAAACAATTCCCCAAAGCTCGCACAACTGTGATTTAGATTTCCTTGGCCCAGCAATTCCTTTCAATTCAATGTATTCTTGTAATGACAGTAGTTATACAAGAAATGCAATGATTAAATAAACAACTACAGCCATTGGTCCATAAGAGGCAGATGGCCAATATTCATAAATGTCATTGAATGTGGGCGACAGTAGCTCAGTTGGTAGAGCATTGGCCTTAAGGCCAGAAGGTCGTGGGTTCAATTCCCACCTCTGCACCTTCTCCACCGACTCCCACTGATGACTGCTGCCGTTGTGTCCTTGGGCAAGACACTTAACCCCACTTTGCCCAAAGCCCCCACTGAAAGATCAAGGCTATGCTCACAGTCAGAGATCAGCCGTCCTCCTGTGGACTCACCACCTGCAGAGGGTCAGTGAGGGGCTGGTGCTATGAGACTTGGGTGGCATCTCTGACTGCCACCCCCCTGACCCAGAAATGGATTAAAGGGTAGAAAATGGATGGATGGATGGTCATTGAATGTGGATTGTCCTGGATCATCACCACTGTCCAGCACTTACCTCACTTGCCTCTAGGCTTCAGAGGGGGTTCCCATTCGCTTCTTCTCTGGATTGAATGAGTTGGTGGATGCCTACAACAATCCCGGCTTGGGCCTCGTCACACATCTGCAGAATCCTGTTCAGAGAGAGGAGGACATGGAGGACGACCACGGTAAGAACGAGGGCGGAAGTATGAAGGAGAGGTCTGTAGCCTGTACAGGAATTGCGTGAGCTGGCCCTAAATCACAACAGCGGTTATTATCTCAGAGGACTTCAAAAATGTATTTGCCATTTGCAGTAAAACCACATTGGAAAAGCTGCGCGAGACTATCCCAGTGTGCGCCAACAGCACACACCAGAGCTCTTGCCACAGTGCCATTTTCCGACACTTTACAAAGCTGCTGATTTGCCAACACAGATCAGAGAATCAAACTGCTCAAACACAGGAAATGCAATGATAAAAAAAATTGGGCAAATTTATCTATATGAGATAATAAAGTGTCCTCAACTTGTTTTGTTCAGTGTTTTGAGTTACCCTATGAACTGTGCTGTACAATGAAACTTGCCTTGCCTTACTTTAAAAGGGACAATAGATTAACATTAAGAGGAAGATTCAATTCCAGTGTTGCGTCACAAGTTACAGACAGTAGGAATAAAGAGCGCATAAATACAGCATAAAAATACCTATCTTTGGCATAATAAGTAAAAAAATAAATAAATAATATGCACTCCTAGACAATTACAATCCAGCTTTTGTTGCCTGACTCTTCTTGCCTGTGCACAAGCTCCTAAGCACCAATTACTGATACAAACCAAATTCTGGAGTTTAGCTAACTTTACAAACTCTGTGCATTGCATTGATTGATTCATAGTATGGACATCATCACAAATGTATTTCTAATAAAGGATAACAAGTAGATCATGAAGAATAAACAACTTTGGGCCGAACATAGACCAAAAACGATTGGTACGTAATGTCCAATTATCTGTTAGAAGTAGACTGTACAAAATGTGTAAGATGAGGGTAGAAGAGTCCCCCCTTGACATACTATACTTTCTTGATTGTTTTAAATTCGGTCTGTGACTCACACCAGCTTCCTGACGCTGCAGTCTATGCTGGCTAAAGTTCTTTCAAGTCAAGAGACCAAATGTTGTCACGGAAATTTAACAATTAAACAGGGAAATGGGCTGCCCCACCGTCAGTCTGAGCCACGATCAGAGAAATGTTTTCAATAAGCTACAAATTGAGATTAGGAGCAACACTGAAGTAAATAATTAAGTATACAGAATTTTATAATTGCTCCTCTAGTAAGTTAGAGATTTTATACTTATTTCTTAGTATGCTAAAGTATGTCTCAAAGATTTCATACTTAATTCTTGCTTCTTCATTATGCACAAGTTGGAGATTGTAGTAGAATTGCTACATTATTATGCTAAAGTTTGAGATTCTATTATTTTTTATTTTAGTATAACTCTATATATATATATATATACTCTAACTATTTTATATTCTCTTAATTTTTATCTCAAATTACGTAAAATATTGTGAATGGGATTAGTGACTGTGAATGTGTAAGAATTTCTATCTCTTTGCAGAATCCTGCCTCCCTCCCCAACTCCCGCCACGAAACTTCTCGAACAGTGACGCCAAAGACACAGAACCAGTGACCAACTCTTTATCAGAAACGTGCATGGCCAGACTGCAACACATGGACCTCTCTATGTAAGAAAATAACCTCAGCATTAAGAGAATGGAATATTTGTCGGAAGAAAAAACAGACACGCTGCAAAAAGTGATTAAAAATATGTTGAAAAAATATTGAGCACATTATAACAGCTGGAAACAATGGGACAAAATTATGTTGTGTTAAAAATCTCCCTTGGAATGAGAAAATAAACCCTAACCCTAACCCAAACAGTTCTTGAAATAAGACGAAATTGTTGTGTCCCATTGGCAAATCTTGTTTTAAGACAATCAGAATGTACTCAAATTGAGATAAAAAAAAAAGAATTAAAAATCCATTCAAGAAATAAATACCTCATATTTCATCATTTAAGCATATATTTAAATGTCTTGGTAGTATATAATTGAGAATGTGTCTCTATTTGATATCAAGAACGGTAGGTCAATCTAACAAGCCTATTTTATAAAGAGCTTCCTGGGTGATTTTTATCTTGAGTGAAGAAGCAAAGGCTGATAATAAATTGTATGTCCTGTGGTTTAGCGCTGTGTACCATCATATTTTTAGTTTCAGATTGAACACACATATCAACAGACAAAAAGGATATTTTAGATTTGATTATGTTGTACTCTTCTGAACTTCCTTTGTAGAGTACTTTAGTGATAGACCAATATCAGCTCGTAACTTCTTTCACAGGTTTGCCTAAATCCCATGCTTACTTATCTTTGCAATAATAATTTGAGTAATGTCAGAATTGGCAATATGTAACCACATCTGTCCACTGTCACTTTACTTTAAATATACAGTGCCTTGCGAAAGTATTCGGCCCCCTTGAACCTTTCAACATTTCGCCACATTTCAGGCTTCAAACATAAAGATTTAAAAAATTTAATTTTTGTCAAGAATCAACAACAAGTGGGACACAATCGTGAAGTGGAAGGAAATTTATTGGATAATTTACACTTTTTTAGCAAATAAAAAACTGAAAAGTGGGGCGTTTTTATATCTTTATGTTTGAAGCCTGAAATGTGGCGAAATCTTGAAAGGTTCAAGGGGGCCGAATACTTTCGCAAGACACTATAGCAGCTGCTAACATGTACAAATGCATACACTGCCAAAATGTTTTTTTTCTTAATTTAAGAACATTCTTGAATTAAGACTAAATGGCTTTGTCCCATTGGCAAATCATGTTTTAACACAGTCAATATACACTCAGATCAAGATAAAAACCACTTGATTCAAGATAGATATTTTAGATCTTTTTGCAGTGTACATGCAAGTACATAATTCTTGCACTAGAACACACAATATTCACAGCTTCTTTATCATGCTAAGAGATTTTATTATAGAGTTATTGTTCACTTGCTGTGCTCTCTTCATTCGTACTGTTCTGTAACTGGTGATACAACACTGAAATTTCCCCACTGTGGGACAAAAAAAGAATCAGAATAATTGTTTTGCCATGTAAGTCACAGACAAGGAAATTGCTTTGGCTCTCGGTGCAAACAAGTCAAAAGTAAAAAATAGAATAAGGCTTTCAACATTTTCTAAAACATAAAAATACAAATCATTACCCTATATTACTATTAGTGCTGTCCAACGATTAAAATATTTAATCGCGATTAATCGCATGAATTTCATAGTTAACTCGTGATTAATCGCAAATTAGTCACACATTTGTAGCTATTCTTTATGTCCCTTGAATTAATTAAATTAAAATTAAAATAATAAAATAAAATTAATAATAATAATAAAATAAAATAAAAAATTAATGAATAAGTAGATAAATATAATAATAACATGAATAATATGTGCATATGTGCATATAATGATAATACACAAGTCAGGGTAAGCGAAAGCTTATTTTAATGCATGACACGTTTAGTTAAGAAAAACACTTGGGAAAAAGGAACAAAATAAGAGAGGGAATGGGCCGGGCGTGGGCTCCCTGCCCCCTTTTTTGGGGTGGGGGCCTGCTTGGGGGTCTGTGTGTGTGTCGGATTTGGTTTTGATGTTGGCTGGGTTCCGCTTAGCTTGGTGAAACTCAGGCGGACAGACTTTATATCTTATCTTATCTGTGGGGTGTATGTGTGTGTGTGTGTGTGTGGAGTGTGTGTGTTTATGGGTGTGGGTGTGTGTGGGTGTGTGTGGGTATAGACCATAGACTGTATAGAAACATCATGGTGTCATTATGATGATGATAAACAATCTGTAAATATTTTGTAAATTTGTTCATGTAAATACTCTATGCTGTTTCTCTGTTTACTTTCGGTATACAGTGCCTTGCGAAAGTATTCGGCCCCCTTGAACCTTTCAACATTTCGCCACATTTCAGGCTTCAAACATAAAGATATAAAATTTAATTTTTTTGTCATGAATCAACAACAAGTGGGACACAATCGTGAAGTGGAATGAAATTTATTGGATAATTTAAACTTTTTGAACAAATAAAAAACTAAAAAGTGGGGCGTGCAATATTATTCGGCCCCTTTACTTTCAGTGCAGCAAACTCAGTCCAGAAGTTCAGTGAGGATCTTTGAATGATCCAATGTTGTCCTAAATGACTGATGATGATAAATAGAATGCACCTGTGTGTGATCAAGTCTCCGTATAAATGCACCTGCTCTTTGATAGTCTCAGGGTTCTGTTTAAAGCGCAGAGAGAACCATGAAGACAAAGGAACACACCAGGCAGGTCCGAGATACTGTTGTGGAGAAGTTTAAAGCCGGATTTGGATACAAAAAGATTTCCCAAGCTTTAAACATCTCAAGGAGCACTGTGCAAGCAATTATATTGAAATGGAAGGAGTATCAGACCACTGCAAATCTACCAAGACCCGGCCGTCCCTCCAAACTTTCATCTCAAACAAGGAGAAGACTGATCAGAGATGCAGTCAAGAGGCCCATGATCACTCTGGATGAACTGCAGATAACTACAGCTTGGGTTAATCGCGCGATAAAAAAAATGACGCCGTTAATATTGATTTGCGTTAACGCGTTAATAACGCAATATTTTGGACAGCACTAATTACTATATATAAGTGCACAATAGAAATTAAACAGTGCAGTAAGGTGACAGCAGGGAGCTGATGGTTGGCTCCCACTTGAGGTCCTGGGTGATGGTGGTGCCCAGGAAATGAAAGGACTCCACAAAGGTGATGGGGGAGTCCATCACAGAGGGTGGGGGCGGGGGGACAGTGCTCTTCCTGAAGTCAACAATCATCTCCACTGTCTTCTGGGCGTTCAGCTCCAGGTTGTTACCTGCACCAGGTAACCAGCCGGTCCACCTCCCTCCTGTAGGCGGACTCATCGTCGTTGGAGATGAGTCCAATGAGGGTGGTGTCATCCGCGAACTTAAGCAGCTTCACGGAGTCGTGGCTGGAGGTGCAGTGGTTGGTGTACAGGGAGAAGAGCAGGGGAGAAAGTCCCTGTGGGACTCCTGTATTTATAATCCGAGAGTCCGAGACATTCTTCCCCAGACGGGCACGTTGAGCTGGGAGAGCTGGTCCTGGAGCAGTGATGGCAGGATGGTGTTGAAGGCAGAGCTGAAGTCCACAAACAGGACCCTGGCAGATTTCCCACTTCCATAAAACACTTTTTGGTCATATTTTTTTGACATCCTTCAGACTACAAGAGGAGCACCAGGCGGCCCTCCGAGACTATTTCAGAACATTGATCTGTTTGGACGTTGAACAAGTACGAAATGGGAACCCCAACCTCCCTGGACTGAAGAAACTCACCATGATCCTCTGCAAAAGCCTCAACAGGTACAAAACCGACATGTTGTATTTATATTTTCAGTTACAGAGGGGAGAGTTAAGACCTGTTCTTGTTTTGCCAACCAAGTGAGATCTCTCGCGTCCTGCCGTCTCTGGAAATGGTGAACCAGATCATGGACCAACAGCTGTCTTCAAGCATCGGCCACCTGTCCAGACAAGTGTGTACATTTCAATGATAGAGTAATCTGGTATAAGATAGCTCACATACACGGCAAAAAGTGATAAAAAATTACTCAAAAAATTCTCAAATTTGGCAAAATGTATCTTTACCTGAACGCATTCTCCCATCTCTGTGTGGAGTGAGAGGACAAGTGCCCAAAAATAACAATTGTAAACCGCTTTGTGACTCTGGTCTGCGAAATAAAGATTACTTACTCACTTACTTATTCTGACTGCCTTAAAACAGTATTTGCCAATAGGAAAGAGCAAAATGATCTTGTTTTAAAAAGATACAAGGGAAGCTCCCTTGGAATGAGAAAAAAAGTCCTTGAAATGAGACTAAACGGCTTTGTCCCATTGGCAAATCTTGTTTTAAGATGGTCACAATGTCTTCAAATTAAGATAACAAACAATTGGTTTATTAACTCATATTTTATCATTTTTTACAGTGTGAAATGTTTTGTCATTAAAAAGTCAACAGATTTATTAATTTACAGTCCAAGTTTTGAAATCAGATCTTTCTCTCTCTTCTCCTTGACAAACCCCTTGTCATATGTTTTATATGTTTTACTCTGCAGATATCTGTGGATTCACTCCAGTCCATGTCATTCAGACTTGAGCAACTGACAAAACTACTCTACACTATTGAAGATAAGGTAAAACAACTACAGACATCTTCCTTGTCAGCCCGGCAGGAGAGTAAACTGCAATTTCTTCCTGTTTTTAGGCCAGAGGAGCCGTGTATGAGTCAGCGGGTTATGAAGGAGGCCATAGAAAATCCCTTATACCTGCCGTCACATTTGAGGTAACTATACAGAAATAACTTGAATCAATAGTGTGAAGGCAAAGGCAATATCTGGAGTATTGTTTTTTTTTTTAATAGGTGAAGCAGGAATCCCTCGGCATATCCACAAAGATTTTTCTAAAAGTGAATGTAGAGAGTGGAAAGTTATTCTTTAAAAAGTCTAAGGATGGCCCTGAAGACAAATACTACGTTCACAATAAAAGTAAGTTCATATTACTTCATACAAGCTTTACAAATAACATCCATCCATTCATTTTCTTCTGCCTTATACGTTTCTCGTTACTTCTCTATGCTTTACATTTAACAATTAGCTTTATAATTCAAAATGTAATATGTAATGTACACTGCATGTACAAAAGTTATAAAATAGGAATTCTCAAATCAAGTGGTTTGTCTTAAAGCAGTAAAAAAAAAAAATTGTTCATTAGCTCGGAATGATTTTCAGCATGATAAAATATTTTTACTGCTCAAAAACATAAATTCTAACATTGGAACAGCTCTCATCTCTGCAAATATAACCTATAATATTGACCCTGTTTCTAATTCAGATAGAAAGGTGCCACACTTTGGAAAATATGAGGCAAAAAGCAAATAAGCTAACTCAATCTCTTTCATTAAAGTTGGGGTACGAATCTTTCTAACCACAAAAAAAACTATGTGTCAGTTCCAAATCAAATCAGTTCCTCACTCTAAATCTCACTAGTTTTCACAAGCATGTATTTTTGGCCTCAGTCACATCTTTAGATCAGCTTTTTCAGACAGAAATAAAAAAAAAAGAGGACCACCCTCACTCAGCCAATCAGCTCTCAACCCAAAAGCGTCAAATAATGACTTCTCGTAGGAGGAAGAAAGCATGTCGTGAGTTGTTCAACATTTTTACTTATACTAGACTAACTCTGTTGGTACAAACAAAAAGTATTATTTAAGTTAGATATCCGAGCTTTAAGTGCTTGGTTATAAATTCATATTTCACATAATGTATAATTTGTGCTATAGGAATAAATACAGGAGTGAAACAGGAAAAGATCAACATTACAAGCAGAGTAAATGTTTGGCCAGGATGGATTTTATCAGAGACATAAGTTGCCACCTGCTGTCAGTTGCCATGGGAGACAGCATTAGTGTGCATAGAATTTGCTGCTTGAATGAACATGGCACCAGGATAATAATACAATAAGTCCTTACATATTCATCAGAGATGCTTGGAACACGGATGTATAGATTTTTTCTTTTCATTTTTTCATGTTTTTTATTGTTGGCAAGCAAAAATGATAAACTAGTAAACTGTTTTGACAACGAGGTGCAAAAGCAAACTAATAACAGTACATATTAGGAAAATGATATATTTGCATGTAAAAGAAACATTGACACAGAACTTTAACCATTTCCAATACTTCTCTAGTGTGAACGGAAAGAATAACTATGTTTTCTACATTGGAACTTATGGAAAAGGCAAATGTGTAATTGTTACAAACTATTTATTTTCTATCTTTATCCCCTATATTTGGAAGTCTAAAGCAAGGAAGTGACAAATTGCAGTATACAGAAAAAATGCAAATCAATATTTACATAAGATTCATACAGATAAGGAATAAAGGAAAGGGAGGGGAGTGTGCGTGTGCGTGTGCGTGTGTGTGTGTGTGTGTGTGTGTGTGTGTGTGTGTGCGCGTGTATGCGCTTGTTAAAACAATATAATATTTTTTAAAACAGTTCTACAGTTGGTGAAATCGCAGAAAATGCCTGCAAAGATCAGCATAAACGTAGAGACAGAGAAGGAGAAAGTTGTGCGGAAAGAGTTTGTGTTTGAAGACGCAAAGGTATCAACAACATTCACATCATGTAATACATAAATGCTTCTTTAAAACATAATTTTACTTTGTAGAAAAGAGAAGGCTTTTGTCAGCTGCTGCAACTGATGAAGAACAAGCACTCTGAGAAACCAGAGCCGGACATGATCACGGTTTTCGTTGGCACTTGGAACATGGGTGAGAAAAATTAGCTACAATTATAAATTATATATTAGGAATGCTAACGTCACTCCTTAATGCAATTTGAACATAAGTTAGCTGGAGCCAATTTCCTTATGCATTTGTATCAACAGCTTTAGCTTCAGAACAGTAGCTCAGTTGGTAGAGCATTGGCCTTAAGGCCAGAAGGTCGTGGGTTCAATTCCCACCTCTGCCCCTTTCTTCACCGACTCCCACTGATGACTGCTGTCGTTGTGTCCTTGGGCAAGACACTTAACCCCACTTTGCCCAAAAGCCCCAACTGAAAGATCAAGGCTATGCTCACACTCAGAGAGCAGCCGTCCTCCTGTGGACTCACCACCTGCAGAGGGTCAGTGAGGGGCTGGTGCTATGAGACTTGGGTGGCATCTCTGATTGCCACCCCCCTGACCCAGAAATGGATTAAAGGGTAGAAAATGGATGGATGGGCTTTAGCTTCAGAATTGTTGCTAAGATGGTTGCTACGGCAAGTTGGAGTTTCCCCCACAGACAGGTCCTCCTTATATGGCTAAAATCTGGATTTACAAAGATAATGAAATGTTTTTGAAAAATAGTTAGGAACCCCAGCTTTAAATTAATATTAGTTTGTTAATATATTTGATTAATTTGGCCTTTTTTTGCATTTCCTTTGTAATCTTTGTAACATTCATCCTGATCAAGAAAATAGAGAAGACCTGGTTTAGACCTATTATAGATGTAACCAAATATTTTAAGTGAAGATTTGAAAATATTAATATTCAAGATACAACTTCTATATTTTTATCCGTATTTGTCTTATCTTTAACTGAGTCTTTTTGGAAAAGACAAGCACAAACTGGAGCCAGTGAATGCCCTGCTACAGGTGCAGGGCATTCACTTATATTTAATATCTACAGTCTATACTTGTACTTCTGTACAGGAAATGCCACTCCGCCTCTCAACATCAGCTCGTGGTTTCAGTGCATGGGCCAGGGCAAAACCCGGGACGACACAGCCGAGCACATCCCCCACGACATCTATGTGGTGGGAACGCAGGAGGACCCGCTGGGCGAAAGGGACTGGATCGAGACTGTCAGGAGTACTCTGAGGAACATCACCAACATTAGCTTCAAACAGGTGAGAGGGCGGCTGCTCAGAGATGGAGGCAAGGAGACAAAAAAGTGGGCTTAATTTGCCTTAATTTTACCTAGTTGGTCCTGGTTGGTTTTTACATGCACTATACCAGGAGTGTAAAGCCTTGAAGGGGTAGTGTCGCTGCAGGATATGATTCCCAATTTGGGTGAAAGGGGAATTATAACAAAACAATCGTTAAAATAAATGTCCTTTAGTTGCAAAATTGCAAGGATTTCCTCCATACGGCTCACAGATTTCAGTCTTTGAGTCTATTGGTCTTTGAGGGAAACCAGAACCAACATCTAAATTGTTATACTTTTTCCTTTTCTTTGACTTCAGGTGCATTGCCACTGCGTATTATATAGAAGATAAGCAATGAAACTCACATTACATAAAAAAATGAGTAAAGATACAATACATTCGTTGTATGCACAGAACAGTTTAAAACAGGGATTTGAATATTGTCAGAGATGAAGGCTGTCTCACATTCTCAGGACGACTGTTCCACATTTCCATAACTCTGAAATGCTGCCTCCCCATGTTTAGTTATGGGCCAGTCCTTAAGTTGTATGTTTTCTTTTATATTTAGGTGGCAAGTCACTCACTGTGGTACATTCGGATTGTGGTGTTGGTAAAACCCGAGCATGAAAACAAGATCTCTCACGTCTTCTCTGACAGCGTGAAGACGGGGATCGCCAACACACTCGGTGATTATTCCATTATGTTTAAGGTCATCTGTCCATCACGGTGTTAACAGCGGCTGCTTCTTCTAAAGGAAACAAAGGAGCAGTGGGCGTTTCATTTATGTTCAATGGGACCAAGTTTGGATTCGTCAACAGTCACCTGACTTCTGGGAGCGAGAAGAAACTGAGGTATCCTCTCTGGCAGGACTTGAATGTTACGAGCTGAGGACTGTCACCATAATAACTATATTGAATCATAATAATAATAATGATAATAATATATTTTATTTATATTGCCCTTACATTTCCAGGAAAACTCAAAGTGCTAGAGGGAATGATAATATATTGTACCTCAATGTTTATAGACTGCTTTTTTCACAGTAGCTAGTTGAATAAGTCATTGTCTATGGCTAATTCGATCATATTGCATATTTCATAAACAAAAGTGTTTCCAAAGGCCTGTACAGGTGTAGGAGGTAAGAAAAAGTCCGACACGTTCGCTACGATCGGTGGACCAATCACTGCTTATAGTTCCTCGGACTCACCACAAACTCAGAGGAGACCGAGCTTTTTCTGTGGTTGGTCCCAAACTGTGGAATGAGCTGCCTCTGTGCATTAGACAGGCTGACTCCCTTCCTCTTTTTAAATCACGCCTTAAGACGCATTTGTTCTCTTTGGCTTTTAACTAGTTTGGAAGTTGACTTTTACTGTTCAAATCGTCCACTTATGCCACTGTATATGTGTATATTTGATTGTTTTTTATATTTTTATTTTTGTACGGCACTTTGGTCAACTGTGTTGTTTTTATTAGTGCGTTATAAATAAATTGGATTGGATTGGATTGGAAAAAGTAAATATAAAACCCAGACTGTCATAGTATAGTTTAGTTCAGTAAGATTTTTCAAAAACGTTTATTTTTGCTATGATATTGGTACGTGCAATATCTATATCAAAAATATGCGCAATACATTTTTTTTCTGTATTAAAGACAACAAAACAGACAGACAACAAACAAAAGTATATAAATATATGCATTTGAATGTCATTAATGTTGTGCTTATTTTGTGTTATTTGTCTCTTGCGTTTCAATGCAGATTGCAATTTAAGGTGAAAGACAAAAATATCGCAATAATATCATGATCGAAATACTAAACACTCGTATCAAATATCGCTCTAATTTTCAATATTGTGCAGCCCTAATTTTTGCCAATTAACTTTTTGATGTATTATATTCATCAATTCTGAACCACGTATTACTTGTATACTTGAGAAACTACAGTTTATAACTAATGTCATACAGGTCATACAACTAAGAACAATGGCAATGACCTCTTTACTTTACTTTTTGTTTTTGATTAGGCTTGTTGTAATTACAGGCGAAACCAGAACTACTTTTCCATCTTGCGCTTTCTAAACCTGGGAGAGAAGAAGCTGACTCCCTTTGACATCACAAACCAGTTCACTCACCTGTTTTGGCTCGGAGACCTCAACTACAGGGTCGAAATGCAGTCCAATGTAAGGACCATCTCGCTGCAACAAACACACAATCCAAATTAATCACAATAATGGTTGTACATTTATCTCGATGCCGTCAACAGGAAGCAGAGTACATCGTGACAAAGATTAAACAGCAGCAGTACCAGGAGCTGCTCGGTAAAGACCAGCTTAACATGGAGAGGAGCGAGGGGAAGGTCTTTCTGCATTTTGGTGAGAGACAGCCTCAGTATAAAACATTAGTGGTGAGGGAATAAATGTATTGTGTTCAGTATCGCGATATTTTGGGCACGCAATTAAATCGATAACAAACCATAATAAATGTGAGATTTAAGTTGAGCAGTCTTATTTTACTTAATTTTTGTAATGCCTTTGAATAATATGAGGGACATGAATCGCAATATATCAGAGAATCGAATCGCAATAATATTGAATTGTGGCCCAACTAAAACATTACCATCGAATCATCACATTTTTGCCAATTCCAACTTCTATAAAACACCACTTCTTATGTTTTATTATTGCTTATATTTTATTTATTTTATTTTTTCTATTAACCTGAAAACCATGTTGTTTTTCAGATGAGGAGGAAATCACTTTTGCACCAACTTATCGCTTTGAGAGATACACGCGAGAGAAATATGCGTACACTAAGGCCAAAGCCACAGGAGTGAGATCATACACAACTACTTCATTCTTCAAACCGTTCAGACTTTTTTATTTTTTCACGATGAAATCACATAAACCTAAATGTAACGCACTTGTCAGACCAATTGTTAATGCAAGTTAGTAATCACAGTACATTAAAAAGAGTGAAGATACAATCCTTCTGTTGTATGCACAGGTAAACAGAACTATTTTATTTTTATTTTATAGTCATGGGCTGTTCACACTAAAGGGTAATCAAATGTAACAGAAGGCCAAAAATTGTATTTTAATAATCAGAATATATGTTATGTTTTTAATTTAGCCAAATTCCTCTTCTGTTCATTAGTAAGTAAGTAATCTTTATTTGTAAGTAATCTTTATTTATATACCGCCTTTTCACTGCACATCAGAGTCTCAAAGCGGTTTACAATTGTTATTTTTTGGGAGCAGGGGTGCCAGTATAGGAGGCACATGCCAGAACTATTGTACATATTTTTAGTGGTAGGGGAAACCGGAGCACCCGGAGGAAACCTACGCAGACACGGGGAGAACATGCAAACTCCACTCAGAAAGGCCCTGGTCCAACCGGGATTCGAACCCAGGACCTTCTTGCTGAGAGGCATGAGTGCTATCCACTCAGCCACCGTGCCGCCCGTTGCTGGAAGTAGTTGCTGGAAGATAACTATTTATACATTAGTCAAGTTTCCTTTAGCAGCCCAGTTTATTTGTGTAACGAACGTGATCCTTTGACGGAATGAGCTGCGGAAGTTTGTTACATATTTTCAGATGTCCACATTTGATTTCGGGGCGACAGTAGCTCAGTTGGTAGAGCATTGGCCTTTGGGCCTGAAGGTCGTGGGTTCGAGCCCACCGTAAGACCTACTTCACGACTCCCACTGATGACTGCTGTCGTTGTGTCCTTGGGTAAGACACTTAACCCCACTTTGCCCAAAGCCCCAATTGAAAGATCTCAGCTCCTGTGGACTCACCACCTGCAGGAGGATCAGTGAGAGGCTGGTGCTCTGTGGACTGGGTGCAGCTCTGACTGCCACCCCCCCCGACCCAGAAATGGATTAAGGGGAAGAAAATGGATGGATGGATGGCACATTTGATGGATTTTATGGAAATACTCACGTCTGTTACAAATTTTTCAAAAAATAATGTATTTTTAAATCAAATGATTTGCTAATGTTGTGTAAGCCATGTTAATCTTGTGGGAGCTCATCTGCCGCTTTGTCACTGATGACCTTTTAAATTTCTATGTAACTGGCGTCACAGTTCAATCTCTGATATATCAGGTTGATCTGGTCTTTTAACATTTCGCCAAAAGTGTATTTGTCAATCTCTTGTCTTGATTATATCCACAATATCTTTGTAATGTCTGTGTTTGAAACAATAATTTCTATTATATGAGAGTAATTTTAGTTATTTGAGTTATTGTTATTGAGTAACAGACACTCTCAAAAGATGCCTTTTCAGGAAGATTGTTCCAGTTTTTAGCTGCAAAAATCTGAAACACAGCATTCCAATGTCCTAACTTTGGGCAAGAGGCCAGTCCCTGTGCTCTTCAGAGTCCCAGTTGTTTCTAATGGGACTAGGTACTTTGGTGCGAGGCCATGGAGAGACTTGTGCAAAAGCAGAGCTGATTTACAGTCTTTTCTTTGAGCCAAATAAAGCCAGTGCAGAGATCTAAGAAATGGACTAGTGTGATCAAACTTCCTGGTTCTTATCAGGATTCGAGCAGCAGCATTTTGAATATACTGCAGCTGTTTTACATGTAGTTATTCCCTTCTAATTAACTACTGCACATACACATACATTTTGTGCTTGTACAGCAGCAGAATTACTTACATTTGCTCTTTTTTGTTTTAGACAAAGTACAATTTGCCGTCATGGTGCGATAGAGTCCTGCGAAAGTGCTACCCTTTGGTTCATGTCAGCTGTCATGCTTATGGTAATAACTCTTCATTAAAAAGAATAATTATATCGATTCAAAATCTGACAGAAAAGACTCTGATCTTATAGGTTGCACTAATGACATCATGACCAGTGACCACTCACCAGTGTTTGCATCGTATGAAGTTGGGGTCGTTTCACAGTTTGTGTCCAAACAAGGTTCTCGAAAAACTTAAAACAATATTAATGATTATGAAAAACAAGGAAACTGAAAGTAAATGACAAATGTTTTTTTTTCACATTTCAGACCCGGAAAGTGCACCACAAGGAGGGATCCAGATCATGAACTGTATGGCCACTCTGTTGACAAAATCTCAGACAAGGTTCTTCATAGAATACCATTCGAGTTGCTTGGAGAGTGAGTTCAACCAAATATGTCATTATTCATGGAGGAAATGACTCAGGTTTATCGGTCAAAACACCTTTTTTTCTAAACCAGAACCAGTAAAAACACCAGAAGGAGAAAACACACAGCACTCAAATGGATTCATTAAAGTGTGGTTTGGAAATCAAGTTCAGGTACAACAATTGATCCATTAAAGGTCCCATATGTTGCTCTTCTTCATGTTTCACAGTCCATTCTAATCATATGTGTGATAATAATTTAGATGATACACAATACCTTTTTTTTTTTTTTTTTAAATATAGCCATTATAGTGGATTTCTAAAGTCCATTCACCTCAGTCTCCCTCTTCGAGCCAAATACTGTCGTCGCAGATTAACAGCCAAAAACACATTTTCTCTAAATTGACATGACGCTAACACGGTGACAATAGCAGAAATAAAAACAGTATAGCTCGATGTGAAGTAAATACAGACTACGGCAGACGCTGGACTGTTTTGATTAAAAAACCTGTCAATCACCTTCTGGAGGCGGGCTTCTCCAGCTTGTGCCGTGTCATCTATGAAAGAGAAAAATCGCTCTCTAGCAAAATCTTGAAGGAATCAATGAAAAAACTACTTTGGGCATGTGTATGAAGGCCAAATAGCACTGTAATGATGTTTAGGCAGAGAACAGTCGAAAAGCCTAATATGGGACCTTCACTAATCCCCTTGAAGTAGTTTAGACACAAATACACATGTACACAGTACAATTAAATTATAGTTTTTCTACATTTCCAGCTCACTCCTATCATCTCTGACCCGGAGTACCTCCTGGACCAGCACATCTTGATCTGCATTAAGTCCACTGACTGCGATGAGTCTTATGGTTTGTCTCTCTACCTCATAACAGTATATACACTGCTACATCATTAACCACCCAGAATTCTGCCAGAACTCCCAGAGCAGTCATTTTGACAGCTCCCAACCAAGCCTAAAAGTGAGTCATTTACAAGGTTTACTTCCTATAAATAAGTGCTATCACTGGTCAATATAACTTGGAGTACAGTGACTGTTTGTTACTGCTATCAAGTAAACAGTGTGTTGCTATGGTAACTGGCAGTTGAACCCAAAACTACTCAAATTTCAAAAATAAAAAATCATTTAATAAAAACAACTACTTATAAAACATTAAAAAGGCGCAAGGTTAGGAGTAAGACTATAAAGTAACATAAGTGGAGTAATTACACTTCCAAAACTAAAACCTGTGACTTTGACTGCTCATGGCATTCTGGTGTTAAGAAGAGCTAAGCTACATATTTAATGTGTTTATTCACAGGCGAGGGCTGTGTGGCGCTCAGAGCAGCCCAGTTCAGTTACACCGAGTTTCAGATCTCTCTCACTCACAACGGAGAGAAGACAGGGACTCTGAAGGGAGGCATCCAGCTGCACACCACTGACTGCAAAACCACAGAGAAACTCTACGGTACGTTCCAAACTTTAGCAATGAACCAAGGCAGGACTTTAAAAAATTACCAGATTTAATCCAAAAAATCCAAAATATAAGAAGTGGAACATACTGTATCTGCATGTGAAAGCCAGACCTCTGACCTCTGAAGCCAAGCAGGGCAGGGCCCGGTTAGTACTGTGATGGGAACACCAGGTGCCACAGTGAGGCGGCCAGCCTCACTGTGGCACAACCTGTCGTTGTGTTCTTAGGCAAGACACTTTACCCCCATTGCCTAGAATGAGTCTGGTGTGTGTGTGAATGGTTGTTGTGATCAGAGCGGCCGATGGCACATACATGGTTGCCTCACTTCTGTCAGTGTGCCCCAGGGCAGCGGTGGCTACAGTAGTAGTTTATCTCCCCTGTGTTTGGAGTGAAAGAATAATGACATGTGAAGCGTCCAAAACAGCGCTGCATAAAACCGATGCAGGATTATTATCATTATTATTATCATCAGCTCTTATTTTTCTCTTCACAGATTTTATCAAAGTAGAAAGAGATGATCCAAAATCCAAAGGAGACCGGTAAGCTTTGTCATCTGTTCTCTGCTGGGATCTTTACGCAAAGTTAAATTTCCTCTTCTGGGAAAACTTTTAAAGTATTAATATAGCTAGAATCTTTGCAGATTTTGTCATGTTACAACTTGGGCTGAAGGATATTGTTATCTTGTCAATATCGAGATATGAACATTCATTGAAATAAACAGATTTACAATAAAACTATCTGTAGTTAAATTGTATCATATCTAGCATGAATATGCAGTGTGATTTGCATGTTCTCCCCGTGTCTGTGTAGGTTTCCTCCAGGTGCTGTGGTTTGTTTATCTTACCACTAAAAACATGTGCAATAGTTCAGGATGAACGAGTGTGTGTTTCTGAGTGTGGCTGTGAGACTAAGGATGGAAATTTGGGGTTTACAGAACTTGTGTTCATAAATACACTGTCCTAACCAAATAAACAAACAAATAAATAAATAAATACACAAGATAACTGTGAAAGCAAAATTATACATGATTTTGTAATGTAAATGTAAAACTGAAAATGTTTGAGTTGTATTAATTACTCAACCCACTGAATAATACTGCATACATTGTGTTAAGTGCTAACATATGTGAAAGCCATGTGTGACAGCCAGATCATGTCAGACCTCTGAGGGCAGGGCCTGGTTAGTGGTGAAATGGGAGACGTCTGGGAACACCACGTTCCACAGTGGAGCGGCTGTAAAATGCCAAACTGTCGTTGTGTCCTTGGGCAAGACATTTCACCCACATTAAAATGAGCCTGGTGTGTGTGTGAAAGGTTGGTGGTGGTCAGAGGAACCGATGGCAGATACTGGTTGCCTCAGTTCTATCATTGTGCCACTGGGCAGCTGTGGCAACAGTAGTCATTTATCACCACTTTACCACCGCAATCTACAAAGACAAAGTCCACTTGTATTTCAGGTCGTCTCTCACTCAGACCCTCGACATCTCTAACCCCAATTACATGGGAGTGTCCTACAAAACTGGGCACATGAAGGACCAGGGCTGGAGCTACATTATGCAGCCCAAACCGTCTCCAGGTTCACGCAGTCCCACCGCCAAACATTCCATGTGAGTTTCAAAACAATCAGTCCCTGTATCAGAACTTCAAAAAGAGGCTGAAGTTATGAATATCGTTTTAACTCCTAATGCTAGTCATTTTACTAATAAACAGAAAAAAATTAGTACTCTATGAAAAGTTAGTATACAAGTCTTAGCAGTACAAATAACATTGGGAATTACTGGTCATCATTGTCTTTCCATATTTCTTCTTTAAGTGAGGACGGAAAAAGGTCTGAGATGTTTGACAACCCACTGTACGGATCCATGTCAGGAGGGTCCCACTCTCGCTCCAAAGACCAGCAACAGAAGGACCAGTTACTATCTCCAGATGCTTTCCTGTGTGTGAAAACTGCAGACAGTGATCCGGACCGGCCGCCCATGCCCTCTCCTCGCACCCGCTCCTTCACCTGCTCAGAATCCAACCCCCAGGCCACAGCTGCGGTCGCCCCACCTCCAACCAAGTCCAAGAAACCAGTGGTGCCATCTCGCTCTGATTGTAACACTGGGAGTAAGCCACGTCTACCCATGAAATCTCGACCAGGACCACCAGAACCAACAGCTCCCAAAGTCAAAGACAACAGAGAAGCGGCAGAACTTCCTGGGAAACCTCGGCAAACACCAACTAGGCCAGGGCAGACGCCAAGATTGTAATTTACTTTTTGTACATTGCATTCAAAATACACTGGAAAAAAAATCCGATATGAATATATGCTTGAAGTAAGGTGATTTTTTGTTTGTATTGAGTACTTTTTCTAGTGTCAAGGTCGAGACAAGCAGTTCAGTCTTTTATTGCATTTATTGCTTATTTCTCATTCTAAGGGAGACATTCTGGTAACACTTTAAAATTGCCCTCACTAATTAACAGATATTTAAGTGCAAATTAGTAACCCCTAACCTTTCTGACATGGGAAAGTGTCAAGTAAATGTTGAATAAGGCTATGTAGAATGAGCTCATTACCAAAAATGATATACAAATTATCACTTAATGAGGGCTAATCTTAACTGTGACCGAGTGTTCTTGTCTCTTTGAAAAGTAATTTTTTGCATAACAAAACAAGATCAAAAATCAAAACAATCACATAACGCATTAAAATCAGATATAATCACAATTCATTAGATACAACACGCTACTTATCCCATTGTTTGAAGACAGTCCTGTACTGAGATGAATAACTTTTGCCTTATTAAAGCAATTCCTCCTTGGGCCTATCTACAGTATACTTAGCTCGACTTGGTCTGGTTGTGTCTCCATTTTACTTTGAAATCCAGTAAAATATGCTACCAGTATGAAACTCCTTCGAGACAATTTTTGAATTAGCACCAATTTTAAGTTTTGTGGTAACTACGTTAGATTAGTTAAAAAAAAATACCATAACATATAAGTCTGGTTGATGGTAACAGGTGATAAATGTAGTAACTTTGTTTTAGTTATCTCTGTTTTCTTCTGTTCGCCCTGACATTTGCGCCTAAGGAAGTCCAAAAGCTGTAAAAGTCATGCAAATTGCCAATATACTTTACCTTTCAGCCGGAGAGCATTGTTTGGGATTGTATCTGTTACATTGTTTCCACATTATTTGTTTTTTTGTTAAATCTAGTAAATACTGTAGCTACCACAAAGTATTAAATGCAGGCACATTTTAAAAATGTATTTGGCTTTAAAATAAAACATTGTGTTTAACGTTTTTGCATTTTTACTCACTTATATGTGTTCAGAGTTTAAAACTACAGTGTAATAGTTGTACAAAAGTGTGCAGAGATAATTGTCACTGTGAAAGAAGGAAATAAAGTGCATGATCAACCTTCGTAAGTGCTTAGTTCAATCCTATGTATTTTGGTATTTGGGTGGCTTTAATACAGGTACTTATACTGTTTACAAAAGTCACTGACCTTTGGATGTGGGGAAGCAGCAGTACATGTCATATTCTGGCCACTACTTGTATCCTGTAAGTAAAGACAGGGAGGAATTTGTTTTAGTAATGTCATAAAAAATATATTTTGTCTACATGTAGACAAAGACGTAATACTGTCTGTGTTAAGTCTGGTGGATTGATACATTGAGTGTCGTCCGGGGTACAACACATCAAGGGTACACGGTTTGCATGTGTGCCTTTAACTATGCCTTCAGAGGCTTATGACTGACAATATGATTATATGATATATGATTGATAATTGACATATTTTATCCTCAATTGAGGCGCATCAAACTCTACTCAAACTTAGTAACTTTGTCTTTGTTAACATGGGAAATTCCAACGAAATCTGCCAATAGCCCAGGAAAAGCATTGTGGACTTTGACAGTTCTAGCTCATCCCTGGGAACAATTTGTAAAAGCCTGAATACATGTACCTTAGTCAAGTACAGACAACACAGGACAACAGAGACGTCGCATCACTCGCAAGATGTGATCTGTCCCCCACAGATGAACGTACTTTTGTGTGAGAACTGGTAATTAATCCGACAGTGACAGCCAAGCATCCAGAAAAGTTGGAAGTAACTGTGGTAAGTAATATAATATAATGCATTAATGTGGAATCACTCTAAACAATGAAACACGTGAGATATTATTATAGCTCCATGAGTGAGACACACACCATATACACAAGACTCTGGCGCCCTCGCGCGGCCACGGCTCATACAGCTGTCGCGCAGTGATTTCGTCACGACTTCCTCATCAACATTGGACGAGAACGCATAAGAAGCGAAAATGGTGAGCTAGTATTTTTATATATTGATTGTGTTGTATTCATGCATTTCTGTTGTCCGCTCTATTAAAAGTAGCGTCTTTAAAAAGTCACGTATTTAATATGCATTTCACATCTTCAGTGTTTGATTTGTAATGTTAGTTGTTGGTGTGAGCCTGGTCACATTTTGAATTGGCCGCCTCTGTATGACTAAAAACCTGTTTGTTTTCGCAGCTTTTCTACTCGTTTTTCAAATCTCTGGTGGGAAAAGATGTGGTTGTTGAGCTGAAAAATGACCTGAGGCAAGTTCATTTGACTAACAGCACGTGTACTCTGGAGTGTGGCGTTTTCTCAATCAATCATGGTAGCATTAAAGCAAGGGTCTTTGTTTTAATGTATTGAAATTGATGTTGCCAGATTCAGGCATTAAACGCTTTATAGCATTGTTGACTAAGATGGTGTTGTGTTTGAGAGATTTGGATTCTTATTATATATTGTTTAATGCTACTTCGTCTGCACTCGGAAGTGAAATACTCCAACTAAAGTAACTTTATTTATATAATTTATATAAATATATTTGACACAGTACATTTGTAGCTAATGGAGTCCTTAGGCGATATGTCAATTCCAGGAAACGTATAGATTAACCATTTTCAGTTTAAGTGTTCATTTTCAGCAAACCAATTTTCTCTAAATTCACTTCATGCCAAGAGGATGATGGTATTATCTTTTTCTAATTTGGGTCCATTTCTCAGTGGCTTACAGCAGACTAGGTGACAGAAAAATCCTCGATTTGGTTTTCAATTTTAGGCTTACAATGTGATTCAATTCTCTATTTGTTTATTTTTCTTACAACTCACTGTAACATGGCTCAAGTACGCTAATTACATTTTTAAACCCAGCGTTTTTCACCACTGAATAAGGCCGCAGATCTGCTGTTGTAAATAACCCTTTAGCATTAGTTTGTGGTGCGTAAGGAGCGTTGTTAAATACTAGTGTTGGCGGCTGCAATGTGCTGCTCTTTGCACAACTCCCTGATGTATGTAAACCTGGCGGGAAGTGATTGTCAATCCTCTCATTGATTTCAATAATCGAGACCATGACGTAATTTTGATCAATTTCGATTAAAAAAATTGAAGTTGTGACACCCCTAGTTTTGACCCATGTCCAATTTCTGCTTACAGCATCTGTGGGACTCTTCATTCGGTCGACCAGGTAAAAGAGTTTTCCCCAGTTTAGTTTATTTTGTGTTGCTCTTCCATCTTACACTCACTGTTGATTTTCCTTGTCCCTTTCAGTACCTGAACATAAAGCTTACAGATATCAGCGTCACTGATCCGGAGAAGTATCCACACATGGTAGGTCCCTCTTATTGCACACTACATTTACACGACACCAGGCACAAGTTATTGAGACAGTTTTAGACTTTTGTGGTGAAGAGGGAGCAGCGTCTGCAGTTGGAGCTGTATCAGGTAAAGCTCTCAATTCACCAGTCAGTCTGTGTTTCCACCCTCACCTATGGTCATGAGCTTTGGGTAATGACCGAAAGGCGATCGCTCCCTTAGAGATGGGGGCGAGGTTCTCAGTCACACGGGAGGAGCTCAGAGTAGAGCAGCTACTCCTCCACATCGAGAGGAACCAGTTGAGGGTTTGGCATCTATTCTGGACGCGTCCCTGGAGAGGAGACCAGGGGAAGACCCCGGACCTGTTGAAGGGACTGTGCTTCTCAGCTGGCCTGGGAACGCCTCAGGATTCCCTAAGATGAACTGGAGGAAGTGTGTGTGGAGAGGGAAGATGGGCGTCTCTGTTGTAAAGATTGCTTAAACTGCTGCCCCCACAACCCGGCAACAGATAAAACGGCTGGTGATAATCCCTGACACAATGATTGTTGAATGATTCCCTGATACTATTTAAGTAAGTAATCTTTAATTATTGTAATCTACTCCATTGTGAGATCTCATCTTATGTAGTCCAAAGAGCTTTACAATTGTGGGAATTTCTCTCCCTCCACACATGGGAGCAAGTTCCCCATACAGGAATCACATGCCAGACCAGTACACGTTTTTAGTGGTAAGGGAAGCCGGACAACTCGGAGGAAACCTACGTTGACACGGGGAGAAACTCCACACAGAAAGGCCTGGAGGTGGAATAGCACCCAGGACTATCTTTCTGTGTTTTAACAGCAGTAGTTTTCATATTGACCTTCTTGCCTCAGCCCACTCCTCATATTTGAAACAAAATTGCTATCTTTGATACAAAATGCCAAGTGTTGAAAGTGTCTTAATGTGTTTCCTGCAGTTGTCTGTTAAGAACTGCTTCATCCGGGGGTCTGTGGTGCGGTACGTCCAGCTCCCTGCTGACGAAGTGGACACTCAGCTGTTGCAGGACGCGGCGCGGAAAGAGGCCATGCAGCAGAAGCAATGATGAAGCTGCCGTTGCTATGTGGTTGCTATGGGGTTTAGGAGGTTCAGGGAGCCTGATTTGGCGAAGTAGTTTTTATGTTGTTTTCCTCTTGTGAATCTTGTACATGTTCAAGGCCGTACAGTTCCTGCCGCTCGGATTGCATTTTTGAAAAGCATTTAATTTGAACAAAAATTGCAGACTGTAATTATTCAAAATTCTTTTAGTCTTAAGATGCCTCTGAGAAGACTTCATTTATCGTGCTTTCTGTTAAAAAAATGTTCTGATAAAAAAAGTGTAGTTAAATAAAAGCAGCATGCAATGAAGGGTGCAGTAAAAAGTCTTTTTGCAGATGCACTAATTTCTCACAATGACAAATGGTAACTTTTTTTTTTTTACTCAATGTTTAATAAACTATTTTATTTGTATTTGTTAGAATCGTTACTAATTATTTTCTAAAGATGGATTGCAATATATTTAGTCAATTGTATATTGTAGTGTTTGCAGTGTTTAATGTTTGCATTTTATACCTTGCCCAGGGACTATAGTTGATTAATGCGCTTTGTCCCTTTTCAAATAGACAAATATTTGTAGATAATGCAGTTTTATACAAAATGACACGTCGGCACGTATAAATCCAGTTTATTATACATTCATACATTTAACACAAAGTTGCTTTAATGCAGTTATTAAAAAATCCAAAACAAGTCCTGGTCATTTACAATGATAAATTAGCTTGTTTTGTGGTTTGTAACAAGTTGAAAAGAAAGGAACACTTAACGACACGCGCACAAAGGGTCGGACGTCGAATGAGAAGGAATTCAGTCGCCATCGAGAAAAGGCACATTGAATACACAGTGTATGTACAAACCAAAAACCTTTACATGTACACAACTTTACTGTAGGCGCCAGAACAAGAACCAAAACTGTAAACTTACACTTGAATGAAAATAATGAACAAAATCACACATCAACAAATACATTAAGCAAAATATGACTTGAAATGCGTTCAGGATCACAGTCTGCCAGCAGAGAGCAACCTGGGGATATTTACACACTCACAATATTTCTTCTGTTGCCCACATTGTGTGTTTAACGGCAACACAATAGTACCTCATGCATATCCAGACAGCAGCAGTCATCTGATATGTGCAGCTCCTTTGATTGTTTTTCCTCCCACATTTGTATGGCAACTTGACATAGTGCAATATTTACATCTACGTAAAAAGTAGAGACGATTCTGTACAGCCGGAGATTCAGGTATCTTAAAATATATGTACCACGCATCAGTTGAATTGAATACTTTCAGAAAAGTTATTTATCTGATATAAAATACTTTATTTTCAAAAAGACGGCTTGTTTACATTCCAGCCTTCAACAAAATAAAGCTTTATATATGTACCTTTAAAGCTAGCTAAGAAATACTCCAACATACACACATATAATTATACTTAAATCTTTACAAACAATAAAGTGACAAAGATGCCTTCAGTGGCTTCACATGTAGTGGTAACCCGTTTTGAGTGGCAAAAATGGCCAATTTAATTATCTATCAAACACAGTGTGGCACTACAATTTTGGATGATTGTACAAGTTTGGGTCTTTGAATGCCAAGGTCAAGATTGCCATTTGCAAAGTTTTTTTTCTCTCCTCTTTCCTCAACACGCTTTAGTCAGATCGGTGGGTATGTCCGTGGACATCCTGTACTGGATCTTGGTGTTGGTGATGGCTCCGTGCTTCTGCCGCAGATGCAGACGCAGTTGACTCTTGTGCCGGAAATGCAGGTTACATTTCTCACACTGAAACCAAAAATCATCGCGCAATATTAATCACACGTGCAAAACAGGAAATTAGCTTATTACTATATTATCTATCTTTTATCTTTATGTGTGCACAATATTAATCACGTGCAAACCAGGAGATGGACCGCTTCTTCTAAGTATCACAAAGATTGCTCTTAGTTCTGTAAATTATACCTCCAGACTGTAGTAGCTCATTACTTAAGATAGATAGATAGATACTTTAGTGATCCCCGAAGGAGAAATGCAGGTGTCCAGTAGCAACAGAAATGCAAACTGTTTTACTTTGATGACCTTTGCATTTGTATTGATGCCGTTTTTGTTGATCGATTGCACAATTGGTTCTTGCACTTTTTTAGCTCGTTTCATTCTTGTACTTTTTAGTTTTATTCCTTCCTTTTTAAGCAGGCCTATTGGGGAATTTATGAGACTGTAACCCCTTCATGTGTTTTTGTTGTTGATATTTTATGTACTTTGATGCAATATGAAAAACATGTATTATTATTATCTATGTATTTGTCTGGTACACACATGTTTTACACATGAATCAAATCGAATCAGAATCGGATTGTTCTTGGTTTTGTAAATTATATCCAAGCTAAAATTTATTGGCTTATTACTTTATAATAATAGATCCTATCCCCTATATTTGGTAGATTTTATACTTAATTCTTTCTTTGTTATAATGCTAAAGTTAGAGATTTTATACTTGCTTCTTTATTATGCTAAAGCTAGAGATTTTATACCTGCTAATGTTGGAGACGTTATTTTATTTCATTTTAGTATAGAGTTATTGTTCATTTATCTTGTGCTGTGTGCTCCTCATTCCTACTGTTCTTCTGTAACCGGTCATGCAACACTGACATTTCCCCACTAAAGGCAGAGAGGAACTCACATGGTAGGGCTTCTCTCCCGTGTGGATGCGCAGGTGGCTTTTGAGCGTCTGGAGATGTCGAAATCGCGTCCCGCAGATTTCACAGGGATACGGTTTCTCTCCGGTGTGAATCAGAACGTGAGCCCGAAGGTGAGCGACCTGAAAAACGGTGAACGGTTATTCAATATTTCAGGAGATAATAGAAGCAAATGCGCACTTTATAACTATGGCCCACAGCATAGGATTTAGAAACCACTTCATCATATTTAGCATGAGGGTCATTAGGCATTCTGAACTTATTGACACTTTTATTTCATTATTTTATTTTTACTTAAAAAAGAAGTTAAAATGTATCAAAAAGTCAGTGTTCCAATCTAATGAAATGGATTATACATTTATCATTGCCATATGCTTTTCTTACTTCTGTTTCTGTACTACCTTTCCTCAGTTTTTTTATCATATTCTTTTCTGAGTTTTTAAAGTCCAGGTAGGGAAATAGCGATGCAGCTTTTGGCATGATCTGACCCTCCTCACATAAATAACAGAATAAAAGAAGAAAGAGTTGAAGTTGTGGTGTTACCTGTACGAAGCGTGCTCCACAGGTCTCACATTTGTAGGGTTTTTCGCCTGAGTGGATGCGGGTGTGAGTCTTGAGGTTGGCTGGTCTGTTGAACTGAGCACCACAGATGTTACACCTGTAAGGTTTCTCACCTGGAGGAAGAACAAACAACAAAAGCAAATTAATAAATGCAGGTTTTGCATTGGTACCTTTCATGAGAAATGTATAGTTAGGTCAGAATGTATATTTATGATCTCTGTACCAGCTGTAAAGCGGTGGGGTGTACCTGTGTGCACAGTCTTGTGGCTGGCCAGGTTCCCCTTGTAGCGGAAGGCGGCCTGGCAGCGGTCGCACTTGTACGGTTTGTCGCTGTGCACTTGCAACATGTGCTGCTTCAGGGCTTCGTCTTCAACAAATTTAGAGTCACATTCGTTACAGAAGAATGTGCCATTTTCTGTTTGAGAAGTGAGAGTTTTACATAAGACACAGAACATACTTATACAGTAATAATGTATGATTATGGAGACCTCACCACAGCTGGAGTCCGAGTACTCTGAGTGCAGCTCTGTCATCTCTGTGAGTCGAGCGGTGGGGTTGGGGCAGATCTCCGAGTGCCGGGGTGACTGCGACCCACAGGACGAACAGTTGAGGCGCGAAAGGAAATGCTGCGTGTCCCCAGTCCTCAGCGAGCCCTCCAGAGCGCTGCACACAGGTGTGAGACACGTTTAAAATTATAGTTAAAGTGATAACTGCAGCAACAGATAAAAGCCTCAGGACGCGGCCGCTCACCTGCTGATGATGTTGTTGAGGCGGCTGGCCTGTGGAGCCGGCAGCTCTCCGCTGTGGTCACTGCTTTTGTTCTGAGGCTCCAGACTCTCTGAGACGTTCTGGTGCAGGTATGGCTGCAGCCCGTGGCGCTGAGGTGAGCTCAGCCCAGCGTCCTGAAGCCCCGCCTCCTCGTCCTTGGCGCTTTGATTCAACACAATGAACTTGTACTTCTTCCAGTTGCGTGCTTTAGGATCCTGCGCGCTCTGTGAGGTCTGCGCTGTGCTCTGGGACAGACTGGCGTTTTTGCTGCTGCTGGATTCTGTGGGAGAGTTGGGCTGACAGTCAGACTTAAGGGGACTTTGGGGGCTGCTCAGGAGGCTCTTGCGGCCAGAGGAAATGCCCAAGGGGTAATGCTGATGGAGCAGCTCCTCCTCTGCTGCACTGTGATCTTTGGACGACTCTTTTGGGTGCTCTAGACCGAGCAGCGGAAAAGCCCGTTTCCTGGAGCTCAGGCCGATGGACTGACTCATGTCATGGCTGTCTTTGCGGAGCTCATCTTCCCGCGGTGCATAGGTGCTGGGGTGGATGATCCCAGAGCCCAAAGCTCGGCTGTAGTCAGCCCTGAAAGTGCTGTCGTGGGGAGAACAATGCTTGTGGTGCAGTCCGCTCCTTGAGAGGTCCGCAAAAGCATTTTTGGCATCAGTAAGTTTACAGAGAGGGAAGGGAAACCCAGGCATGGGAAACTGGCCATAGAGATGATAGTTAGAGGGAGTAGTGACCCCATTGAACATGTGAGAACTGTAAGGTCTACTGTCTCTGAACGGAGTCACCCGGCTGTGCAAACTGTCCACCACGTCATGAGGTCGGAACGCATGGATGTCCTGAGGCAGCACCAGAGGGCTCACCAAAAACTCATCCCTGGGCAGTTTGGCTGGGTCGCTGCAGATACAGAGAAAGAAACAGTTTCATCACACTGCACCAGGTCACATTGTATCATAGCAAATATAACACTGTATCTGTACAGACTCTGCACATAACCCTGTATCTGTACAGACTCATAACACACAGAACACACTGACCTGGTCTTGATGAATCTGTGGCAGGTGTCTACAACATGATCCATCTGCAGGTATATGGCAGTGTTGAGGATGGCCATGATCAAACTCTCCTTCAGACTGAGGCGCGATGTGTACATGAACTCCAGCAGGATAGCAAAGCCCTCAGGATCCACCTTTGGGTCCAGGCTGATTGCGCTGAGGCTGCACTTGTGTGAGTCAGTGAAGATGGAGTAGAACAGCCCACTGCAGATACATTTCACACGTGAGTCCATATTGCAACACATGTTTTATATGTTTCTATATTTGACTTAAACTGAGACACACCTGCACGCCATGAGCACATTCTTGTGTGCACGAAACTGCTGCCTGCTGACCAGGATGGTGACATCAGTGAGAATGTCCCTGCTGCGCATCCGGTTGAGGTTAAGCAGCACATCACTGGCGTGGCGGGTGAACTGGATGCAGCTGTCAGCCGCACAGGCCATTGTGTCCAGTCCTGCACAAAAACCAGAGTCAGTGTCTGTCCACCAAGTGTCTCGAGCTTCCAAAACTATGTACAGTATGTCCGTCCAAAAGCACCTTTGACCAGAAGGCGGCGCCATTGGTAAAATAATTACAGCGCGTCCGGACTCGTCTCTCCATCTCTCACTTTCAACTAACCACAGGTTTTAGTTTCGGGAACTTGAGAAATATATTCAAGGTTAATTACATGGTTCCTCATGTAAACAGTATCTCACAACAGGTCAAACACAATTACTAAAGACAATTACAGAGTTTCAAACAAAACAAACAGTTTTTTCTTGGTAGAATTATAAAATGTTGTATTCACCATTGTTTCTATAGAGATTCTAATCCATACTGATCAGAGAGACGGCAGATCTCGTGGAGGGATTTTTACGCATGAGTTTAAGAGTTCCAAACTACATTATAATAATCTATCTGACCATTTTATTTCGCTTTTCCAGAGCCAATATCTAAACTCTATGAGTCCAATCCACATGATCTGCACTCTCACTTTTGAGTTACATGCTCTATCTCCAGATTCTGCTCTAAAACCCAGGACTTCCATCCACAAACAGAGTAACAGCCGCGCTTTGGAGCCGCTCGTTGGAGCCGCTCTCTCGTTGCCTCCGCCGCAGCATGGAGCCATTTCCAGGTCAATGACTTTATGGGAATGTTTTGTAAACTCACGATGCGCTCGGAATCACGCGAGCGCTCCACTTTTGCTTTACATACGCGGCGTCTGGTGCGGGACACGTCCCAACACGCGCACGTTACGCTCATCAGTCACCCCTGCGTTAGGTCACCGCGAGGAACTTTAAATGATGTTGAAACAGTTTATGGTTGTAACAGTTGCTTCACACAAACAAGATGGAAATATCAAACACTGTGCATGAAATGTATTGTCAAATCATGGACTTAAATTAAACCGCGTCAGAGCACTTTGCAAACAGTGACAAGTGCGCGTCTGCCGCAAAGGAAGCACAGTCTCCGCTCACATTTCCGCCACAGCAACAGCGGATTTGGTTTGGCGCTGTCCTCGCGCTCCATTAGAGCACATAACCCAGCAGCGGACGTGGATCACAAATAACCATAACCCACACCCAAGGCTCCATGACACAGACCCGAGGCTCCATGCGGCCAACAAACTTCTGACAGCTCCCCCCGCGCTTGACAGCCCAGGAAGCACGCGCAGAGACGCACGCTGCAGACACGCGCAAAGTCCGCACGGGCGTCAGGAGCGCACATGGTCCCGATAACATACACCTGTTATTGCACGTCACACCATCACTGTCACTATTATTACTATGAGACAAGTACTGATACAGACACTGCTCCTGCTCCTGCTCCTGCTCCTACGGCTGGACAGACGCAAGGGAGCGGGGAGCGGGGACCGGCGGCAGGAGCCCGGACAGGCTGTCAGAGCCGCTGTCAGAGTTCAACACGCTTCAGATCGCGCTCTCAAAGCCCGCAATCAAACACCACAAACAGCACATAAAAGACACATATCCAAGTCTTAGTGAACCACTTCGCGCCAAATTATATGAAAAAAGGAATTTAAAAAATCACCTGGTAGCGCTTTCCTAGAAACTTCTTGCATCACCACTTCTAAGAACCCCTGTTCTAAGAATCAGACCAGCTCAATTCTCGGAATTTGAGCCTGAGACCGCACCACTTTCTCTGAGCAGGGGAGAGAGAGCTCACTCCGTCACTGCTCAAACACCTTCCACTTACTCGGATTGGATCCACTTAAGACTCTAACACGGGTGTTCTAGTGAAAAAATATTCATTCTCAAAAGTGTAAATTTTGCGAAAAATATTTGAATTGTGTTTTATATCGTAGAGTACTGGACATAGCTGGTCTGGTTTCCCCTATATTTGGTCGCGTCCAGAGAGACAGGACTACAGACCGTGGACACGTCATCAGCCGCTGGACCCGCCCCCTCGGATTCTCAGAACTACTCATAGACGCTGATCATGGCTGCGGAGCGTGCATTCTGCAGCGGCTGCAGAGACAGGACACAGTCTGCACCAGAGAAGCACACCGCAGACTCTTTAACAGCTTCTGGACAGACGGGACAGTTCTGACCCTGTGACAATCAAACATATATTTATTCTACTTCTATGGAAGCGCCGGACCGCCCTCAGGAGCGCTGCGAGTGCGACCCACGGCTGCGTGTGGACGTAAACTTGTGAGACTGCAACAAGTTGTGCCTTTAGGTAAAGAGACGACCTGTCACCATCGAAGCGCTGCACAAAACCAGTGTCATCTTTAGTGTGTGTGCTTTCATGTCTTCTACTTCTTATTGACAAACATGTGTTGTTATAGTGTAAGAGATTTATTCAGACTTAGCATTAATAATAAATGCTCAGAACAGTTTCTAATATTAAAATGACTCAAATATTTCTTACATTTCATGTATAGATTGTATTTATATTTATTTATAAAGTTTGCCCCATTGCTATTCAACTATAGTGCTGTGTGTATCACGTTGGTTCTCATGTAACTTAGAAACTCTTTCAGCAAATCATTGTGTAAAGCCAGTGTAGTGTTTGTAATTGTATTGTAGTGTTTTTTGTTGCTTTTTGCACGTGCACCAGACCCACTGCACACTCTGCTGCTGCTGCTGCTTGAATAAATAACCACAAGTGAAAAAGTTGCATTCATTGGTGTATTGTCATGGCTTTTACCGTTCATTCACCTTGGAAATTGTGTTTGTGAAGATTCCAGAGAACAGACTCCCCTTTTCTTTCTCCCGCAGATAGCAGCATCTGTTTGCCTGAAACACACACACACACGTTTTTCATTGTGAACAATTACATAACATTCAAATTTAAGATGTGTTTTAAATGTGACCCACTTACGGAACAGACGGTGTAAATTATTATTGCATTTTTATCAACTAATAATTTGAGCTTTCTGAGCAGCTTTGCAAAACGTGTGTGTGAGTCTTAAAATTGACCACATGTGTTGGCATAGATTTACTATTACTAGTTATTTTTTCCCTATTATTTTAAATTCCTATCTGTGATTAAAATAGAAAGAGTATATATCAATCACTTTTGGGCCTCACTCACAAATCTCATAGCATTCATTTGATCTTTTATCAATATTTCTCTCTGTAGCAACAATACATGCATCTTATTTGACACAATTATGCAACATTATACAACCTTTATTGCCCTTTCCACCGTTGGTTTTTACATGGACGATTTTGGATATCAGAGATTGAGTTATAAATTTAGTTAAAGCACAAATTATAAACACAATGATTACACAATAATCATTGCAAATATAAACACAACAGAAATTATTGTAGTGCAAAAACAACTATTCAACTATGGTCGCACAAATACAGTCTTTCATACAATATCTATCTCTGTAGCAACAATACATGCATCTTATTTGACCCAATGATGCAATATTATATAAACTTCATTGCACTTTCCACTGAGGAATATCTAATTGCGTTGAACATTTAGTTAAACAATGTCGTGTGTAACAAAAGCAGCCAAAATTTACATTCTTGTAGTACAAACAGGATAACTTATTTATAGCTAATATGTCTCTCTGGAACAACAATACATGCATCTTTTTTGACCCTAAAAAGCAATATTATACAACCTTTATTGCGCTTTCTGCTGTATATCAAAGATTGCATTAAAGAATTACTTAAAGGACAAATTTTGAATACAATAAAACACATACAACAATTTAATGGGGTATCAAAAGCAGACAAAATTAATTCTTGTTTTCATTCATTGTATACGTTGCAATGATTTAATCTTTCATGCAATATTATATAACCTTTATTGCACTTTCTACTGCTGTGTATCAAAGATTGCATTATAGAATTAGTTAAAGGACAAATTATTAATGCAATTAAACACATATACAAAATTCATTGTTTATCAAAAGCAGGCAAAATTAACATTCTTGTAGTACAAACAAGACAATACATGCATCTTTTTTGGCCCTAAAAAAGCAATTATATGCAATGTTATACAGCCTGTATTGCACTTACTGGTGTGTATCAAAGATTGCATTATAGAATTAGTTAAAGGATAAATTATGAATACAATTAAACACATACAACAATTTTATGGTGTATCAAAAGCAGGCAAAATGAACATTCTTGTAGTGCAGAAATAACAGGCTAATCAAACTGAGTGCATCTTGCTCTTGGGATTTATATGGACAACCTTCACTGGCGACTCTACATCTCCTGTAGGAAGTTCAACAAATGAATCAGCTCTCCTTTATGTTGTTTTTAACCCATTATATGACGACACGTTCAGTCTTCTCCCAGTGGACCTCGCCATAGCAGCATCTCATCCCCCCCTTCCTCCCTCCTCCTACCCTTTCCTCCCTCCCATTTGAAAATCCTGCCTCCCTCTCAAAACACTCCAGGTGCAGGCTATCCAACGGGGAGCGCAAAAACTCCAAAATAATTAAGACACATGTCCCCTTTCGCGGCAATCTCCGAATCAGCAATGCCAAATAAAACCATCCTCCCAAACAAAGAGCCTCGTCAACTTTATTTCAATCCACTGGGGGGATGTTTGAAGGCAGCACACTTATGCATAATGCACGGCGGTAAAGCACGTACAGTGGTGGGGAGAGTATAGTGTAATTTACTGAGCCCCCATGCTGTGCCTGCGCTATAAGACCGAGATAATTACCTCAAATTCTTGGCAAACTTTTACTCCCGAACCATTCCCTACGTTGAAAAATAAAGTGACCCAGTTTAAGCGGACAGAGAGAGAGAAGAGATGGGGGGGGTTATAGGAGCTTATCAATATGTCATAGAAAGCAGTGAGAGTAAAGTTAATTAAGGACCTATAGGTGCGTCATGTTTGGCCTGGTTTGTATTTAAAGCTGGGGTACCTGACGTCCAAACCGCAACAAATCTAACTGTTATTACGAAATTGAAAGAACCGGATAAACCTGGAACATAAACAAGACATAATGAACTATTTACATTTGAATCTACGTTTGTAAACATATATATAGAAGCAGTTTGATTCCATCGCTAGTTTTTCAGCCTCAAAAGACTGAAAAAGCCCTCAGCCAATCAGCTCCCAGCCCAAATAGTGCCTCACAGAGCTCTTTATTAGAAGCAAGCAAAAGATAAACATGTTTTCTGAAGGTGATGAAGGTTCGATTTGGTTTGATTTGCTAACGGGATTTGACTTGTCCAGGACTCTTTCTGTTGGCGCAAACAATATTATTCATGAGACGAAAAAATGAGGGATCCCAGCTTTAATAACTCTGCCATCTTCAGATATAAACGTGAATCTTGCACAAGTTTGTCCCATTCTCTCTCTCAAGAAAACTGCAAAAACCACATGCAAATAAATGAATAGCATGAATTGAATCCTGTGACTTCCTGGAGTTGCATGGAGTCGACGAGAGAAGAAAGTTTAAGCTGTGAGAGGATTGATTTTATATTCTTAAAGTGGAACTCCCATCTACAAAACCATATTGATAAGTCAGGTTTGTGTAGAAGCAAGCCAGATCAGAGTAAAGATACATTCTCACATGTTTTTTTTAAGTCACTGTTTATTAATAGTAAAATGATGTTCAACTTGCAAATAAAAACCTAAACCAAACTGTTAAGAATACTGTATGAAAAGACCATAGACAAAACACCAGGTCAATACCAGTCCAGCGTCTTGTCCAAACACTTGTGATCTTACTCCCACATGGGAAAGGTTTCTACACATACTATATCTGTGTGAGTCTTTGTCAGAGAGCAGCTCGCTTCTCTCCGACGCTCCTTGGCCTTTGAATTTTCACTTGTTGAAATGAAATAACACTGATTGATGTGAACAAAGATGGTGCAGCAGGTTGAAGTTGCTGCGAGGCCGAATCCAGCTGCTGTATCCGTGTGCCGACTGAAACACATCCGTATCATGGCTCCTCTCGTGTGCCGACTGAAACACATCCGTATCATGGCTCCTCACTCTGCCCCTGTCTGCTCCTCTCTGCTCCTCTCTGCTCCACGGGTCACTGAATAGAGATGCCCGCTGACTGCAGCCTGCGGCCCGGAAGTTGCCTCACTTTTTTTCTCCGTAAACTGCACACTTTTGTCTCGTTTCGCAGCAAATTTCTGCCAACTTCAGTGTTCATTGTCAGCAAAGATGTGAGTGCGGAGTTTTGTTCTGAGCGGCATGATGCAACCGGGCTGTAACACCAAACAGATAATGCTCTTAGCTACAGAGGTCTTTTTAGTTCCTTTCTTTAAAAGGAATTCTTTCATATTGTTAAGTTTCACTTTTTTCAACTCTGCACAGCCCAGAAGCATTGCTCTTTTTTTGGCCACAACAAAGTTCTCTTTTGTCAAATACAATCAGCGCTTTAACTGTAACAGCACTGCGGCGTGTCAATACGAGACTTTTACACTGTTTCCTTTAGTTTTCATGGAAATGGCCTTTTCAGTGCATCTGCAGAAGCACCGCTATGTTGGGGCCGGTCCCAAGCCACGAGAAATGGATACCAAAGACAGGACTAAACATGGGGAGGTAGCGTTTCAGATTTATACTGCTAAAATCTGGAGCTTTCTGACAGAAAATGTGAGACAGGCTTCTACTCTGACAATGCTGATGCCTTGTGTGTTGGGTTGCTTTGTGTATGATTTGTGCTATACCAATAAACTTTTGCCCAGAGTCTAAATATGAAGAGGCAGCGTTTAAGATTTATGGAACAATCTTCCTGAAAATGTGAGACAGGCTTCTTCTATGACAATTTACAAAACCTGTTTAAAAAAAAGGTTGTGTTTTGACGTGCATACAACTGGGAGATTGTATCTTCACTCTTTTTACTGTAGTGTGATTATTTATGATTTTAAGGCCTTGAGTGATTTTAATGTTTCTTTGTTTGTTTGTTTAGTCAAGCACTTTGAGTTCCCTTGCGTGTGTGTGTGTGTGTGTGTATGTGTGTGTGTGTGTGTGTGTGCGTGCGTGTGTGTGTGTGCTATACAAATAGACTTTCCTGACAGATAATGATTGCATCCGTTGTAAAAAGGTTTAATTTACAGATATGTTACCTTTTCTTTTCATGAGCGTGTAATAAAGCGGCTGTGCTGACCTCTGCCACTTCATCTATCGGCGTCATTCCATTTCTTTACAATCTTGACACACATCTTATGATAATTACTGTTTTCTGGCTGTGTTTAATTCCAAGGTTCAATAATAATATACAAGGTTATACAAGATCAATTCTAAACGGAACATGCGTTGAGGCTTCTTTAGGATTAATTTTGAGGTGTTTGAACCCTCAGGAATTTTATCTGGAATTTGATATCAACATGTGCAGCCTTGAACGTGTCAATTAAAGATAACAGACTAAGTATGGACTCATTCAGTAAAAAAAAAAAAAAAAGATTCCTTACTCTTTCACTCTTCCTTTTTGAGTGTGAGGAACTGGCAATTTTATGACATGGTTCTTGTTGTTGTGGTTTGAAAGTTAGAGACCTCAGCTTTAACCCGATCACTCACAGAGCAGTCAATTTGACAGGTTTTAGTTTAACTCAGCTCATATACGCTGTTGGTCTTGTATAACTTTGTGAGTTTTTCTGTCTCTGTATCCTAGATGTGTATATGCAGTTTATTTCACAATTTTTTTTTTATTATTATTATGAAATTTGGATTTTTTTAAAAGTGAGTAATTCTACCATTAACTAAATTAAATAAGCCTTTTGAGTTTCCTGGTATCCAATGGAAGGTGGTACCTCTCATAGGCCATACTTGCACGTGCAAAGCCAGATCCTGTCAAACT